AAAGAGAGAGAAATACAATTAATATATAGAAGAAGACGTCGTTGCATTGTCGCTGTATTGCCTCCAACTCTGGTAGACTAGACTACTGCTGTGGCTGTTGCTACCGTAGCTAGAGCTAGCGCAGCACATGACGCCTTTACTACGACGACTCCTGTTCGTTGCTTATCTACTCATTGGATGGAGAAACTGTCGGTTGGCAATGGCCATGGTGGTCGAGGAAAGTATGGTTGCGAAACGATGGCAACGGGCAAATAGTTTGGAATCCAGCACTGATAAGGTGCCGATATTCTCCTCGTTATCTATATGTACCTGTAGTAGCAGGAGATCTATGATGGCAACGGCGTTGGCACTGCCAGTACTAGTAGCAATCCCGACCGTGGGAAGCTGCGAAGAAGCCTTGCCCTTTCAAGATAAAGAAGAAGATGATGGCGACAACAAGAGAGGAGGCAAACCATTTGCTCCTGCCAGCGCCCTCTTACCAGCGACCCAGCTCAAGCTGGCAGTCGATCAACTGTATGACTTGTCGCAATCTCTTGACGACAAGACCGCCAGCACACAACAACAACAAAAGTACCAAACGCTACAACAAATGAGTCAATTGTGGAAGAATCGTCCTCCACTCTTTACTACTACAACTTCTGCCAAACAACAACAACGACTGCCTCCACGAGCGTCACCCTCCACGGCACAACTGACAACGGGAATTTCATCGGCCAACAAGCAGCAGTACCAAGCCAACCGCAAAGACTTGACATCGCTCCCCGATCGAATGGCCGCCATGCTCAATCAAGCCGATGTCGAACGTCAATGGGGGATGTTGCAGTACCAAGAATCCAAGCTAGAATCCAACAATGAACTACGAGCCGCACTGAACTATTACACATCCCAACTCGAGTTTGGACAGGCATATTTGTTGACTGCGAGCAAGGAGACGAGAAAACAACTGATTCGGAATGATCAATTACCATCCTTGACGGCAGTCATAACGGCCGACTTGGATTTGAGAGATTTGTATCGCAATGATTTCCTAACCGCCATGGATGATGCCATTGCGGAGATGGAGTATCAATTGAAGCTAACGCCGCAAGAAGTGGACGTTACAGATGTTGTAGAGCTCCTGGAGCAGGCTCATACGGCCTTGTCCAAGTGGTTCGGTCTCATTGCTTGGAGTGATGTGCAAGAGGCAGTGGAAACGATGAGACAAGAAGGGTGAGAGATCAACCACAAATGCCAGCTTGGCTGCAAGCAAGAAAGCAATGGCCAAATCTTTCCGGTGGGCTCGGAGGAGGCTCAAAGCTAAAGAACGGGATAAAAGTCCACAAATCTGTACTCCAGCAGTGCATGACTCGACTCGGAGGCTCATCAAGCGGCTATTATTACTTTCTTCCTGTTTGATGGTCAAACAAACATCAAACAGTGTCTCCATTGCTTGCAGCTTGCAGATGCAGTATGTTTCGATGTTTCAGCCATTTGACCATTCAACGTACCAAACAATGCAGCAATAAACAATTCTCCAGTAATTCCAACCAAGTCGATACAAAATATAGCTAGCAAACGTAGTCTTTTTGCGTTGTTCCGAGACGTCTTCGCAGTCGCCAGAAAGAGTCAGTCCATCGTGGTCTGAGCCATACGCAGGTGGCCGGAACGGTTAATGGTGTGTACCCAAAATTATTACCAGTTGTGAATAACCGTAAACAATCACACGCTAACTCTTCTTGCTTGAATAAACGACCGTCTAATGAAGACGAGTAGGACGTCAATCGACAATTATCGCTGTCTTATACAGAATCAGTGCGAAGTGTTCGAAACCCTGCTGTGCGCCTTAGACCCTTTGACAACATTAAAGCAACCCATACAAGTGCCCTCGCAGAACATTGCAGAACACTAGAGCAATTGTGGACACCACCCTCATTTAGCCTCGAATCCAATACTTCGGCAACTACCTCTACTGAGATAAGGACAACAGTTTATACCCAAATGGAGAGTCATACTTACGAGTACTATCTGCAGGTAGTGTCCAATGTGCTGCACCGGAGGCTGCCAGAAGTATTGAGCACTGTCTCTACTGGGATGACATAACGAATCGATCTGGACTTGTACTACTCACTCGTAAGCGTATCGATCGTGTTTTGTGTTGCGCTCGTGTAGGATGTGTAGGTATGGTCGGTTGGTTAGAAGAGGGAGAAATCAGCCGATATAGAGTCGAGTCGTATTACTCGAGTCATTCGCAAACACTCCTTCATCGTACTTGAAGTTTCACTAGCACTCTGTTCTTGAAATGGCTCACCAATCGTACCCAGAGCTATTCCTCGCGCACTGATCATCGCTACAATATAATTTCACGTACCACTGCCCTAACAATCAGTAAAGTTACTACTGAGTGAATCAGCTCGACTTTACCTTTTACAGTCATACAAGTATCTCTGTCATATCGCAGCTGGGAAACACGAAATTAAATTTGTTAAACCACTGTTTATTGCTAAGCCGAGATCTATTAGTGATCATCCTCAAATAGTAACAGTCTCACATCATCTCTCTCAGTCTCATCAAGTATCACATTAAGACCACAGTTCTATTAGGTCGTTATATTGCTTTAATAACTAGACTTGTACTGCCACAGTCCTTCTCTTGAAAGACGGGAACAAGCACTGTCGAGACACCTTGTTAGTCATGGTAATCGCTATCTGTTAAGTCTAGATACTACCATCGGCTGATAGGTCAGTTGCTCCGACCGAAAGGACTGGAGAATGTTGTGTAGAATGCATGATCGCAGTGTAATGAAGTTGGGACAGATTGTGAATGTTCATTTATTCGCGAAGGCACACCTTACCACACTATATGTTGGCGGTCGTCAACGCTAGTACAAGCATCGCCTTGTGTCGTTAAATGTACGTGACCCATGGATACGGTAGCATTTATTTCTCCGTGGAAACTATGTTTTAACACGAGTTAAGCCTTACTAGGAATCCCGTCGCTAGACTCCCCCCTGTTGATGCTTTTACTGTATCTGGTATAGGCAAGAGTATACATTTGGAGGTACACCGATTACCTCTAGCTTTTCGCTCAACCAGAAACAGGAGCATAGTGCGGGATGAGAGCAGCGATTTGATCAGCCTCAAGGTGCGGTACACCAGGCTCACTAAGCTATGCTCTAAGTTAGACCTACAAACGCTTTGCCCAAAAAGGCATGAGGTCTACAAGTTAGAGGGACTCGACCTTCGAAGCGTCGAGTCAAACCCCAACCACACACGCATCTCATAGGCAAGAGATAATGCTTCACAGACATCTCCACTTCACAGGAGACAGGCTATTCGGAAAGCACCGGTGATCAACTAAGCAGACACTATACCACACAAAACATCTATGATCGAGAAGATCTCACTTATTAAAGATTATCTGGGCCTATTTGGGAAACCGCCAGCAACAGGGCAATACTTGTGACCACAACTCACAGCGCTTAGTGAATAAATACCCACAAGCAAAGTCTGCTAGAAGGCGTAGCCCCTGCAAGACCAAGAGTGAAGAGACTTTTGCATGCCAGATCCCTATTAAATGGGACAGACGATAATACAAAGAGCGCCTCGAACTCATAGCCAATTCGCAAGCGACTAGGAAGACCAAAGAGAGCCGAGCTAAGAGAAGAAGGATTTGGACTTAACTAGTCATTTAAAAGCCAACACCATGACAGGACATTGGCGGATTCCAGTCTTTCAAGTTGTCGTCAAGTAGCCAGGAAATGGCTTGGATACAAACCTACCATGGGACAACGTTCTCAGATGCATGTGTGACAAGCTCTAAAGAAGCGGGCAGAGCCTTGAAAGTTACTATGGACTCCGATCGAGCTTAAGAGTGCGAAGAACCTCGAGACTGTGCAATCTCTTCTGAAATCTCTACTACTCTCGATAGATACTGATACAGAGAGAGAAGGCAGGATACTACGTAATTGCAGCAGTGCTCTCGGCAGTTTCTACTGCGTGTTACACCGCTTTATGGAACGTAGGTGTGGACATATTTCTTCACGCTTAAGAGTGGCAACCGTAGAGACCAAAAGGTCAGAAGGACCGATAGACGAGCTTGCTCTTCTGCACTCTGGAGAAGCCAGTGCTAGGAATTGTAACGCTTCAGGATTTCGAGTACACACATTTCTCCTCTCATAAGATCCAGCGAAATATCGCGGACCCATGTGGAGCATGACGATCACTGGTCTCGACGATACTGAACCTTCGTGACGAGGTAGGATAGAATGTCTCATACTAACAACCAGATAGAAAACGAACTGGCGTCGGAGGAACGGGTGGCGACGCAGCCAAAGGAGTCAGAACAGCTCTCATGTTACTAGATAGGTATGGACACTCATCGGATTAATGGTTCGTTCATTCCCAGACCAGCTACAGCAGAACACTGCGTTGACCACACAGGACACCATGCAACAGAAAACTAAAGGAGCATCATCAACCTGCTGTTCCCGCGGAGATCAAGATGCGCTAAGGAAAAGCAAATGATTGGGTTAGTTCATGCATAATAGTAATAATAGAAAGAGTCTAGTACAGTACAGTGTCTTTATTCGAGAGTCGAATCCAATCTACCGGAAGCGGACGCTTTTTATTTGGCTTTGGATAGCTCCAGCAGAGCATTGCAAGCAACATGGTCTGTATTTCATTACTGCATGATGTATGACCCACACCCGAACCTTCGCATGGCTCGTCGATTCTTTTGGACCACCACAGGGACCAGAACAACTAATCCGAGCCTTGGACCGATTGCGGGACCAATTCTGGACCGACGCCTTGTCTCACAAGGGGGCCGACGCCTTGTCTCACAAGAGGACCCACCGCTCCTCAATCTCTGGCCACGTCCAGTCCTCTTCTTGAACGAGGGAAATCTCAGATCCATCCAGCAACTTAGACCAGTCGCAGACCAACTCCTGGACTCCATCACCACGGCAAACTGTTTGACCCACCCTGGGAACAGCAGGAGCGACGCGTTGTTCCTGGTTCTTCGCCAGGCACCAGCAAGACCTAACCAGAACTTGGGCTCAACTTGGGCCCAGGGATCAGTGTTGATATGCCAACTCCAGGTCCATCACCTGGCCCATCCCGGATCAGCAGGACCCTCACCCGGAACCATTCTTAGACGAATGGCTGTCCTGGACGAATGTCTCACGTCTCACACCAAGCCCAACTGAGGACCAGCCGATGCCTGCCCGAGAACCATGATGTGCTGGTGGCGAGAAGGAAAGCTCGCGTGATAAAGGTAATATGTCGTTCTTACTGCGTGAGAGCAGGAACACAACCACACCAAGCTCTCATACCAGCACCGCAGCCTGTGGATGATCAAGGCTAAGCATGGCATAGCATGGCATGGCAAGAAGGTTGAAGAGAAGCGTTTACGGCAGCTCTCATTTGCAAAAAGTTCATTACAAACCCAATACCGGTCAGTGTGGAGCACAAGCAGTCCAAATATGCTGCAATACATAGAGGTCCAAGCTACTAGTGTTACATTCTACGAGTGGTAGGCCTCGAGAGCCCATGTTGTGTGTTGTTTACAGAACTGCTGATCGATCCAGGTAGCTAGAAGTCACCATATCGCTCTTGAGGCTCATCAGGTTTCCTCTTGTCTTCTCCATCAATAGCATATCTTCGAAACGCAAAGCTCAAGTCTTCTGAGGCCTGGCTTCCCATATCGTCGTTCTTCTTTCTCCGCAAAGGGGGGACACCGTCTCTTGAGTGCTGTTGCTGCTGCCGTTTCACAAGATTTCTCATATGAGCCTGGCTGATTGCTTCAAAGTCATTGGTGGCTGCATTGACACCGTTGCACGGAGCAAGATCGATGACCTGCATTTTGCCCAGTTCCTCGTCGTGCATGCCATCTTCATCAGACTCAGTGCCCAGGTCGCCACCCAAACGCCGAACTTCGCGAAGATAGGCGTATTGCTGGGGTATTCGGCTCGACCGGATCCGGAAGATCTCCTTGACTCGCTTTGAATTCTGGCTGAGGCTGATGAATCCCTCCTTCCTTTGCTGGCTGTGATCACTGGACCCCTTTCCGATTGAAGCGATGTTAGAACCCAGTGTTCTGGGGTCGGGCAGACCACAGGAACGTGTCTTCGCTGCTTTGAACTTTCAAAGATACCGAACAGCGGACAGTCCAATCCTACCCACTTGCCGCTTAAAAATGACATACCTACTCCACAGCTGTGATGGAAAGCAATAGTCCTTTTCGGTTGGCCTCCATTCGCTCGTCGTAGTCATCGTCCGCTGAAGAATTGGAACAGAAATGTTGGCCAGGTGGCCTCTCGTTTGGTGCTTCTGTAGGCCCCTATTATACCACAGGTTCTGAAGCTCCAATCACCGTGATCATTGTCTCTGGGTTCACCCGTTCCAACGTAATTTGAAGTAGGCCACCGTCGATAAAGGATTGAGTCACTCGCACATACTCGGCATACAAACCCTGTCGGTCCATGTCGCCGTCCATTGGAGAGATTTTATAAGAGGCAAACACAGTCTTGCAGATGGCTCCTTCGCTGGCACCAGCACAGTTCAGATCCACAATGTTGTCGATGGATGGACTCTCGCGATCAAGCACAGCAAGCGGTCTCCGGACTGTTTCTTGCAAGCTTCGCCCCCCAAAATACTGCCTTTGCCTGCCTTGTTGCCTCAATCCATCAATGGCCTCCATTACAAATTGTCTGTACGCCTCCTGTAAACTGTCTCTAGTCATTCCCATGATAAATTCTTCGCCGGCAATCCAAACATCACTGTATATGTTAAAGGAAGAATGGATGACGATCGGTTCACCTTGAGGCGTCAAGTCAGAAGGGCTTGCCGTCGTCATTGAAGTATCAGACCCAGTGTATTCGATTGCCATGGCGATTGCCATGTTCACCGCCGCTGTAGTTTCCAGGCATACTTCTCCTAGATGGTGTTGCTGAGCACTATCAGGGCTTTGACCTTCTTGAGAACCCTCGATGTCGATGCTGCCATCGGTCTGTAAGTTCCAAAAGTTGTCCTGGAGGAGAAGCGGGAGTTGCGTAAAGTTGTAGTTCTGAAAGCGGTATTTGCCCATCTAAGATTTGCGGCAGAAGGGAGTTTTGGTTAGTGTTCAAAGCCAGAAACTTGGTACAACAGTGCTGCAACAATGCCTTCTTACCAAGTTGATCAAATCAATGTACTCTGATTGATCCAGAGCGAAGTCATCGTTTTGGTCGACATCATTCATGCCCATGAAACAGGCCGCATACTCGAGCATCGTGTTGGTATCTACCGTGTCGAAAGTATCTCCTTCTCCAGCATTCTTGTTTGCTTCTTCCAGAGCATAGCTAGTCTCAATACAAATTGTGTCCAGGACCTCTTTCTGCGGAGCTGAGAGGTCAGCTCCATGTTTGGCTCCACCAAGGTCAATCCTGGAGCTAATTGCCAAGGCATAGAAGTTGTCCTGCAATTCGTCTGGAAGCGCTTCAAAGTTGTCTTGGCCAAAATCTCCACCAGATAACACCTTGATTAAGGCAACATACTCATCGAACTCGAGCCAGGAGTCCCCGTTCTCATCATGGAGTGTTAAAGACTCTAGGCATTCCTTGAACGTGGCCATCGATGCCTCATCTCCGTCAGTATCACTGACTGGCTCAGCAGACAGCACAATTTCTGTTTCGGCGCAGACCCGATCCAGAAAAGCCTCTTGATCGTTGGACATTGGATTTTCAGAGTTCAACATGCTAATGTCAATCTGGCCTTCGGATGCAAAGTTGTTGAAGTTGTCTTTCAATCCTTGCGGGAGATCCTGGAATACAGCACCAGGGTAGGGATTATCCCAGTTGTCATTTAGAAACCAAACGTACTCCATTTCATTCATTGCATCGTCCTCGTCTATGTCAGCAAAACTCATGACCATTTTGCAGCCGGACTGAGGATCTAGAGAAGGAGCCATTGTCGGCGCTTGTAATGTCTCTGAAGATACCGATTGGGAACCGTTATCTGCCTCTGTCGCATTAGTGACGTTGTCTGCGGACATAACATCGATTGGTGCGATGGTTGGTTCTGGCTCGGACGTGGAATTTGTCGGAGCGTTGGTTGGGGATGAAGTGGACAGATCTGTTCCGGTGTCATTAGTGTCGTTGGTGCCGGCGGTTGCATTAATGTCTCGAACAGAACTTGTTTCGAGAGTGCTGGGAGCCGTGGGCAAAACAGAAGGACCTGGTGTGGACAAAGAAGGGCTCTGTGTAGGCACAGAAGGCCGAGTGGTGGCTACTGTCGGTGCCGAACTCGGCGAGGATGTCGGGGGCAGCGAACTCTCTGGTTCGCCGAGGGGAGCTGAAGCAATTGCACTTGGCGCGATGGTGGCATTGGCTACGGTAGGCCCATGCGTCGGGTCTTGCTGTAGCGCTGCATCCGTTGCGTTTGGCTGCGATGAATAATTGGTGGCCACTTGATCGTTTTCCGACAGTGGCGGTGTGGTGTTGGAAGTAGATGAAGTAGAAGTAGTTTCGGTGATGTTGGTGTTGTTGTATCCTCCAGATGCTGTCACGTTGGGAGTTGACAATGTCTCATTTTGAAGCGCCAATGCAGTTTGGTTAGTTCCGATGAATTCGAGGTGGTCTGTGCCATTCAAGGACAGCCTTGTCGTGTTGGATTCGATGGAAGCGGTACTGTTCGAATCCAAGTCCGAGTTTCTGTTCACCGATACGTAAGTCGGAAGAACTGCTATTGCCATGTCCGTGGTTTCACAGAGGGTTTCGACCACTCTTTTCTGTCTTTTGTTTGCATTTGCTCTCAGTGTTGCACCCCGAATATCGATGACACCTCCAGTCTGCTCATATATTTCAAAGTTCATCAACAACGCTTCCGGAAGATTTTCATACGTTGTGAAGCCGAAGTCTCCGCTTGTGATGTTGTTTAGGAAAACGACATATTCTTCCTTACTCATTCTATTGTTTCCACTTGTGTCGGCCTCTTCAATAGCGTCCAGACATATTTCAAGGTCTCCAGTCTGTGCATATGAACCGTTCATCAGCAGCGGCGCCAGTACCAGTGTCCCTAAGATTAGGCGGTGCCACATAGGGGAGATCATCATGGTGGCAGTCAGTTCAGGCGCTGCAGATCTTTGAGGACATCCCAATGCGGAAGAAAATGATATTCAGCGAAACGACTTTTTTGGGGAGTTGGATCTTGTGTGGCCTTTTTTTGGTGTTGTGGACGAAAAAAAATGGAGATCAAAAGATTTGGGTTTGTGAAAGCCTTTGTGGTTCAGCACAGTGCTGTTCGTACCAGTACGTTCAGTGGCGAAGTACAAATAAGGTTGCAACGAAAAGGAGTCTATTTTGCTTTATGTAAATTTGGATGCGGGTATAGAATTCAGCTTAGAAGCTGCCTTAGTCCCTATCAAACTCATGGAAAGGTTCACAATGTTTACAAAGCAAAATCCATCCGTTGGCTCACAATTATTTCGCTCCGTTGCTTCTGAGGTGTGGGAGTCAGTCTTGTAGATGAACTGGGCGACTTCACATCTCTCCTTTTGGAGCGTTCTATTGTTCCGTCGGCTAGCTACCAGGCTGCTCTGTCAGAAGCAGGGTGACCAACACTACGAGATGACGATCATTTGAGCGAGAGAAAGCAGGATCGGGAAGCGAGGCCACAGACTCGGAGAAGTCTGCAACGACAAAACGTACATGTAGAATACCGATAGGGCCGCCGCCTTCGTACCGGTAGCTGATCTTTGTAGGGGTTGCGGGTATCCCCACCCAATTAGAAACGTATAGCTTTTTAATTACATGTAAAAGCCCCAACTCTTGCTTTCCTGCTGCTTCCTTCCCTGAATTTCCTGCTCTAGCAGCACTACCAAGATGATGCATCGTCATGTTGGAAAACGTATCAAAGTAGATTCCAGGCGGTTGTTGCTTGCTTGGCTTTGCATGGTACCTAGTTGCTTCCAGAACGCGGAGGAAAAGACTGGACTACAATATCTAGGTTATACGGTACGCCTGTGGGGAGGGTTGCTTCGGCGCTGGAGAATGAGATCAACCATTTAATCATTCATTGCAGACATGCGTCTCTTGCTCGAGTATCTCTCAGCTAGCTACCGTAGCAAGGAGGTAGCTAATACTACCTAGGTGGCCATAGTAGTCTAGTACCGGTGCCAGGGAAGAGTGTATCGCCCGCACCTTGGGCCTTGGGGTAAATGATTGATTCTTGGAAAAAAGCTATAAACAGTTTTGTTAAAATTTACAAGATGACCAGCTGTCTTAAAGTATCAGACGATGACTCTGTCTTAAGACAGCCCTCTCATAGAGTATAAGACCGTCTTTTAAACATAAGACAGTCATTGTCTTAAGACGGTCATTGTCTCATACATTTAAGACGACATCTGAAACATTCAGGGGGATGAGGAGATTTTGAGGTTAGTAAATTTATAATTTACTTCATCCTCCTGTTTCAGAAAGACATCATCTGAAGCATAAGACAATGACTTCTTTAGGACGGTCAATATCTTTTATTAAGTTTAAGACGGCCGTCTTTTAATAATAAGACAGAGTAATTGTCTTTTTTTTAAAAGACGAGACAGCTCTCTGAGTGGGACTCAACTTAAAAGAGTGATTTTCTTTTTTCCAAAAAGAGTTTTTTCAATTACGACTGTACCTCTGTTTTACCTGGAGGTGCTGTGCTGCTTGCTTCTTGTTGCTGCGTGGGCGTAGCTATTCAGCAAATCTTCAATAGGTCCTGGCACGTCCAGCACCACCCACTTTCCAATCTTCTGACGTACCACAACACATCATTGTTTGTGCTTCAAGCATATGCTGGGATTGCTTTGCTTGAATTGATGACCTGACACTTCATTGGCAGCACACAGTCTACCGTAGCATGACGTGTTGCCTCAAGACAGCTGTCCAGCCACCGCGTTGCACATTTAGGCAACTTTGGACAGCTCTTGGGACTGACGTTCGAGACTGACATCAGCTTATTGCCCTCACCTCCCAGGATGCCGACAGCGGAAAGCATTCTGCGCTTTTTCAACTCCGTCTGATGGCGAAGACACCACCGCTGCGTCTCCGATGGGTCACAAAACTATCTTTCTTTCCTCAATTGCAGCTGCTACCACCATACCTTTACAACTAAACTACCGCCAAGGTCCAAGAAGTTTGCCACAAAAATCCTTTGCGCTACCCGACCGCCGACGACCATCAAAAGCCATCAAGTTATCTCAAGCAAAATGATTTCTGCCGTTGCTTTTACTGCGCTGCTTGCGAGTTATCAGGTCTCCGCATTCCAGCCGCTGCCGTCCAATATCCATGGGTTCAACAGGGCCGTGCATGGCCTAGCACAACCAAGACCTTCAACTACAAGTTTGTTGGCATTTGATACCAAGCAAAATGTATCCGAGGTCATCGGCAGCAGCATTACTTCTTCAGGGAACACGGAGCCGCTGGAGATGGCGTACTTGCAAGAAACTCTGGACCAGGAAAAGGAAATGTTTGCCGCGTTTGACGTATCTAGCAGCAGTACCGAGATTGTGGTCGCCGCAGCGGAGCAAGAAACTGCTGAAGTTAGTCCATTGGAAGGACTCTTTTGGAGAGGATCAGTGGTTCTGCTTTGCGGTTTATGGGCTTCCAACTTTCCCATTGCCAAGATGATCATGGCCGAACCAGGTGTGGATTCGTCACTATACGCAGTCACTCGATTTGCCGTGGCTGCCTTGGCGTTGGCACCGGGAGCTATTGCCTCTACTCGAAGAACCGGCATGGACTGGGAAACGCTAAAAGGGGCTTTTATTTGTGGATCTTGGGTGGCTTTTGGGTATCTGGGACAAACATTGGGACTGCTCAGCACCACAGCTTCCCGGTCTTGTGTCATTTGCTCCTTGCACTGTGTATTTGTGGCTATCATTGCAGAGTGGATGCGAGTCAACAAGGCCAAGGAGACCATGATGCAATCGACTCAATTTGACTTCAAGCGACTCATTCCTGCCTCCATTGCAGTGGCTGGAGTGGCAGTGGTAGAACTGCAGGGTGCCGCTGGAGGTCCCAATGTCGGAGACTTGCTCTCGTTTGCGCAGCCCATTGGATTTGGCCTTGGATACTTGATGCTGGAAGAACTCATGGCCAAACGACCAGACACTGCTTTGGCCGTATCTGCCATCAAACTCGCTGTTGTTGCATTGGCATCGTTTGTCATGTTTGAACTCACGCCCATCATTCAAAACGGTGGACTCGACAACTGGTCCTTTGCTGTACCGGACTTTGGAGCCATTCTGGCGTCCCCCACGGCCTTGGCGGGAGTGTTGTACACGGGCTTGGTAACCACTGCCCTTGCATTGTGGATTGAATCCAAAGCCTTTGTGCGTGTCCCAGCTACAGATGCATCCTTGATTTTGACTACCGAGCCACTCTTTGCCGCTGGCTTGGCCGCAGTCACTTTGGGCGAAACCTTTGGCTTGTCCGACTATGCTGGGGCATCTCTCATCATTGCAGCTTGTGTCATGGCGACACTTATGGACGATGAAAGCCGCGACGAAGGGTGCCCACCAGATGCCGATGAGTGCGAAGCACCAAGAAGCACCTTTGGAGGTTATTAAACGGATCGTGTCACAGCAACGGATCGTTTTCATTTTGCCATTCAAGGCTGTTTGTTTCCGACGCTTTCCATCGCATCGCGTTCGGATGCTACTCTCACTAGAATATCACAACAATTTTTTTTCTCACCAACCACACATTCATAAGAACCCAAGTCGTTTGCACACAATCAACAAAACATCAAAGCGAGATCAATAGAATCCATCCTTTGTGGAAAGGACTGCGGAGTCAGAGCAACCATTGTTCGGTCGACGAGCTACATACTTGACGAACTCTCTTTGATCTCAATCGGTTATGCCTCCCCCCAAAAATTTCAATCATAAGTCTCCTCTTGCGCACTAACACCAGACCAGCTAATTTTGCAGCGAAGATTCCGTCTTGGTTAGGTGTTTGGAATGACTGGATAGCTGCTTGCCTAAGGACTTCGACTCTCGCCAACGTAGATAATGCTTCGTGCGCTAGTTGATGACATATTTAAAACCAGTAATGCTACGCAAAGGCAAGCAAGTGCTGACTTGGTCTACTTGGGGCTTCTCCCTACAACTTCTGGTATCCACCTCGTGGACCCATGAAGAAGCTGGTGACTGCTGCTCCAGCGACAAAAGAACTGATCGCTGTCAAGGCCACGTTAAGGCCATGGTGATTATTTTTCGATTGACTGTTGTCCGGTGGCATCAACGGGTACATTCCATTGGCCAGAGTCGTGCCCGGGTTGCGTGTCTTGTGGTAGAAGTCAAAGCTGGGAAGAGGGCGATCGTAGTAGCTTTCGTTTTTGATGAACCTCGTGATCAGGTCAAGAGCGTTCTCGGGCTGATTGTAAGGCACGAGGTGCCCGCTATTGTAGATCACCACGAAATCAAGGCCCTTGAGCGACTTGGCGTAGCCCGCTGGTGTCTTGTCTTTGGAGTTCTTTGGATTTACCCACAAGCCTCGCGGTGTGGTGAACCATTCCTCCGCCCCGCTCCACTCCATTCCATTCAGCAACATCTCACTCCCTTGTGCATTGGTGCTCAGGTCCCGGTCTCCGTTGTAAATAAGCACTCGAACGCCTGAAATGAAGGAAGTGTAGCAGTGTGAGCCGAACATATTGAAACCAGCCATCTCGCTAGATCCACCAAAGCATAAGCCACAGCACAACAAGCACTTACCCCCATCTAACATCTCAGCTAGATATGGCACGGTGGACATGGGTTGGTCATTCTCCAACAAACCTAGAAAGCGCCTGGCTTCCTGAAGCCTGCGGCCAGCGCCTGGGATGCAGCCCCTCCAGAAAACATCCTCAGGGGCGTGGAGTTTCTCCTTTACTCTCGGGTCGTTGAAGAAGTTCTCAATGGAGCTATTACCACCCAAAATGACGGGATAACCGTCCCATGTGGTCACATCGTAGGCATTCTTTTGATGCGTGTTTTTTTAAAAGCTCAAACGTCAGAATTCATACAATAGAAATGGAACTGTCCGTCTCCGTTTGTCGATCCGTGATCACAACTTACCGGGCCATTCAAGTTGTCATCCCACACACCTTTTCCTCCCGCCATCAACGGTGCAAGCATCATTCCACAATCGTCAGGAGGATTCACTTTGTGGAAGGGCGTTGGTTCCTCTTCGTCTTTGGGACTGTTGATGCAATGGTTCCATTCGGCGTGTAGAGCCTGTCTTGTGTGCTCATCATACAAGCCGTGCCAGTACCCGTAATCAATTGTTGCTGGACCCTGGACCATTGCGTTTGCCCAGCCATTGCCAAGCCCCACACCCGCCAAGTTGATGGCAATGTCACTGGTGTCATCCAGCTTCTTCTGCTCCTTGAAGATCTTGTAAGCAATCGAAGGCGCAAAGTAACCAGCGTAGCTCTCCCCGACTATGAACAGCTTGGACGACTGGTAGGTGTCAAACACTTGAAAGAAGTTTTGCAAGAAGATGTAAAAATCCCCCGCCAAATCTGCTTCCTTTTCAGGGTCAGGGCCCCCAGTTGAGAAACCAACGCCAACGGGTTGTTCCACATACAGCATTGCTGTAGCTTTTGTCCAAGCATTCTCATTGTATTCAAAGGGCTCGCGGGCTGAGGTGCGGGCATACCCAGCCGGTCGCAAAGGAACAGTAACTGGGCTATTTTCAAACATCACACCGCAATTGAATGAGGAACAACCCGGACCTTGGGGAGAAGGTTGCAAGAAGGAAATGTAAAAGACGTGAGAAATCTCGCGCCGCCAATGCTGGTCTCTCTTTTTGTTTCTTTCTTACCTCCATTGAGCCACACTGTCACCGAGTTGTGGCCAGTTCGTCGGGAACAAAGAACCAGAACATGAGTTCGCCATGGCGATCGCCATTACCCATTGGAAGCTGCCCTGCATACATGCGCCCTTCAGCTTCAAACGTTCCGTATGCGGGTTCCACTTCACTCAGCCCTTCCACAAGAAAATCGTCCATGGATGGAAGCGAACGGGGGGGCAGCATTGTTTTTTCATGGAGTTTGGCTGTTGTCATAGAGACAAGCAGCGCTACGATGAAGAAGCGACGCATTGGCTTGGTGGATGCTGGTTTTCGTTACACTTGTTTTCTTTCCTTGTTTTCTCAAAAGGTTTGCGGATTTGTGATTCTTTGTTGTGTGTCGAGATAAAAGCGGATCACTCTCACCTTCCGGAGTGGAGGAGATGCGAATCCCCATCTTACGTGCAATGACACGTCGTCATGAAGAACCGGGAACGTGAGGTATTGTGAGTTATTGATGTTATATTATGCGAGAATCTTCTGAATTCCTTGACTCCCAGAAAACTTACGCATGATTGAATTTGATCAATTGGGTTCCCAACCAGGTCTCAACTAACTGTCAGTCAAGATGATTGCAGTTGTATTATCACAGGATGGATCTTCGGCTATTGTCTCTGAAGTTGTCTCAATGGCTCGACTCGAGGATACTCTGTGTCCGCGGAATCTCAAAATGCAATGGCAAGGATACGGGATGCAGTTCGGGGCTCCCTGCTCTTCCAGCAGTTCATGTCGCAACCCAGACTCTGCTGAAATGCATCTCCACACAAACCTAAACCCGCTACAGTACGTTTCCAACTAGCTTACAAGGTTAAGTGTTCAACAATTCTGAGGTGTGGATTCCATAGTCACCGCAACCGATATTCTGCATCATCATCTTGGCCATTTCCAAAAGGATTGTATTCATCTTGAACGTCTCCAGACTCCATCCTCACCCATGAATTCCAAGTGAAAGTTGGTTCTTGCTCCTCATCAGCATCGCTTTCCTCTTCTCCGCCTCCAGTCACACCGGCCACGTTATTGTTGTTCAAATACAACTCATATACTCTGGCCCCTCTGTCCCAACTTCCATAACCACCATAACTATGAGCAGGCACACGCATAAAAGGGCCCCACCGTTTAGACAGCAATAGCAACTCTGGTAGAGTGAACACAAACAATCAGACCTCAGCACTTACCCAGAGTGCCTTCCAAAGCACAAATGCAGGTTGTTGCCATTATCATTATTGTCGTTGTTGCTACTAGATGACTGATAAGAACAACAATAGTCATTCCCATGCTGATGGCCAACGGCCAGAAAGTGCACATTCCCGTCATTCAATAGCGCATCCACCATGTTGGCATCAGGCGACAGTGCATCCACCCCATCATCTTGCATGCCTTGACAGGTATTGCCATCATACTCAAACTCTTTGGTCGGAATGTGCTGAAATGCCACCATGGGAATGCCCTGGTGATGCTTTCGCCTTTGATGGAACCAGTCGACCTGATTGGCTAGCAACTGTTTGGGCAAGGTCCCACCACCGGAATCCAAAAAGAGCAATTGGAGTGCCACAGTGTTGCTGTGAGAGTTGCCAGTACCACTGCCATTATAAAAAACATCCAAGACGTAGTTGGACACTCCAAACACTGACTCAGCTCCCCGTCTGGTCAGTGAGAGAGGCGCAAAACTGTGGTCGACATGGAAGAGGTCTTCACGTGATGTTCTCGCTGGAGTCACAATTATTTTTGTTTCATCTTGAGAATCGTCGACTTCCAAAGGGGCGTCATCGTGGTTGCCAAATATCATTGCCCAGGGTACACCATAGTGCTGTAACTTATCACATATTCGCCGATAGACGGCCGTTGCATTCTGGTCGATATTGTTGGCCGTGATCTGATCTCCACTCAAGATAATGAGGTCCGGTTGCTCTAGCGGAATCACGGAATCCAAGACGTTCAGACTGTTGATGTCTTGCTGTGGCCCCCAGTCTGTATCGGAAGCTTCCCCAAAGTGCAGGTCGGCTAGCTGTAGGATCTTGAAGGATTGCTGATGAGACTGCCCCTGGATTTGAAGATGCAGCCGTCGCTGCTGTGTTTCTTGGTATGAACTCCGCTGCTCCAGCCACACAACTAAAGTTGACAGCGTCGTTAGAGTCACCGCCAACAAACCCAAGTCGAAAGCAGACAGTTGGCGACGATGGACCATTGTCGTGGCTTCTTTCTTTTGTGAGCTGTGGCAACGATGTTCCGTGTGGTCCTCCGTTTGTGGCCCCTGAATCCCACGCGGCTTAGCTAGCTAATTCATATGCCTCCTGGCTCGTCTCCGTTTCCATAAATCTTTTATTACCAACACCTAACTCGCTTTATTGAAACAGTATTCGCGCGCTCCGCGCGCTCATCCCTTTCTCTGCTTCGCCCCGATCCCTCATTCATGCGAAAAATGTGAAGAACGCAAGGCGACTTTCATGTGCATGTACATGCGTTGACTGTATCCCGTCAATACAATACTAGTCGAATACGTAGACTTCTACAGAGGCCTCTAAGTAATGCACGCGGGGTATAATTCAAACCTCCACTCCCCATCGGTACCCTTACCCCTAAAAGCAAATCGTCTCCGGGAGACGAAATAGTCCTCCTCCTTTGCCCAAGCCCCAGCCGAATAACTTCCGCACATAGCTGGATCTACCGGTACTCTAGCTAACTAGTACCTGGTAACCTAATCTGTTGAATAAGAAAACCACATGTGTTTATTTATAAAAATAGGATGATGGAGGGAACATGGGTCGACTTGATCAAATCTAAGAATATCCGCTGCAGGCAAGCAATCAACTCAACTATGGGACTTGGGACAGGGACACATTCAGCAATAATACGGGAGGATGATACTGGTAGTGGCTTGGTAGATCAATCAACTCTAAAAACAACGATTCAATCATTGCTACAATCGATACACAGGAAGGGTGCCATCCTTTCGTTTCTTGGTCACTTTCTCACCTTCCAAATCCATGTTGACAGAGGGTCCAGTGCCGTTCAAGCTCCTCTCCAGACCAATCTTGTCCCAATAGTACTTGCTCCAAGTGACAATAATATGTGTCATTGCAATGGCTGCAACCACCATGTCAATCATTTCAGTGGACTCAACAGTCCATCCGAACCTGTCCATCAAAATGTACACTGCGCTGCTCTCCAAAACCAGAAAGAGTAAGGAAAAGAAAAATTCGTTCATGATCCTCTGCATCTTGATCTGATACCCAACCGATGGCAAATGCTTGTCCACATTCATTCGGATTCCAATCTGAACAAAGGTAATGTTCAAAAGCATGAGACCTCTTTGGAAGAAGTCTGTTCCTTCCAGGGTTAGAGGCACAACCACGGCCACAACATTGAGCAAGCCAATTAGCGGCATCATGTTATGGTCGTAGTACCCAGAATCTCTGCCAACCCTGAGCCTAACTTCAAGACAGTGGTCTTGTTGGACCTTTGCCTTGTTGGGTTGATGTCCCAAAATGGAGTTTGTTCCACCTCCCATGGACAACGGAACAAACTGAAAGTCCAATCCTTCCTTGGCATTGTATCTGAAGTCTGTTGGGATCAATATGAAAAGCAAGAAGGATAAGAATGTTGCCATAAAGCACTGCAAATTTGGGCATGTACAAACTACGATTCGATTCGCTCACCTGGTACTTTAGCGTGGTCTACAATCAAACCATGTGGGATCCGGGTGGAGTACATGGAATCTTCTTCAGAAGCCAGCTCTAGCCCATATTGATTCATGTCCCAACGGCAACCAGGTCTCCTGTGCACCAAGATCCCAAGCTTCAAAGTCAAGATATGTTCATCGTGAGGAAATCGATCCAACCGCATATTGTGCTGCATAAGAGTTGCCTTGTAGAGGCAAGTCCATCTCATGAGGCGGGTTGTTTTGGAATGTTGCCTACTAGGATCCATCAGTTTCTGGAATACCTGTTTTTTCTCTTCAAGGACACATACTTCTGGGTCTCCAACAGTGTCAAATGTAACAACATTGAGCAAGGAGATGGGCGGAACATCAATGGTTTTTTGAATGGTTTCATCACAGATGACACGCTCATATGCCTTGCGTCTCCCTGCCATTGCCCACTCGGTCTTTTTCTTCTTTGGATGTTGTTCTTCCTCTGAAGAAGACATTTCACAAATATCGTTATCCGCTGTTTCTTCATCCACATCATCCCAAAACATGGTGACACGAAAGGTCATGGGGACACGTCCCAAGGCAACATCTACTGGTCCGACATCCCAAACGACCACTTGGAATCGAATGGCTTCTGGTGTGATGACATGTCCATTCTGATAATGGTTGTTGACAAAGGAAGATTGTCCTGGCGACGCCATATTGCTCCGAAAACGCATTGATCCGTAACCATGCTGCTGATGAATGGCCGTGCTATCTCGACTTGCCACGGAAAGAGGGCTATGATTATAGTAATTCGGCTTTTGTTCTTCTCCTCCGTCACTCCCGTCTTCGCTGTCCATACGAGCGGTACGGTCGCTGTTGCTTCCGTTCGACGCCACTCTCGGTATCTGATGAAAGCTTTGGCATCGATCAATGATCATGGTTTGTCCATGGGAGGTCGTCATGGTGTTGGTGGTACCTTACCGTATCGGTAGCAACGGAGTGTCGATTTATGATCAAAAGCAATCGGATGCTATGGTGGTGTTTGGATGATAGATGTGCAGAAAGTAGCCACGTTCTTTGAGAGAAAGGATTTGATTGAATCATTCGAGTTTCTGTGTAACATGCTGTACATACATTTCTGCAAGCTGGAACAGAGACAGACCTCAAGAAGTTGAGCGATCCAACAAGACAGACATGTTGCCTCCGGCAAACTTCTTCCTGAAGTTGAGAGAAAATGTGGCACCAGATGTGCATTGGAGTTTTGGTTGGGTGAAAAGGTTACGACGGGGAAACCCAGATTTACTAAAAAAGCAGAGGGTGCAAGGAGGAATGAATCCAGAAATGGGCAATTGATCAAGTTGAGCAGCCTGCCCCCGAGCTGTTGGAAGAAACACCTCACAAGGCGAATCAAATTGAAGGTTCAGGTTAAAACCTCAGGATACCCCCCAGTCGGCGAGTTTGTTCCGGTCTGCTCCGCACACCGCACAAGATCCTGACAATGAGAATGCCAATGGCGCTCTTCGGCGATTGAATCATTCATTTGCTTACCCTTGTTCCTTAGCTAGTTAGGACTTCCTCCTTTTATGAGACTTCTTCCTTTCTAACTCATCATAAGGCTCTCCAACTCGCAACAATGATGCAGGCGAGATTGATAACTCTACCTCTCCTTTTTCGACCATATGCGTCCTCCCTGCGCTCCTCTGTGTTTCGCCCAACAATCAGGAGGACCAAGACATCCTCCTCCTCTTCTTCCAAGCGTGTCGAAATTGACGAATTATCCTCGAAGCATGGGGTTCGCCTCACACAAACGGAGCAACGAATGCTTCGACAACAGCTCGATTCCAATGGCGATGGTATCATTACACGAAGAGAACTCCAAAAGGCCGGCAGAAAAGCATTGGAATCACAGTGGGAACGAGAGTTGTGCCTTCAGGTTATTGAGCAGCCCGTGTCGTATACCAGTCGCATGGCAGCCACGTTTCTGTCCGTATTGGACTACAGTGGAACGGCACTGTTTGCCATAGTAGGCACCCAATTAGCCGGAGAAGCTGGCATGAATCTAGTGGGATGCACTCTGGTGGGCTGCATTACCTGTCTTGGAGGAGGAACACTCAATAATCTGCTGTATGGATCCTCGGCATCCTTACTGGGGAGACCTGGCGTGTTCTGGGTCACTACTCCAAGCTACCTTGTGACGGCTGTAGCAGCATCCATGGCTACCTTTTTCCTCTGGCCCGTTTATTGCCGAAATCAGGCACGAAACGAAATGGAAGAGTTTATTGGCAAGGACAACCTGGAAGAGGATGGCAGTATCAGTCTGCAGACCTTTGTCAAAGCCTGTCAGAGAAATCCAGAATTCACCCAGAAAGTGGCGTCTGCTTTTGGAGTGGATCCCACGGCAATTTCCGCCTCGGAACTCTTTCAACTTGTCGACACCGACAAGTCAAACCATATCGAGTTGGATGAAATGCAAGCACTCGTGGGGAAACGGTTTGACGCATCCCCAACCATCTACGCACTGGACACACTCGCACTGGCAGCCTTTGCAGTGGTGGGAGTCAATGGAGCCATTGGTCGAGGACTACCGCCATTGGTGGCGGCCACATCCGGCGTCACAATGTGTTTTGGAGGAATCATGCGAGATGTCATGTGTGGACGAGAAGTAGCCATTGGAGGACAGAGTTATGCCTTTACAACTGGAGCAGGGTCCCTCATGTATGTTTTGCTGAGGGAACTACGCTTGCGTCAAAGGGTTATACCCATTCCCTTGATTGCGAGAATGGTGATTGCATTCAGTACTACCGTCTCTCTTCGAGTTTTTGAGTTTTGGCAAGGGGCTCCTTTGCTCCAATCCATGCACCACGAAATTAACTAAGCTGCATGCGTGCTGCATGAAACTTTGATACACTACCGCATAATTTTGAGCTTTTGTTTATTATCATACAACCTGATCACAAGGACCAATTAAAATCTGTTCTGTGGTGGAACCAGCTTGAAAGGCAGTTCTCCAGTTTGAACCACAGGAGCACACGCGTTAACATTTTTGTTGGACAGTGGAACCTGAATACATTTGTGCTAGCTAGAAGGTAAACGAAAATAGATTATGAACTCCAGATTTTGGAAGACGTGGCAACTGGAAGGTGAAACACAGCAAAGGACTGCCAACGCTTCTACAGCATTGGCTTGCTTGGACTGGATCGTTTTGGTCGGTCTGATACGGTAGCCGTCAACTTGCCACAGGTCAATCACTTGTTGCATCACACAAGATTTTCCTCGAATTTGCTTCTGGATTTCATCGCTGTCACCAAGGAAACTGGTAGCTACCACGCGGCTGGTTAGACTGTCTTGGGTGCTTGCCTGGCTCTGGAGCGCATGCCAGTGCATTGGATGACATGAGCATAATAATAGTACAACCACGTGGAGAGAATGTGGCTGAAGGAAACGCCAGCTGCAATATTGTCAATTAGATGGGTAGCTGTGAAGCTCCAGTTGTATTGATCATGGAGGACATAGACAAGGCTGCTCTCGAGTACCAATGCCAACAAGGAAAAGAAGAACTGGTTCATGATCCTCTGCATCTTGATCTGATACCCCACTGAGGGTAAATGCTTATCAACATTCATGCGGATTCCGATCTGAACAAATGTGATATTCAAGAGCATGAGACCTCTCTGGAAGAAATGTGTACATTCCAGGGACAATGGAATGGTCACTGCCACCACATTCAGGACTCCAATAAGTGGCATGATGTTTTTGTCGTAGTATCCACTGTCTCGTTTGACCCGCAGTCGCACCTCCAAGCAGGAGTCCTGCTGTCGTTGTTGTGGTTTTCCAGGCGCTCTTTCACTGGAATTAACAAGGGGCAGGGATGCTCCAGACGTTTCGGGTACAAACTGAAACTCGAGGCTGTCCTCTCGAATAAAGTCTGGAACTCTGGCATGGTCGACAATCAATCCGTGTGGGATTCTTGTGGAGTACTGTGAATCATCCTCTGTGGCCAACTCCAGCTTGTACTTGTTAATGTCCCATCGGCTTCCTGGTCGCCTGTGAACTAATATTCCCAGCTTCAAAGTCAAAACATGTTCATCATGAGGAAAGTTGTCCAGTCTCATATGGTGCTGCATCAGGGTTGCCTTGTAGAGGCAAGTCCACCGCATCAGCCTTCGTCTCTGCTGAACAGTGCCTATGCGTTGTTGCTCTCGTAGAGTGCAAATTTCAGGATGACCAATAATATCAAAGGTCACGACATTGATCAAGGAGACAGCTGGGACATCTACTGTTTTGAGAATATTCTCATCTTGTACCAGTCTTTCGTATGCCTTTCGCCGACCCTGCATGGTCCATTCCGTGTGGTAAGAGTTGGTGGTCGCTTCTGCTGCCTGGATACTACTCTCTTCTTTATTATTGTTGTTGGTTACTGATTCTTCGTCCACATCATCCCAAAACATGGTGACACGAAAGGTCATGGGGACACGTCCCAAGGCAACATCTACTGGTCCGACATCCCAAATGACCACTTGGAATCGAATGGAGTTGCGCGACTTGGACGGCGGCTTGGCTGTTGTTGTACATGTAGTAGGTGAATTGTTGTTGTTGCTTCGAAGGCGAATGGACCCGTATTGCTGCTGTTGCTGCCGTTGCTGCTGCTGTTGTGGTTGCTGATGAGGATGAAGCAGTGACACCTGAGAAGGTGGAATGATGAGAGAGGAAAGACTGTGCACCGAAGACGATGGTTTGGGAATAAATGCAGCTTCTTCATCTGCTCCTCCTCCGTCCAAATCAAGTCCGACTCCATCGTCCCGGTCTTGTTGTCTGCTTCGAACGGAACTTCCCGAGGGCGAGTCCCAAACTGGAGCAGGAACCAACTTGTGAGCGCTCGCACAGCGATCAATGATCATTGTAGGTCCCCACGTCATGGTGGTGATTGCTTGTCTCAATTAATTGTCTGGCAGCACAGAAGAGTAGAACAAGAAACTCACAGAGCCATCAAATCATTGAGTTGTGACCACACTGAAGCAGACAGTTCCAAGAGCTCGATTATGCGAGAAGGAAAGAATTGTGTGACGTGTTCGACTGTTCCGACCCTCGGACATTCAGTCATGCAAAGAATCTTTCGTCTGGCCGCTGCTGCGACTCGACTCGTCGCTGCCTCCAATGATTTTGTTTTCTTGGAAAGTGGCTTCATTTTTCTGTTGCTCTTTGTTGTTGTCAAGTTTCCAAGAGAATATCATCTATCTATAACTAGCTAGCCACCGGTAGCCGGACAGTGTTCCAATCGAAGTTTTTGGTACAGCAGACATGGACGGCCAATTCAAAATCTCCTACAATGAAAACCAACGTCCGCGACGACCCAATGAAGATACCCTGTCTTACATCAAGTCCCTGCCTCTGGAGGTAGATCAAGCCCACAGGGAAGTCAACGAATACCTGGAGAAGAAGCAATCCAAATCAGCAGACAACGATGACGATGATCTCCCCCAGCTCTTTTCCGTGGCGCTGACTGCCATTGACGAAATCAAAACCGAAATTGCCTCGTTGGCGGGGGATGAAGCTGGATCGCAGTTCTTGGAGATGCTCACACGCATCGTGGCACCGTACTCCCCATTGGCCGTGCGCAAGTTGCTCGCGGGATGTGCCGGATATTACTTGCATTTGTCGACACACCGATATGGATCGCATGTCGTGCAGACACTCCTGCAGCTGGCGACTGTAAATACTGTCTGCAATAATGATTCTAACAACAATTCACACGATGATTTGGCACGAGCCGTATTGGACGATGCCTTTGAAAAGGAACAAGAGGAATTGCCGCCTCTGGCGGATTTGATTTTGGGAGTGGCCGAAGAGCTCACACCACAGGCTTCCCAGTTGGTCATGCACATTTGTGGATCACACGTCGTCAGGACTTTGCTGTGTGTCCTCACGGGAACCGACATGGTGTCATCCTCCTCCTCACCTGCAGCGACAACTGGTGGTGATGATGTCTTTCGTCGAGGAAAAAAGAAAAACAAAAAGAAGAAAAAGAAACCAGACACAGCAACTCCAGCCGCCGCAAGAGGAATGACGCAAATGGTATATCGAAATCCAGCCAATCTACGAATGGATGTTTTCGGTAATGAACAGTTTACAGCGGCATTGGATGCACTCACCCAGCAAATAACATCACAAGCCAATGGCCAGGGCGTACTGCAAAAAATGGCCAGTCATCCCAGTGCAGGGCCGTTTCTGATTGTGCTACTGCGCGTTCTCACGTATGCATCCTGCACCGACCAAGCCAAGTGGCAAACACACGATGACGATGACAATAATCCATCCACTGGTGGTGGTACTACTACTACTAGTCTGACCAGAACGCAGCGGCATTTGGGCATGGAACTAGAACAGCCCAAGTTCCAGCTCGATTCCATGGCACACCAGTTGGCAAAAACAATCTTGTGTTGGCCAGAAGACGAGTCTCCCTCCTCCAACCAAGACAACAATGCTTCTGCTGCTGTGGCGGATGTCATATACGGACTTGCCGGGGAACCACGTGGGTCTCATGTCTTGGAAACACTCTTCTGGTGCAGTCCTGGTCCGGTCTATGACAAAATGCTGGCATATGGTAACTTTTTCGAACGGGCTACCATTCAGGAATACATTGATGATCCCATTGGAAATTTCGTCATTCAAACACTGCTCCGAACCATCCAAACCAAGGAGCAGGCCGAAAAGATTCAAAAGGCCATATTGCCCATCATTTCCAGTGGTTCTGTGATTGACCAGGAAAAGAAACGTCGTGGGATCCTCTGGCGTGCGGTCGAGATGGCGGCGAACCATCGAGTGGGGCAAGATGCCACCCTCAAGGCAATTCGACTGGGATTTGCCGCTTTGTTGCCCGCTTCCTCCTCGAAAACGACAAAACCAGAATCCAGCAAGGAACCAGGCAAGAAGGAACGAAAGAAAGCATCGACAATCAACCTTTCTGATTGCATTGTCCATCTATTGGATGCCAAGAAGGATGAGGCATCGGGACGGGTGACCCTCGATGTAATGGGAGCGCGCACTGCCTACTATTTGCTGCGATTTGCTCCTCGTCTTTGCGAAGGTACCATAGAGGGCATTGTGTCGTCGTATTCGCCCGATATGCTGATGCACTTTGCCAAGGATGGCTTGGCGAGTGCATGCATTTGGGATGGACTCCTGGAAGGGCCGACGGAAAGCCCCACGTTCAGCAAGGGGCTGAAACAGCTAAACGACAAGCTCAATGGCCACTGGGTATCTTTGAGCTGTGATCGCTGTGGACAGCACGTTGTAAAGAAGATATTCCGAGCACTGCCAGATCAACACAGAATAAAAATGGTGGAGGAGCTATGCCGTGGGATTCCACAACTGTCGGGAAGCTCCATGGGTAGAGGCGTTATGGATGTTTGCGCCGTCCGCGATTTCTCCCGTGGCCAAGACGCATGGAGAAGTGCTGTCAAGAAGTCAGCTGAGATCCAAGGAGACTGGGAAAAGGAAGTGTTTGGAGAAATGGGGGCAACTTCTGTATCTTCTAGCAAGAAGAAACGAAAGAGGCCTGATTAAAGCTAGACAAGTGTTATCATAGGAAGTCAAGAAGCTGTCCTGAGGAACCTTCTACGTACCACTTGCTAGCTAAATAGATAGCCACAAGAAGCATCTAGACAACAGATAGCTGATGGTTGTAAGGTGTAAGAGGAGCATAGCTGTTAATGTACCTTACCGTACAGTGAAAAGTTCTATCCTGATAAATCCTTTTTTTGCTTCTCAAGAACGAAAGTTGAAATAAACTTGACTTTTCAACTCCCGCACTTCAATTGCCAATTCCCGCGGTGGGAAGGCGGAGAGCGAAGGAATGATGATCATCCTTCACAACTTCGAATCGAGGCAACGTAGCATGGCTCCCTCCGGCGATACGATGGCCCCCAGCACCCTTTCCGAGATGCCCCCCAGCACCCTCTCCGAGAACCATGTGATCCCGGACAATTTGCCTCCTCCAGCGGAGGACGACCGCAGAAGCAAAGGCACCTGTCGGGATCGAATTGGTTGTGAATACAGTCGTCGCAGTCGAGACTTCTGGACTTATGCGATTGGATTTATCTTGCTAATGATTGGCATGGTATGCTTGGTCTTCGTCTTGTATGATCACCCCTCCTTGGTTGGAAAAGACAAGATGTCCGTGCAAAAGAATGTAACCAAAGATGCCGACGACAATGCACTCGCTCCCAGCCGAAACGCAAGTGCTGCCTACTACCGCGAGCTACGCCTCGCTGTGATCCATCAAATTCACCATGGATTGATCGACCCCTACGTATTCGTGCGACCCAATTCACCCCAGCGCATGGCAATGCAATGGATGGCTTTCAAAGATCCTTTGCACTTGCCATTGAATGGCAGTCGCTGGATTCAACGTTACGCGTTGATGACAATCTACTTTGCTAATGACGGCGACAAATGGACCGTCTTTGCTGGAGACAGCTCAAAACCTACTGCACTACCAAACACGAACATCCAGGAAGAGCAGCAGGTTGTTGCAGCAATTGTCTCTCCTAAACTGTCATCTGTGGTGCACATGGTCACAGAGAATGGATCACCCTGGTCTGAGCAGGCGGGGATTCATGAGTGCCAGTTCGCCTTAGTACAGTGCGATAAAGATGATCGCGTCGTCAGCGCCGCTTGGAGCGGAGACCTCGCTTCTCTGAGCGGCACTCTTATCAAGGAGATTGGTCTCTTGAGTCACCTTCGCCACCTGGATGTATCCCAGAACCAGCTGAGAGGAAAGATCCCAAAGGAACTTTTTGACTTGACTCATCTCGGTAAGACAGGGTAATCCAGAATGAAATTGCTTCTGCTTTGTCGTTGTGTATCAGTTGGGTTGGGATGCAGACAAAGCCAATGCCTCACACCACCGTTCGTCTTTCGAATAATCACAGAACGACTGGACCTATCTTTCAACGAGTTTGTCTCCACCATTGATCCTTTGATTGGCCGTTTCTCCAATTTGACCCACTTGAATCTGAAACGCACTCACTTTTCTGGGCAGCTCCCCTCCACTCTTCAGGATTTGACCAATCTAGAAGTGTTCCACATGGGTTCCAACCCTGAAGGCTTGGGCGGACCGGTCCTCAACTATGCTGTGCATTGGAAAAACGTCAAAGTTTTGGAACTTCTTGGATCGGCAACTTGGGGAACAATTCCATCGGAGCTTGGCCTACTCACACAGTTGACCGGAATGTAAGACCTAGCGGCGTCTTTGATCGTCTTATTCTGTCCTTTCAAAGCATAATATCTAACCCCACCGATGCCACCACAGTGCATTCCTGAACACTTTTGTCTCGGGAACCATTCCCACAGAGTTGGGGCAGCTCAAAGCTTTGAGTAAGTGCGCACCATAACGCAAGCTACTTGGCAACGGTCCTTTCAACTAACCGTGTCGTCTCTTTGCGTTGCTTGATTGCTCATTGATCATACTCACTCATCAAAGAGCAAATCTATCTTGGTTCCAACTACCCATCGAAGAGTGTTGTTGGGACTTTGCCCACCGAGATTGGTTCATTGACCAGCCTGGAAGTATTTTCCTGTCAACAGGTACGCCGGTGAGGAGGCCGACGATTCTTAATCGGTTAGATTCATGTCAGCTCAGGCGCATGGTATCATTCGTCTATTCTTTTCGTGCACACAGGTAGAGCTGACAGGTACAATTCCATCAGAGGTTGGGAAGTGGTCCAATGTGTACGTATTGAGTGCATTGAAATGAAAGTGGGTACTGCATGCAATCCCTGACAAGATCGCCCCTTTCCTTTGCTTCTGGGCGTCATCCGTCCAACAGCAAAACCTTTCACCTCTGGAACTCAGGAGGCATCCAGGGCACACTCCCTTCTGAACTGGGACGGATGACAAAGCTGCGATTGCTTTGGATTTTCGACACTGAGATCAGTGGAGCCATTCCATCCGAGCTTGGCCTATTGTCCGATGCCTCCGAAATGAAGTTTCATTCGACCAAGCTTGAAGGAACCATGCCTGAAGAAATCTGTGATCTCCCGCTCCAATCTTTGTCAGCCGATTGCTCATCATCCGTAGAAGGCTCGACCCCAGAATTGGTCTGTGAAGTGGGAACCTGCTGCTCTGAATGTTATTCCACCTAACTTAGCTAGGATCTATTATGTGGTGCTGTAGCTCTAGTAGCAACCATAGCTAGGACTCGTCATCTCTGAAGTAAACCAAACCTAGAGCTAGATTGCGAACTGGATAGGATTTTGGATGAAAAACCTTCGCGTTTCAATGCTGGCAGGCAGCTTGTGGTACCGGACGTACAGCGTAGATACACCGGTACCAGGTACCAGTACCGGTCCACTGGTGATGATGACAAGATGACATGATGACATCGGGTTTTGGCAGATGGATGACTGCATTCTGACTGGGCCTCTTAACTATGAGTCATTCTGATAATTTGTCCACGACTGCCAAGCTCACAAAATAATTGATGATGCCTTTTGGTTAAGAACATTCCTCCAACCAGAGCCAAACGCAAGCTTCCAAAGTTCTCAAGTTGTCCGCTTTCGGCTGTGATAGTACCGTACTTACTGGAGAGATCTTTTCGGTGCTCAGGGTGGGTACAGGAATTGGACCTGGAAAAAACCTGGAGTGTTGCCTGAAGTGAGGCCTTGAATTAGTCTACCGGTAGGCACGGTTCAGGAATTGGAGGAGGAAATTGATCATCGAGGCAGTCCTGGTGTGATAATCAGAGTGGGACCAGGACTTGGTGTTGGTCTGGTGTTAGTCAAGTGTTGGTCCACGAGTAGGGTCATGGTCCCTTGGGGTAAAAGGCCAACCAATGATCCAAGCGAGTTATCCTGCGTAGGTTTGCGATTGGGACCTGGAGTGGATGTTGTTCTTGTTTCTAGCAATTTTTTTATTGTGGTTCCACAAGTTGGTCCAGGAGTAGGTCCTGAGTTCTCAGTTGGTCATAGCTTTGGTTCAGGTTTGGAGCAAGGCAGGACCTGGACATCCAACGTGGCTGGGCCAAATCATATATTGTTGACCCTGGACACTAATCTTGCTAGCTAGAAGCCCATTCTTCCTTTAATAAACTGATCAATCAGCTCAAGTTTTCCAAAGTTTTCTTAAGAAACTGGGGAACATCCTGTTTCGTGTTTGTGGCTTGAACAGTACTTGCACCCATGAACATATTATGATCTTAAATGTAAGGATACATCGCGCTCATTGAGCTTCGCGAAGAAGCAGTTGACAGCAAAGCACTTTTCGTTGTGTGAAGATGATGCATGAGAAGAAGTGGGCAAGCAGCAGTGCGGAAGTGCGGCAGTTCTACAGCCTGGATTAGAACCAAAGGCAGTGAACCCATCAAATCTCTCATGAACGAAGGAGACATCCCTTTGTCTTGCTGTACCACAAAGAGAAGAAGGCACGACAACCAACAATGGTAAAGTTCTTCTCTCAATTTGACGAGGAGGAGGAGGACTATCAAGATGACTATAGCGGTGGTGGTGGTGGGGGTCGGAAAAAGCTATTGCAGCGGATCCGAAAACGCATGAGTATCGTGAATAAGCGAAGCGACGACGACGATGAAGAGGACGATGACTCGTACCGTCGCGAAGACGATGATGATGATGAAGAAGAAGAGCAGTATGGATTTTTGAAACGACAATTATTGAAGCGCCAAGAACAGCAAGAAAAAAGACGACAAGAGGCGCTACAACAACAAAAGGAAAAGGCCAAGCAACTGAAAAGTCGATCGAAGGAAAAGAACAACAACAGCAAAAAGAAGAAGCAACAACAGCAAGAATTGACTCGTCGCCGATCAGTGCGTAGAGACCACGGGGAGATGTCGCGGTTCAAGGGCAGCCGTACGCTTCGTCTGAGTGCATTACGTGATAGCGACAACGAAGAAGATGAAGACGTCGCCATGCCGCTTCCTGGTCATGCTATGGAAGACACGCCTGATCTGGAAGTCCTCTTGGCGCCAAAAGATGACGACAAGGACAATGTCAAGAGAAAGTCTTCTATCAGCGCTGGTGGAAAGAAGCGCCTCCTTTTTGGCTCTCTGTCCACAAAAAGGAGCAGCTCAGGCAACGATAGCAGCAACAGCAAAAACAACGACAAAAGCGGCAATAGCAGCAAAAGCAAATCCGGAGGAAGTAGCGTCGGATCTCGAAGACGAAAAAAGAGACAGTCATCGGATCGCTCGGTTGATACGCCGCCGTCTGTCGCATCCACTGAAAGTTCCATCGACAACATGAAGCCGACGCAGCGAAAGGGAGGCCATCCTGGTGGACCCAAGTCTGTCTCGAGAAGAGGAGTTCCTGCTGGCAAGAATTCCAAAAAATTAGACGGGGAAAACGGAGCTGGGATGGAAGCTGCGAGTCTTGATTACTACTATCTATCGATCCCATGGATTATCAAGACTTGGAGCTACTTCTTGACCGTGGTGGTCCCATTTACAATCCTCTACTACTGCTTTTGTGGAATCTTTCATTCCTCGGCCCTTCACCAAAATGTTTTCTTGCAAAAGGTTTGCGTTGCCAACGTCCTGTTCAATGGATTGGGGTGTACCTGGAGAACTGGATTCTGGGCAAGACAAGCCTTGGATGCTCGTGGGATCCATGCGGTACTCCCACGAGACAACCAACCGCCCGCACCACCGCTCACATCCAAGGGCACTGGGTCGAGTATCAAAAAGAGATTACCGGGACGTAATCGAAGTGGAAAAAGTAGGGACGGAAGGAACCCAGGGAGTATCATTGGTAATATTCCCTTGCCAAGAAGTCCCACGCTGAAAATGCCCCACAGAATAAGAAGGAAAACAATCCCAGGCGGAGCTGATCCCGAAGCCACGGTTCCCAGCAACAACGCAACAACAATAGCAGCATCTTCCCCGGATCAAAGTACATCACACAAGTCATTGGGAAATGAGAGTACTCGGTCCGGGGTCAGGGCGAGAAGTAGTGCAGCAGCAAGGAGACCGAGCGGCAGGTCTGCGAAGCGCACTCTCATGACGGATGACAGTGACAGAATGGGGGAAAGCAGCAGGAGTCAAGGACAAATGGAGCAGAGCCGCTTGGGGAACAGCAGCGGCACCTTGGTGCAAAGTGTTTGGGACGTGGAACACATGATCCCCTTTGCAAGACCAAAATCAACCAAAAAAAGACCAACGATGGACAAGCACACGTCCATTATGGAAATCTACGAACTTCATGCCAAAGACGAAAAGAACATTCTGCTGCAATAGACAATGTATGCGTGGTACACTTTTAAAGAATTCCGTGCCAACGAAAAGAATGCCAAAAGTCTCTGCAGCAGGTAGAATTGCGACCTCGGGTTGTCAGGGCGCGAAGCAAACCAATCTACATTTTGAATTTTCATTTACGGAACAACTTTGACCAAAGGTACGGTGCTGTTCAAGATAGATTGTTACAGACATCAAATGAATGGTGGTACTTGATTAAGTGCGACGGGAATGGGAGCACATTAGGTCTTGTACTGGAAGTCCTTTGTTTCTTTATATTGTTGCGGAATTGCATCGTCCTCCAGTGTTGTGGGGACGCTTTTATATTTCTCTAGATGCGCACAACTAGGAATATTTCACGCAAAACGCATGACTTTACTACCGGTAACTAGCAGACCCTACGTACTAGGAAAACGATCCCGAGCCCCTATCTGCGACCACGCCGGCACTTCGCTAGGTGGCAAAAGAGAGAATTTCCGATTAATGAAAGTGCTGAGCCAGAAGGGAGTGGGCTGCTACGCTGGGCAAGGATTGTCATGTTTCCTCCTGGAAAAAGATAGGTTTGGCCAAGACGAGACGCGGCTCGGCTACTAGCTAGAAAGAATCGAATCGAATCTGCAGATGGCCAAGTGCCCCAAAACACACTGTGACAACGAAGTCGAGTTTTCCGTGCTTTCTTCTTGCTAGCTACTGCGGTGAATCCAGAGATGGCTACCAATACCGGTATGTTGCCACTGGTGTTGTATACCGGTACTCACGAGCGGGGCTTTTGTGTAGATCGCCATGATCGCTTTATCGAACTTTAGCTATTGTTCTTCCTAATCAAGTCAGGAATGCAAGTTGAAACAATCAACTACTGGTCGCAAAGGTTTCATAGGATGGCAATCTCCGTTCTGATATTTTGCTGCAGGCAGGGATTCTGTTGGCTCTTGAGTTGTAGCGGTTTCTAAATACTGCATTGCATGGCTGGCTATCTGCGTATCCGTTATAAGGCATCAATCAGAGTTAGTTGTTGTGCGTTCCTGCAACGACATCATTTCTCAGTTGCCAGAAGATCAATGATAGCAAGCTGCTCCCATTGCGCCACGCCCTCTGTTGTGGGTGGATCTGTTCTCCAAACAGCCACTTGATTGGCTCGAAATGAAACTTGATCGACCTTCCCTGGTGTCCACAACAATAATTGTTGCTTGACTTGATCGGGAGAAGGAGCATTCTGCTCTGTTCCATAGTAGAGACTCAAATGAGGCCGCCTCAAAGGCGGAGGATACCAATTTTCTTTGGTGGATCCCTTGTCGTCTTTTTGGAGGACATTATTTGCCATCAAATAATCTCGGCACACTTCGACCAAATTGGAAAACTCACTACAGGATTCTTCGTCCATGACCAAAACACAAGCTTGGTTCCACTTTGCTTCCATCACGGGTTCTGCTTCAAATTGGCAGGGGATCGGTCCCATTTTGGCAAGGTTCTCTCGCAGTTTCGGTAGTATGTTCAGTTGGAAAAACTCGAGGGAGGGACATTGGATTCCTCCCATGAGTGTGATATGTGGCTGAAATGGAACACTGGCTGATGGGAGTTGGGAAAAGGACTGGATCGCCTTGTTCAAGGTTTCTCGAGCAGGATCTTGAGGTGATGGGAGCAGCCAAAGGGAAAGGCTGCAGTTTTCATCATCACCGGACTTTGCGGTTGTAGTAGTGCTGTCGGCCATGGCGTCCTTGGCAGTCATGGAGAATGATGTGCTGAACGGAGAGGTCGAGAGTGATTCTCTTGATGCTGAATGGCGTTCGATAAAAGGAAACGAAAAGCAACTTGACAATCCTAGGAGGACCAACCACAGTGCCAACCCCAACAAGCGGATGCCGACCATCGTTGATTGGCATGGCGGTTTGCTGTTTGCAGCACCTTTCGGCCTCTCATCGTCTCGTGTCGTCTCGGGGTTTCAGTCACTAACTTAACACATCCGGGAATCATATCTTTTCTTTCTTCCCGTTGTCTATAAATCGTCCTTGAAGAGACGATTTAAAGGCTGCTTAAAGCTTTAAAGGACATTTTTGAGAGAGGATTTAAGAGGTATCTCGGAAGCAGATCCTCGCACTCTCAAAGATATGCGAAGGCTTGAGCCTGGAAAGGAGAGGAAACAACAGGATGATCGATGATCCCCGGCACCAGTTCACCAAGAAGTATGCATCGGCAGCCACACAAAATCAGTCTCTGGTCGAACGGTGTCATAAGATCTTGAAGTGAAGCGAAAGAAAAGGAAACGATAACCATGAGTGAAGAAAAGAAGGAAGACGCCCACTTGGACAATTCTTCCGCATTGGCCACGTCTCTGCCGCATCCTGATGGGTTCTTTGGCGCCGACAAGACGTATGGTGGGGCATTTGTCCCTCCACCATTGGAACCCATTATGAAAAATGTGGCAGAAGAGTACGAAAAAGCCAAAATCGACCCTCAGTTCCTTGCTGACCTGGCAAACTTGAGGAAGACGTACATTGGACGTCCATCACCCATTTATCACTGCCAGAACCTGTCCAAGAAACTTGGTGGCGCACAAATCTACTTGAAGCGAGAAGACTTGAATCACACCGGAAGCCATAAAATCAATCATTGTTTGGGAGAAGCACTCCTAGCCAGGCAAATGGGAAAAACCAAACTTATTGCTGAAACCGGTGCTGGACAGCATGGAGTAGCATTGGCCACTGCTGCAGCTCTGATGCAAATGGAGTGTGAAATTCACATGGTGAGGGACAGAACCAAAAAAGTCTCATTCTCTGCATAACAACCTTGCTGCAGGTTCAACAGAAAGATCCAGAAAGGCCGCGTTCAACATGTTGCTCAATCCAATCTAACCACATTTGTTGCTCCTCCTTTGCCACAACCATCTTTTTTGTAGGGAGAGATTGACATCAAGAAAGAATGGCCCAATGTCCGTCGCATGCAAATCTTGGGCGCAAAAGTTGTTCCGGCCACGCATGGTGGAAAGTCGCTCAAGGAGGCTGTAGACTCGGCTTGTAAGTAGACAGGAGATTTGGCAATTGACTTATCGCTACGCACACAAAAGCCATTCTCTCACTTTGACTACTGACTGACGAACCACTCATTCGTTGTTTCATTTATTCATTCGCTCAATGCGGACTGCTAGTCCAAGCATACATGGGCGATCCCGAGCACATGTTGTTTGCCATTGGATCTACCGTGGGTCCACATCCCTTTCCAATGATGGTACGTGACTTCCAGGCCATTGTGGGATTCGAGGCGAAGGAACAGTTCCAAGAGATTGCCGGACCGGGCAAAGCACCCGATATCTTGCTGGCATGTGTCGGCGGTGGCTGCAATTCACTTGGACTCTTTACCGCATTTCTCGATGACCCCAACGTCAAACTCATTGGAGTGGAACCGGCTGGACATGGATTGGACAAGGGAGAAGGACATCATTCCGCCACACTCACCTTGGGAAAACCCGCTGTCTTGCATGGCATGAAATGCTACACACTACTCAACAGTCAAGGGGATCCCGCCAGTGTCCATTCATGTGCATCTGGACTAGATTATCCTGGTGTAGGCCCTGAGCATAGTTTCTTAAAGGACGCGGCCCGTGTACAGTATGAAACGGCCACCGATGAGGAGGTGATTGATGCCTTTTTCGAACTCTCGAGGAGTGAAGGTATTATCCCAGCATTGGAATCGGCACATGCTTTGGCCTATGCCATGAAAATTGCAAAGGACATGCCCGAGGACAAGAAATTGCTCGTCAATATGAGTGGACGTGGTGACAAAGATTTGGACTATGTCTGTGACTTGCATGGTGACCAGTATGGCATTGGGAAGGAAGGGATTTTTGCTGGTCCGACAAAGCACAGCAAATAGACAAACAAACGGCCAACAGCTCGGCAAACCCATCACGCGGCTTGCAACTGCACGACAATCAATGCCACCTGTTGCTGCTGAGTTTCTGTACATGAACACGAACAATCTTCGTAACCCACAGTCGTTTGGAATGCTTTACACGTCGAATGTAGCGATACCAAAGTTTATAGCGCTGTCAACATTATTAGCTCTTGGATGGGGCAAGCGGTAGTGCCAGGGTACTAGTACCGGTAGCTGGAAGTGGTGGCTGCGATCATTGTCACGCACTGAACTACACGAGATCGGCAACAACAAGACTGCTATGAAGCCAAAACAACTCTTTGACTATATGGGTAAAATCTAGACGACTCTGGTGGAATTGGTCTTTCAAGCACAGGATTCGACGCTACCGGTATCAATGAACATGCTGCCTGCTTGGGCAAACGGTGTTCCCTTCAATTCGAGGACATGCTCCTTGTAGTACTTGTTCAAATCGGTTCGAATGAGGGATTGTCCAAGCCAGTGCTTTCCAGGAACTGTCCCTGCTTCATTGGGAACGAAGTCAGCGACAACTTCCCATTCCACGATCAAGTCGTAGGCGTTGTGCTTGCCAAAGAGAGAGCGCCTCACAGCAATCCTCAGGTCTCGGAATGTGTCAAACTTCTTTTCAAGTTGCGAAAAGTAGAACTTTTGTGTCGACTCTGCAAGCGCCAAGTAATCGGCTGCGCTGGGCTCGTTCTGGCACTTCGGCATGGTGAAAGCAACGAACACATTGCAAACACGCACGGATGCAACACCAGGAGTGGTATGTTGATCGCTGCGTTCAAGAAGGCAGGCCTGCACGTTTGTTGCCTTGGCCAAGGAAGAGTCAGTGTCCATCATTTTTGAAATAGTGGGGAGGTAGCTTTTGTCGTGTAGCTGCGAGATTATGTGGTCGACGACTTCGTCCTCGTCCACGGTGGTGCCATTCTCGAAGAAAGCGCCCACTTTGGCCCACAAGCGGACCTGGAATTTGGCTTCGGGGTCGCTCATTTCGTTCTCAAAGGAAGTAAAGGACCAATTTAAGCCTTGGAAAGTCGGATATACATCCTTCAACTTTTGCTGGAGGTATCCTCCTGTGGCGAGTCTCAGCTTCTCCTCGTCCAATGGGCTTGGCCCCACTTTGAGGTCGGCTGGAAGCGCAAAAGCAAGGGAAATCGGAGGGACCTGAATTCGCATTTTGAATTATCGTTTCTGGTTTGTTATGATGTTTGATTGTGGGATGCTTTTGTGGGCTGAGAGTACGGTATGCACTCCAGAGACTGGACTTGCTCGTCTCAAGAAACCTGTCCGGCTGTCCAGAATCATTCGCCTTGCCTCGACTGAGACTCCTCGACTCGATCACCACTCCCGCACTTGTACCGGTACCGGTACAGTATGGACACATGTTTCGAAGCGTGACTGACGGGCAGGCTCCCACCGGTACATTGTTGGGAGCCACCAAGAGATCAAGAGCACATTCGCAACACCCCAGAGGCTCCCTGGCCAGCACCTGGATAGGCTGGCTGTTTCGGATACCGGTAGAGTTTTATTTCATGTTCAGCATCAGAGAGCGGAAGGATGTCGCTCTGGGCTCCTGGCAAGACAGGCTGCAGGAGAGGAGGAGAATCTGGAAGGCCGGGAAAATCTCCTACCTAGTGTGATTTCAAGTCGATAGCTCTATTTGACCCCAAATTGTTCTGCATTTCATTAGCAAATTCCCGGCACAAAATAGAGAGCCTACAGCGACCATGACATGCAGCTGCAAGCCAGTTTATACCAATTAAAGCTACACGACAAACAGTGGCGAGCCATTCTCAAGCTCAAATTGGCCCGTGCCGATGACAACCACCGAATCGAAGGCCAGCTTGTGCGTGGCAACCCCATGGCGGAATCGTTCAGAGAGCACTCGGAACAACTTGATTTTGCCGTTGAAGGTCTCGTGCTGGGCAAGGACTCGGCTCTTTTAAAAAGAGCCTCACATCGGAAACATCGTGCGAATTGGGTGTTGCAATCACTTTGCTTTCGCCTCGATACCCTAGATCGGCAATCGCAAGCTTCCCTGCTGGAATCTTTTTCTTCAAAGCAGCACAGAATATCTTGATGTCTGTGTGCTTTCCTGCTTTGAAGGGGCCATTCACCCACACAACCTACTGCTCAAACACCCAAATAGCAATCTCATAATTCAACCCGGCCGAGCCAAACTTGTGTGACCAATAGTCCCTGTCCTTGGAAAACTCACCATGCTGTGGCTCTTGAATCTGACAGTGGACACCATCAACAGAGATAATAAAGATTGTTTCATCCGTATCAAGGGCTTCCCCAGGGCTCCATCGGGACGGCCAGTAGATCTTGGCTTCTTTGAGACTAGAAATCCTTGGCAAGTAGTAATCCCACACCCAGAACCGAATTGTCCTATCAGACAATCCAAATTTCCCTCCATTTCATTTTTCAGTTGGATACTTTGCGAGATAGTAGACAGTCATAAGGTAGTAGTCAAACAACTTGTCACTAGCATTATCGATTTTGGCTTCCTCTATCCAAGTTGTCTGAAGAGTTTAATTTTAAGGAATTGAGTAATGAAGTTCAATCTGGAGTTTTCGGACCAGACATGAAAGTACGTCCACTTCTCCGCACCATTGGTCTTGTTTTCGGCATCCATAGTTGTGGTACCATGAGGTAGTCTGTAAATGTCCAGACCTACAATGTCTTGTGTTTTGGAGTCTTTGCCCATGATCGCCCCCAGCAATGTCCGCTTCTTTGAAAACTGTACCTTGATCAAATAGCCGACTCTTGCAAAAATGGTTGACGGAGCACCACAATCTGTTTCCAGGCTTTGAGTCATCACATCATTGATTGCTTCCACCTCATACTTCTTTTTGTTCTTCCAACTGAACTGGATGACCGTATCCGGTACGATGTCAGCAATTACAGGCTTGCGCTTCTCTTTGAAAAGGATGCAACGAGGATAGCCCCAGTAACTGAGATCGGGGTCGCGAGACTCTCCATTCGCAAGATGAATGTTGTGGGAAGCGCTACTGAATCCCCACTTGCCCCGCGATGAGGCAAAATCAAAGGCGTACCAAGATGTAAACACATTGTGTTGGTCCGACGGCACGACCAGGCACGGTTTTCCCTCTGCTAAAATGATGGGGAGATCTCCAATACCAGCTTCGTTCATATCCGATTGGAGAGCTTCTTCCGACTCGTATCGGTCTCCAAGTTTCGTTGCCAGCTCCGAAGGAAGATCTGCCACTTCCTCGTCTTCCTCGCTGTCATTGTTTTCACCGTCGCCGTCACCGGCAACCAAATCCTTTCCGATTTCTTCCACCTCACAGCTATCCTTCTTTTCTTCACCTGCTATGTCCATGAGCAATACCGTCGTTGTACTACAAGCGTGACTGACGGACAGGCTCGACATTGAGGGAACCCCGAGGAGTACGTTCGCAACACCCTCGATGAGTAACAGCCCAGTGGCTCACTTGATAGCACTACTAAGCTATGCATAGCTTGAGTAGTAGCTGCCCGTGCCCAGACAGCAGAGGAAACTTCTCTCCTCACCCTCTCATGACCACCACTCTCAGAATCTAGCCAGTACGGTTGGGTTCTTTGCTGCTGCAGTGCTTTTCAATGGCTAAGATTGGATGTCAATCAAAGCCCTCGCTACCGGTAGACGACTCCTTCGTAAAATGGCCCAAGGTGTAATCAAATATCTAGCTAGAGGACTAGCTAGAGGCAATAAGAAACAACAGGAGAGGTCGTGGTGATGTCGAGTGTGGAATGAAATCGAATCAAATCGAATCCAAAAAGTGAGAACCTGTACGAGCCAGTTAGTTTTCTCCCAGTCACTCAGTGACTCAAGTGACTGAAAGTATATAAAAGCACTTTGCTTTGTGACCACCAAGGAAAAGCATGGATTAACATTACCGTATGATTTTTAAGTCATAATCTATAGAAATGACCTGACGAACGAATGCTCACAATTTACACCAACACAGAAGCTCATCATCTTGCTTCTTCTTCATTCATCTCACAATCCACCACGGCTGAAAGCCATCAAGCAAGTCCCAGTTGCAGGCGTACATAGAAGAACCGTACCGTACTTCTAACAGCGGCAAGGCGAGAGCGACAACACATAATAAGTGCACCGGTAGGTTTTCACCACCATTCAGCAGCACCATGACAGCAGGCAGCGTCAAGATCAACAAATTCATTCCAACTTCACTCAAGGAAGAAATCACCAAGTCCTTTCTGGGGCATTTTCTCAGCACTCCCAAAGTCCGGCCTAAAAATGACAAGAACGAGCAAAACGCACCGGAAGTTTTGGATGGGAACTCCGAATCGGAGCATCGGTTTGAAGAAGATGCCATCAAGGTCACGGCCGCGGTAGAACAACGACGCGTCAGACGACACAGCGGTCAGTTTGGTCCAGGTGTCGTTCGACGGGCTCATCGCAAAGTTCGAACCAAGTCCGACGCAACTAGCAGTGACAGGTTCGATGATGAGGATGACTTGAGCACTAGTGACTTTGACACTACCAGTGGGGCCGAGGAAGATCCCAACATGGAGGACAGTCAGCTGCCAGATGACTTTTCCGGTTCCTATATGCCTCGTGGCACCAATGGGAGCAGCGGCGATCACAAAACGAAGTCATCAAGAATGTCATGTTCCGAGCGATTGTCGTCGTCGCAGCCACGAGCGTCAGACACCCTTTGCGCCAGCAGCAATCATACAGAGAGGTCACAACAACTGTCAACCCGCAGCCGGCGAAAGGGTAACGCGCGACTGCGTTCTCTGTCGGAATGTCGTGGAAGCAGTCGTCGAAGCAGTGCAGGTGAAATATCCCAAGGCAGTGCGCGGGGCCTTAGCAGCAGTCTCCACAGCAGCCTCCACGGTAGCAGTCGCGGTCGCCGACGCGCTGGTTCTGCACATGGCCACGACAACGATTTGAGCGCCATCCAAAGTCCTCGTAGGGCCAGCGACAAGAGTCCAAGAAGATCAAGCGACGTGGCCAAGAGTCCAAAGAGGAGAAGTGATAAAAGTCCTCGTAGGGCCAGCGACAAGAGTCCAAGGCGGTCAAGCGACATTGTGAAGAGTCCACGGAGGAGAAGTGACAAAAGTCCTCGTAGGGCCAGCGACAAGAGTCCAAGGAAGGCAAGTTACAAGAGCCCAAAAACTCCCAACGCCGTTCAGAAGGGTCCACGGAAGGCAAGTGACAAGACTCCATGCAGAACAAGCGACAAAAGAAAAAGTCCCCATAGGATCAGCGACAAGAGTCCACGAAGGTCGACTCTCAGGTCCAGCGAAAATAGCGCTATGTCCACGCAACAAGTAGCCATCATCAGTCCACGAAGTAGTGGCAGATCGTCTGTTCCCAGAACTCCCAAAACACCGAGAACGCCTCAAAAACTCAAAACACCCAAAACGAAAACACCTCAACGTAGAACGCCCCAGAGAGCACCCGACCCAAAGACGCCGGATAAAACTCGCAACAAAGAACAGCAATCCGCCCAAAGACTTGGCAAAGCGGGGAGTTCAAGGTACGATGCTTCCACTGACGGTGAGAATTTGCAAGACTTCTATGCAGCCATGATGTCACCCATGCCAATACGCCACTCTGGTAAGGCAGAAAGCGTTGATGCCAGCGCAGTCGACATTGACATTAGCGCCAGCAATCATAGCATCGAAACTCCCCACGAGGAACCAAATCATCGACCTGCTGCAAACCATAAAACACGTGGAAGTGCTCTAGATGACGCTTCCACTGACAGTGGCGTGTTACATGAGTTCTGTGGGGCAATGATGTCACCCATCTACTCCAGCAAGGCAGCAGACATTGACATTAGCGACACCGACCACAATGAGGATTCTGACAATGAAAGCAGCAAGGGAGAACGGCGCCTTCCGAAGACACCCAATGGAAGCAAGGCGGGTCGCCCTAGTAGGGATCAGTTGCGGGAAGGACTGGATCGTGTCGCTGACGCTGTCAGTAGCAACTCCGATTTCATGATACCGCCTCTAGTCCAATCGACGCCTGACTTTGACAATGAAAACTTTTCGGCGGTCACGGTGAGTTTGGATGCCCTGGATTTGCAGGATGGCAGTGTTGAACTAGGCAGAAGAGGTAAAGGGAAACGAAGCGCAGTTGGATATTCTTCTCGACACGGAAGCAAGGACAATGCACTTACCCAAACAAACGTTTCAACTCTGGAGGATGAAATTGACGAAGAAAATTCACTTGCACCCGAGCATATTATGACCAAACAATGTCCATCTCACATGAGTTTCGAAGGATCCCAGAGCAAGCTCTTTGACTCCATGGTTTGGTGATCTCCAAGGGATTATTCAATGAATCACAGCTTTCCCTGTACGCAAAAATATTGATTCCGTTTTGGGCTGGCTAAACTCAATCGGAGAAAGAACTCAAAGAAGGATTGAAACTAGTAGTTCAGTGGAAACCTCACGGTAGATGAGCCCGAGGCCAGTCAGTCTTGAGCAGTAAACAAAACCCGTTATGCCAGACTCTTCATCGTGCCCCTTATATTAATAGTACCAATAAAAGAGTAGATGAAAAGTTTAAGCAGTGAGAGAGGGCAAAGCTAAGCTGGCCAGAGAAGGGCACCTGTGGTGGGAAGTCACGTGTAGAGGGTGGCTGGAAAAGTTGGGCAGGGGCATGTGAGGGCAAGATTAGCGGGAACGGGGCAAGTGCACCATTGACATCCCAGAGGGGGCAAGTTCATCACGCATTTCATTATGGCATTGGAGAACCAAGCCGCCCTGGTACATGAAAGATTATGGATGACACTGGAGCCCTCTCCGCGGCCACCACAGTGGGTGGGGAGATCAGAGGGACTCTGAGCTTAGCGCAAGTGCAGAGCATCCCGGAATTCCTGGGTGGCTAGAACAATGCCATTTTCAGGCATTAGAACCACATGAAGCAAGCCAGGTGCCAGGCTCTGAGGCACGCTTCACAACAGATCGGCTAGAACACAGCAAGATGTGTATGACCTTTGAAGGTTCGCAGCAGCTGCAGCCTTCCGGCGAGCACGAAGAGCCTCAAGACCATCAGACACCGCGTGATCCGCGATGCGCAATTCTTTGGAGCAATGCAGAGACTGTCTGTGATCACACTGCAGATATCCTGACTAGCGCTATGATTATCATTAACAGTGCTAGCTACCGGTAGTACCGGTAGTGGGATTGGGAAGGGCCAGGCCAGCTGCTAGCTAGCTGGTGAGTTGGCAGGGGGGAGGGAGCAACCGATTGAATGCTGATACCCTGGGCACCCAGCCGCCTGCGTCGTCTACAATTCTAGGCAGCTTGAAGGAGACTCAAACTCAGCATCATCTACCTTTAGAAGCTTGCCCAACACATTATGAGAGGCACATCATAACTCACTCCATCTAGTCAGGTACAACATCAAAGGCACGTGATACATGACACTTATTAGGGTAACAATAAGTTATAGTTTTCAAGTTAAGCGAAAATAGAAGAGGCGTTGCTGAATAGGCCCATTATGCAGTTGACGGCTCGCCAGTGTTTCTTAACGCAAGCCACAAATCTGAATACCTGTAATTTGCACAGTGGATTGTTGGCCTTGTTGGCCTGTAGATTGCCTCCGAAACAGTAGCAGCAACACGCCTACTTCTTGTAGGTGCTCAGACCAGTGCGGTGAGCCTGAGCCTTGGCAGCTTCCTCTTCCTCCTGGGCGATCTTTTCCATTTCCCGGACGGTTCCAGCACCGACTTGTTCAAACCTCTGAAGTTCGGCGGCGAGCTTGTAATCCTGGATTTCTTCGGGCTTGGCATTCTTTGGGGGAGGGGCATAGGTGGACATCTTTGGCTCGTTTGCTGCGTTGACGTAGGCATTGTCAGTGGTGTAGTCAGCGGGAACCGAAAGCATTCCATGGTCCTTGTCGCGAACGTTGGCCAAGCGGCTGAAGGTTCCCGACCGAGCAGTGCGGTGCATGTCAGCCTTTTTGGTAGCTTCGTGCTTCTTCTTGTGCTCCTCCAGAGCAGCAGCATTCTCCTGTTGCTGCAGAGCAATCGCCAGACGGTGATCCTTCTCTTCTTGTGGAAGGTTTGGGTCATCAATGCCATGGGGAAGTCCAGCAGCGCCGCGGCCTGGAGCGGCTCCGGGCTTTCCCATCATCACATAGTCGCCCTCGGCAGATTTGCACTCTTCCGACATGGTTGTTGTTGCTGTTTTATCTTACTATTGACTAGAACTGACTCAATCAGCGAGTTTGTATAGCGAAAAGTTCCCAACAAGAGACGAAAGACGAACATCAGACACAAAAGAGAGTCAGAAACACCATGCAAACTCTAACGAATACAATCCGTCATTGTGTCAAAGTGCAAAACACCGCCAAAAATTGCACACACAGCCACCGTGAACGAAGGCATCACACTGACACCTGTTGCTTTGCTGTTCATCGCTTTTCGGCACAATGCAACCAATCCAGACAACCACTCCACTGCACCAGTGTCAACACCACCCTCGACCACAACGCTAATCTCTATTCAGGCAGCACAGAACAACATCATGGCCATCTCACCTCTCGAACGAAGAGAACAATGAACGACGAACCAGATCTCCGCTCCGCTAAATCGTGTGGGCGTTAACCGTCTTTTGGGGTCTACGTCCTGTCCACGTAGAAAACCGTACCAGAGATGGAATCGGCACTTAGATTTATTTAGTCTAAGTGTTTCGGAATGCTCTCTCCAAAAGTGCGCTTCAACGGAAATGCTCCACTCCGCTGGCTTCAAAGTGTTGCCGCCCGAGATCTGGGAAAATTGAATCGAATGAATCGAATCGAATGATCAGATCGAGCATACATGCATGTACAGTAATCGATGATCATTGTAGGGGGGTGTTAGAGTACAAGGGAAATTATCTACGGAAGCCAGCCGGGGCCAGGCTTAGGCAAAGAACAGGCGAAATTCAGGACTAGGTGATCATTCGAATGACAATCAGAGATGGTGCGACACCCCATGGTAGCATGGGGTGCTGGGTCTCACCTGACCATGCACTGGTGGTGAGCCTAATACAAATTGTAGTCAACCAGTTCCATAACTAGCTAGTCTACAGAAATAGTAGTTACCAGTAGTCTACTTCAAGAGCAATAAAAACTAGATGTTGAGTACACTGACTTTGCTAAACTTATAGACGAGGAGTGAAAGATCGTGATGTATGTAATGTTGGTCGTCATTCAATCTCGCATGTTGTCTCAGATCCAAACGTAGCGGACCAGCATGTACAGGTTGGAAATAGCCACGGTCACAATCATAACCAGCATACCGGGATAGAAAAAGTTGACAAATGAAATCTCGTAGCCCTTGTTGGTGGAGATCCCGGCAGTGACAATATTTGCACTTGCTCCTAACAGCGTCCCGTTTCCTCCGAGGCAGGCACCCAAGGAAAGCGCCCAGGCGAGCGTTTCCAATGGGAGAGTATCAGGCAACTCTGCTGAAAGGATCCTGATCACTGGTATCATAGTCGCCGTGTACGGGATGTTGTCCAAGAACGAGCTTGCAAAGGCACTAACCCAGAGAAGCAGGGTAATGGCTACTGTCAGCTGCTGATCTTCCTCTTGGTCAGAGATGTAGCTCGCCAGGGCGTCACCAATGGCCTGAAGCAGCCCCATTGCAGCACATACTTCCACCAGGACAAAGAGACCCGCAAAGAAGAGCAGGGTGTCCCACTCAACGTGACTCCGAAGTGCGCTCTGAATGTCATGTGGATTGGTAAAAGCAATCGTCACAAAGGCTCCCAACAGAGCGATCCAAGCGGTGTCCTTGTGGTGCACGGGATGGAGGAAGAACATCAAAATGACGAAGAACGTCACGATTCCTGAAATGAGCAGGCGGGGCTCGTCGTAGATCTTGTAGGTTTTCTTCAGCAAAGCAGTGTCCAAAACTCGCATCTGGGACGACGTCAGATACCAACGATAGAGATACACCACAAGCAGGAGTGCGACTGGGACACAGAAGACAAAGATGACTGGAAGAACGTTTGTGATGAAATCCACAAAGCCAATGATCTCCGAGAATGCTGACCCAATGATGATGTTTGGAGGATCTCCAATCAAAGTAGCAGTGCCTCCGATATTACTCAAGAGGACTTCCGCAATTAGGTAAGGGCGAGGGTCGATATTTCCGACGATATGGCACATATCAATGGTGACCGGGGCCACAAGCTGGGAGGCACAGCAGAAATGCGTGAGTGACTAAAGGAGGACGATGGCGAAACTGAACCTAGGTCCCTCTGGCTTTCCCCGTCACCCATCTCTCATCCAACAGCAAGCTTACCAACATCGTAGTCACATTGTCCAAAAAGGCGCTGGCAACCGCGGTGAGGACACTCAAGAGTACCAAGAGGCGGACGTAGCTCCCCTTGCTAAAGATAAGAATCCTCACAGCGCACCACTCAAACACACCAGTGTGGGAAAGTTCACCCACGATAAGCATCATTCCAAATAATAGTCCTGGTATCAGAGAGACGGAAGAGACAGTGAAGTGTGAGCTGCATGCTGACATGGCGACGGGTTTGGAACATCAATTTCCTCACTTACCCAGTGTTGACCACTCCAAATGGAGCATTATCATCCTGATGGATTCCACATGTCCGCCTTCCATGATGAAGAAAAACATCAGGGCAACCATGGATCCATAGATGGCAATCAAAGTGCGATGGATGACTTCCAAGAGGATAAAAGCATATACCAGCACCATGATGACAGCGGCCACGACCACGGAATGATCCGCCAGAGGTGCCTTGACGTCGGCAAGAAGGGTAAAGGAGAGCTCTACGTTCGGGTCGGTGGATGTCACATTGATGACGTGGGCTTCATCAGGGTGTGGGAAGTCAACGACAACGTCATGGACCAGTGTATGTCGCTCCTCTCCAGGTGGGCCAAACTGACGACTGGCTTTGACCATTCCACTTTCGACACCAATGATTTCCACAAGAGCGTGTGTCTCGAGTTCCTTCGCGACACTATTCCCATCCAAGTGCATGACGAGGTCAATGACTTCGTGTTCTTTGAAGTGATTGTGCCCGTCAAAAAAATCACGAGTGGTTGGGTTGCCCGGGCAAGAGGTCACACAGGCCAGACCCACCGGGCCCAAAATGAAGCTTGCTTCATCAAGATGCGTGCGCCAGAGCGAGACAAGAAGGGTCAGGGCCAGCATGATGAAGAAGCAAACCAGTGCTTTGATCTTGTCGGATCGTCCGGCACGGATCACATCGGAATCTTCTTCGTCGTCATCGCTTTCTGCCGTGTCAACCTCAGAATATCCTTCCGTCATTTTGGAACCCACACCGCTTTCATCCAATGGGGCGACAGAAAAGAAGTCGCCGCTCTCATTTGACATTGCAGAAGAGGAGGCAGTTGACTTGCGCCTTAGTAAAGACCTCTTGAGAGCCGAGTGATCCGGGTTCATACTTTCCATTTTGGCCACGAGACTGGTCAACTGGCTGCTACTTTCTTCTGGGATGGCTTTGGAAAGTCGCATCATTTCCGCTTGCACCTGTTCATGAGCGCGAGTGTACCGTTCCAAGGCATCCTGTGTCTCCGAGTCAACTTCTTGCTTGGTGGGCGCATCCTGTGGTGTTGGTCCGTGCGCGCTACCGGTATGTTGATGACCAGCACCTCCGCCAACCTTTAGCTTCTGGCGAGGAGCGGAAAAGCGGAGAGGAAAGAAGAGTTGTTTCTCGGAAGAAGGAGCACTGGAAAGCGCAGAACCAGAAGCAGCAGGTTCCTCCCCCTCTTCATCAATCATTGTCGGCATGCTTTCCGTGGCTTCCTTGGCTTCCTCATCAACGAGCACCGATGCTTGGATATCCTCCGGCAGCTCGAAGAAGTCATTGGGTCCCAACAGATCCAAACTCACCTGTCGACGACGAATGATTCCACGCATAAAGTGCTGTTGAGGCGTCATTTGGCGGCGGCGGTGGCCTGATCCTCCCGGAGAAGGAGGAGCCGGAACTGATGGAGCAGGAACATTGCCGCCGCCTTCGTTGCTCTTCTGTTTGTGGCGCAAGTGCCGACGGTTGGGATCATAGCTGAGGCCTCTTTCGCGATGATGCGCTTCGAAATCATTCAGCAATGCGCGATGGCCTCCTTCTTCCGGAATGGTTGTATAGAAGAAGTCTCCGCCAGCACCCAATGGAAGACTGACGACCTTTTTGCGACGAAGAATGGGACCCATGAGCTCCTTAGACTCCAAGGAAGGACGACGATGAGCGGCTGGTGCACTTGGGCGATGATGAGGGGAGGGGAACAAGTCATGTCCAGCCGTCGTGGAGTGACCTGGGCGGCCTGGAGCAAACGTGATTTGATCCGGATTGGATGTGGGAGAAGGATCATTGTCATGGGCAATTTCCTGACCAGTTTCAACACTGTCGTCCTTTGGATCGCTTGCCATGGTTTCGATTGATTCGATTGTTATTCTTTCTGGTTACTGTTTCGGAGAGGTTTCAATTCAGTGGAAACTGAAATTTGTGAGTAGAGGAAGCTACCGGTGTGGTGGATGCGGAAGCGAGAAGCCATCACTTTCCTTGCTTCGAGGAGCTTTTCGAGGCACTTTCGTTCTGAAAGAGAGTTTTAGAAAGGTAGATGTGGTAAGTTACAGTATGTTGTACTGTAGTTTTAACGTTTGAAACTAATATTAATACCGCATCTTCCTACTTTGTTGGTATCAGGGATTCTCATGGCGACCTATCCGGTATTAACTTGGGATATGATGACGTCCATGTGTTCTCATTTTTGGGATACAATGACGTCGATCTATCCGTCCAATTCGCATTTTCGTCTACTAGAGCCGTACTGATATCCCGATCACTACCGTACCGTAGATTAGATTCGATCGAGATTCGATTCGTATTCTAATCATTCATTCGGGAATGAATCCAAGTGAACTAATGCATACCGTACGGTATAGCTGCTGGAAGCCCACGAGACAATGAGACAAGAGATGAGAGACAACCTTTTGGATGATTGATCATTCAATTCATTGGATTGATTGATTAATCACTAATTCAGATAGATGCGGTAAATACTAATCTTCCATTTGAAATCAACGCTGTATCTTTTTAGGTGGGGCCTATCCGGTCTAAAGAGCTACTAAAAGACAGCAGTGCAAGTCTGCAACCGACGAATGGAAATGGTCCATGAAGTAATAAAGATTTGATATTCTGCGACCTGCTAGCCGACTCAAAAACTGAGTCTTTTATTTGCCTACATTTGATCAAGATTAGCCTTCACTAACAGGAACGTGTTCCTGACAAACTCATTGTGCCTCATAATCAAGGGAAGTCTGGGATGAATTTCCAAATTTCTCCCCTCTGCCTTTTTGGATAATGTCTGCAACGAATTCAAGAAGCTATCGACATGATTCTGCAGCGCTACCTTGGTTTGCAGGAAATATTGTCCATGTAGGGCTTGTTTGGTCTCAAAGTCCCCATTCATATGAGCCTGGTACAAGACTTGTTGATCCGACGGGTTAGATTCCAACACTTGATACAGCAAGACATCCCACACCTCCGGCGACACTTCTCCAGTATCTTTGTAGAACAGCATTCTGGACTGATCATACCCCATGTCCTTAATCTCTTGCGATGGATTTGTAATCATGATTTTGCAAAATGTGGCAGGGGCAGTTTCATCCAGAAAACCATAGCGAGCAAACAATTTGGACGGGTTGGTGGGGTCCCCATATGACATTCTGAGGGGTGACCCAGCCGGTACATCATAGTTTGTGACAGCATAGCAGTTGCCTTCTTCGTCATAGCTGATTTGAATTTCAGTGTTTGTTCCATGATTGAACTGCCAGCAATCATTTTATTATTTGTCGTTTGTTGAGCATAATGCACGGGTCAAGTGAGTGGTCCCAACAGAGACAAGACTAGACAAGACAAGACTCCCAACCACGACGTACCATATCCGCCATGGGAACAATGTTGTAATCTGTGCCATCTTGGGATGGAAAACTTCTCGTGGAAACAATGGCAAAGGCCCATTTGGCCAGTGGTCGATTGCTTCTGGTTTCGGTGGTCAAGAACTGCACATCTTGCAGAGCCCTAAAAAACTGAATGAACCGGATTCGTTCCTGATTGGCAAGGCTTCCCACCAAGGGAGGAAGACATTGGGTACAGCAGAAATGAGTCATGGACGCCCCATTGGAAAAGTATCGTGGCAAGGAATTCAACCAAGGAAACCAAGGTGATTGATCTCCAAATTCGTATTCTCTTAGAATTTTGAGAAAGAGATAGAATTGCGAGATCGTTTCGGACGTTTGTCCCAGTCGCCGAGCCAAAAGTTCTTCTGATGCCGTCGCAGCACCCAGTTCTTGTCGAACGTAGTTTCCTCTTAGAACCATGGAACTGGGTACAAACATCACTGTCTGCCCGGCTGGAAGATCTTGGTTGGTCATGACCTGAATATCTCTGGCGTCATTGGGGTCGCTAAATGTCAGCTGAAGGGCTTCTTCCTTTTGAACTCCACAAGATGTGCACCATTCCTCCATGGATACAACATCTCGAGGTGTCCACTCGTCAATGTTGATGGTATTGCGCATGACAAGCGAAGCCAGCGGGGCATTGGTGGCGCGAAGCGTAGCGGGTGCAGGGTGATTGCAAAACGCAACCACATTGCTCGCGAGGAGCGAAAGAACCAGGCCCAGTAACCTCATCATGCATGCATTCTACTCTTTAGAACTATGGGTTATTGCGATTGATTGTTTCATGATGATTGGAGCCATCATATCGGAGGATCTTGGCATGGACATCATGGTCAGTGATGTTTGTGGAGGTGCAAGGAAGGCTTTACGTCAGTTTCTCGTTTCTGAAATCCCAATCTCTAAATTCGACACACTTTTTTATCCTGATCTCTAAATCAGTAAATGCCGACGCGCGCGCCTGCAGTTTCGCACTTTCCCTTCTCTTCTCTTCGTGCTTTCTTCCAACCAACCACTTTTTCTCGCTTCACGAATTCTTCTCACCAATTACTGTGGTCTTGTTGACAATGATCCGATGCTTGCAGTCTTCGCCCTCTCAGCTGGTAGTGAAGCGGTTCAATGGTGCATCAACAACCCATCGTTCCCTNNNACCTGCAATGATACGTCAGTACCATGCCACTTCCAAACGCGAAGTGCTACCAATTGTGGCTGGGTTGGGTTTGCTCTTTATTGGTCGATATTCTTGGAAAGCCATGAATCGAATGGAGGAAGAATGGGAAGACTATCAGTGGCAGTTGCAGCAGTACGAAAAAGCCCATCGCAACGAAAATTCGGGTGCCACAGATCAATACAAAGATGGAACATTGGCAGTGGATGTTGGAACCATGTTTGTCAAGTTGGCTCACAATGGAAACGGCATTTTGGCAACCCGAGAAGGTGCTCGATCGACCTTTGCGGGAATCATCCAACCACCAGACGGCGAAGAAGTATTGATGGGACAACGAGCCTTTGAAAAATTCTGGGAGTTGGATCCCAAGACAACCAGCATGGCTCGAAGTTCGGCAGCAGAAGAAAACACGGAAGAAATTTTGATGAAAGTTGTCTCGCCCAGCATTCAGGATGCCGTGGAACGAGCCGGTTTGGATCATTCCAAAATGAGATCCATCGTCACTGTACCTCCCACGGCTGTCCAGGATACCCAGGACAAGAACAATCCATGGAATCATACGCATAATAATGATACATGGAAAACTGCCGAATGGATTCCCGAACCGGTTGCCGCAGTGTGGGGTGCTCAAGTCCATGGTGAATTGCCCCTACACGACCTAAACAAACCAGTTCTTGTGATCGACATGGGGGCCTCCATGACAAGCCTAAGCGTGGTCCAAAGAGATGTTGTATTGACCAATGTCAGCCTCGATTTTGGAGCTCAGGTATATGTGGATGCTATTTGTGATCATGTGGTGGAAAGTCAACCAGGATTGTCCACCGTCAAGAATGACGGCATGGCGTGGCAACGCCTCCGAACGGCCGCACAAGAGGCAGTGCAAGAACTAAACACCCAGCCACAGGCTCAATTGAACATACCCTACATTGGCATGGATTTGGAGACGCGGGAACCCATCCATTTGGATCTTCGCGTACCACGACAATTGATTGAGCAAAAAGTAGCGGATGCCATTGTCACCGACATGATCTTGAAATACGAAGATGGAAGCTCGTCGTCCATTTTGAGCCCGCATGTGCCAGTAGTACCCCATAGCCTCTCGTCCTTGTGGATGTCGCTCATGACTCAGCTATTGACCGGTATCAACCAACAGCCCCAAGATTTGGGTCATGTGTTGGTTGTCGGAGGTGGCGCCAAACACCAGATGGTGGAATCAACTATCAAGGAGTGTTTTGGATTCTTCCAGACGGAAGTTGTGCTGCCTGCACTCTCGACAAGGTCTGAACTGGTGGCTTTGGGAGCATCGTCTCTTCTGCCGCAGTACGAGTACCATTTTGATAAGGGATTGGTGCGGTTGGAAGGCGAGGCAACGGCGGAAGCATAGTATTTTGATGGGGGTTTTCCTCTACCGGTAGTCGTCGACAGTCAAGTCTGAGAAGCAATTAGCTCGAAGGAAACTGTAAGTCCGATAGCAAATTTAGTTAATACCCTTGTTTCTTCATTGCTGCTAGCGGTTTTGTTTTGGCGATACTCTACTCAAATCCCTTATTATCTCGGGGGAACTCACGCTAGTAGCTAGTCTCTGCCTCAACGAGAGAATCGAATCCGTGCAGTCGAATCCGTGCAGTCCGCCATCGAAGAGTTCACTCGAGTTTCCGCATCGTTCGTGGGTGTTGCCAGCCACCAAACTATTCTACATATTACATGCCACTATTATAACCAGCAAATGATCAGTGCTCTCTCGTCTGTCCTGTTGAACTTCAAATGTGAAACCTTGCCACACAATATCGAGCTAACTGAAGAAAAATGACAGCTCCAATCCAGGCCAGGGGACTTACTACAGTCACTCCGATGGATTTCATTTGTTATCGGAATCGAATGGGGATCACCAGATATTGTTGTTTGCTAGCAGAGACTGACCAGCAGCCAAACGTTGAGTTCTGGAGCCTGGCCGTGCTGTACACTCGGTCTTACTCCGAATCCTCATCTTCAGTATCTTCAAATGCTGCGAAACCAGACTCGGATTCCATACCTGCTATCCCTAAGCTAGGAGGTTCACCCAGTTTTGGGCCTTTGAAGACCTCCCCTTGAGACAGCTCATCATCATCATAATCTTCATCTTCGTAATCTTCAAACTCCTCTTCCTCCTCTGCTTCTTCTCCGCCGGCTTGGCCATCTTCTTCGTAGTCCTCAAATTCTCCTTCTTCCTCGGGAACCTCTTCCTCGGGACAGGATTCCTCGTCCGGTTCTTCCTCTTCACTTTCGCTAATATCCTCATCCTCCACCACCGAGAAGTTTTCAAAGGAACACTTAAAACCCAGCTTATCCCCTCCTGGAGAAGCACCAAAGACACCAATGCTTAGTGTTTCCGCATCTGAGAATTTTGCAGCCTTTAGCTCCTGCCAGTCTTCTCCATCCAGACTGTAGTTGGCTTCAATATAACCCTCCAATCGACTCAATTTGAGCCACACTTTGTTAACGTTACCCTCGAGCATTGCATGGCTATATTTTGGATCACCACGATGAAATTGTCCAGGATATGGACTCAGCGATCGCTCAAACTGCCATTCTTCTGGATGAACATAACAGCAAGCAAAATGTCTCAAGCCACTCTCACCACCATCTGGTGGCTCGTGATATTCCAGTGCGACTTTGGTGTAGATCCCTCTTTTTTCTTGTAGGAGGAGCCCACATTGGTCTAGCCATGTTTGCATTTTGGCAGTTACCTTCACAGTGGCTTCAAAGTCTCCTGCAATCTTTCGGAAGTAAAAGGGGCTATTGTTGACAGAGCCATCTTCCTCTGTGTGTCTCCACACGTGTGTTTGTGACGGTACTTTCAGCTTGATGACTCCATCCTTCTCTTTGCCATCTTTGCGGCTGGACAAATGTGTCCAAAAGAACTTGACGGGTTTCTTGTCTGCCATGGTGGTACAGCTAAATCACAGCTCCAGACAACTAATCGTTGGTACTCTACTAGAGGAGGTATAACCTGAATTTCCAATTTCCCTACAATAGCCAAGCTTGCTCTGGGAAATCAAATTGGCGTAACTATCAAACAGAGCCAAGGGCAAATCTTTTGGATCTTCTTGGAGGGAGTGGGACGAGGCTGGCTGCAGATTGTCGGCACTCTTCTTGCATGAGGGCGACACGACAGGATGACAAAAGCTGTTTCCAAAGCTACCAAAACCTTTCTAATGGCGTATCGCTTTATACTACAGGGCAGCTAACAATCCCATCAAGCATCGCAGAGCTTCACTGCTGCAACGATGCTTCCTCTTTGATGAGTGAGGAGGGCTCTTTTCGGCTCTTTCCTGTTTTGGCAGTCTTCCAACCTGTTATGACCTCATCAGTGACTGGTCGTAAGCCAGCGATATTGACTGTTAGGGTGAAGGTTTGAGACCGTTGGCCGTTCGAATTCATCATTTCCTCCAGCTTTTAGAGTTTTCAGCGGAAATGATATTGTGTCAGGAAGGCACCAGGTTCTCTCAATAGTCAATAGTCGTTCTAAAGTCGCGAAAGTCGTTCTAAAGTCGCGCACCGCGACTTTATCGCGATTTTTCACAGCGACTATAACGACTTTCGCGACTTTAGAACGACTTTAGGACGACTTTTAAACTTTGCGTGTAAATAACTAGTATTAACCGCGACTTTACAGCGACTATATCGCGACTATATGGTTCCAACTGAAAGTCGCGCACGACTATACCGCGACTTTTACGGCGACTTTAGCGCGACTATCGCGACTTTTTTGGCGAAGCGGGTAAAACCTGGTGCCTTCCAGGTATCCAAAGAAACCGCCGTTTTTGGCCATAACGATTTCCGGTGCACGAGCACCAAGCCATTCCGTACCGCAGAGTAGCTAGAAGGTCAGGCCAGACTGTTTGGCCTGGCTACTAGCTAGCAATGCAACAGCTCCAGATGCAAGGGCTGCCGTAGCAAAAGACGCAAAAGACATGCTTGCTGGTACTGACTAGGCTTCTGACAGGCAGTCATACTGGCTGTAGCGAGCGCCTCACTGGAGTACTATGGGCTGTGCCCGGGGGGCTGCCTGTCAGCGAAGCCAAAGTGACAGTGATTTGGGTAATCAAGCAGCAACAGAGAGAGAGCAATCACTTGCTTCTCTGATTGCACCACCGACAGCTGTAGACGAAGAACAGCAAAGAAGTGGCTGGGGGCTCATGATTGCCACAGCAGGCTTCCTGTCTAGGGAAAGACTACTGTACGGTATTGCCAAGGCGGGTTGAAAAGGAGATAGCCACATCCTTCAGATACACAGTGTAGGCGCTTGGGGCCTGAGGAAGTGATGAATTCAAGAGAAGCATGGACTACATGTACAACAAAGAAACAACCAATTGCCACAGGTCCGCCTGCGGGAGCTTCCTTGCGGCAAGAAGAACCCAGCTCAACTCTCAAACGAGCAGCAAACTTGCTTGGCGTTCCTCTTACCGGTGAGAATACTCTGGAGTGCGTTATGGCACCTTGCAAGCAAAGTTACAGTAGTCGAGGTCATTCACACATCCCAACGAATGCTGGGGAACGAATTAATTGTAGATGGTTGAGGAAGACATCTGCTGGATGGAGATTTCAGATGTTCGGATGCTCAATGCTCACAGTGTCAGCTCACAGAGTACAGTACGTGTACTTGCCGTTGCCGAACAAATGAAAATAAAAATATTCACGTGAGCTCTGATGAGTGCCCTCTAAAGCCGACCCCAACCGTAACACGAATCACCATTCACCATTCTTCCAAGACTGGTGAATCGTATCGCACCGATCCCCTCCGCACCCCCATTCACCAATCACCAAACATGTCCAAGACTAGACCCAACGTCCAATCAAATCCCCACAATTTGATGACGTGTTCTATTCGCATCGACGTAATTTACGCAAAAGGTATCTTTCTTGCTTTTCGACAACAACCACCACACACAACAAACAATGGCACTCTTGATGACTAGCTAGAAGCTTGTAATAGTCATGTCGTTGCCTAGCTATGTACAACAAGAACTCCGCAATGTTGCGTCTGTCTTGTGTAGAGAGTTGGTTATGGCGAACAAAGGGGAAGGAATGAAGCAACAGTCTCAAGAAGACTTAATGTTCAACACATTTCACGGTAGCCCAGCCCATATATCGAACATCCAATCCATGTTGAAAGGCAATGAACCATATACAGAGATGTTCTACAAGCTTGGAATGGAGAGCAATCGAGAAGGCAATGCAGCAAGAGGAGCAGATGGTGTGGACTATATGCTCGAGTTGAAGGGAACACTCCATCTTCAACCAGACAAGCGTCTTATTGTCCATGAGTGTGGATTTACAGAAAAAGCCATTTGCGAGGATGGCAAAGGAAGCAAGCTGACTGCAAGGAACATCTATGACAGAGCACGCAGCTGCATTGCCAACTACCGAATTGCACTAGTTTTCTACAAAGAATACTCAGGAACCATGGAACCTGGTGTCAATCCGTCTGGACAGAACTTCGATGATATGATAGTGTACGTTCGAAAGAAGATGTTTGTTGCATTGGAAGGTAGAACACGTAAAAGAAGCAAGACAAAGAAAGAAAAGAGAACAGGGCAAGGACTTTGACAAGACCGAAGACGAGATGCCCGACAAATACGTCTTCCAAGGGTTTATGGCATTTGCCATCTTTGGCCCCATCCCATTATCTGGCAAGACACTTTCTTGTTTTGCAGGCAATGACGATAGCAAAGTGCAAAAGAAATCGAGGAAGCAAGTTCGAGAGGAAGAAGCACAGCAACGAGACCACGAGCGAGCAGCTAATGTTGGTGGTGACGACGTATTCAAGAGAGGAGTCCCCGTACACGAAAAGAAGATGGCATACCAGATGGCATCAACAGCTCATGTTCATGCCCAGAAGAATGCAAGAGATCTGTTGGCCATTGCGAATGCTGATCATGCAGCTACATCCAAGGAATTCTTTGAGGTTGTCAAGCTCTTGAAGGAATCTACGTCCGAGGAGGAAAAAGAAACATACAAAGAGTGGAAAGAACAGCTTGCGAAAGACCTTGGCGGCATACGCAAGAGGAAGAGACAGTTGCAAGAAAAATGCGACAGTCTCATGAAGGTTTCGAAGCAAGAGAGTGCAATGGCAAATGACTACTTTGGACGAGTATCGAATGTGGTGAAGGCAACGTCGCCAGTTCCACAACCAAGTCCATTGACAGTGGACACTGCTGTAGCTTCCCACCCTGCCATCAACAAGACCAGTGAGGAATACCAATCGCATTGTTCTCAGCTTGCACAATCCCAGGCATCGGAAGCTTCCTCGGAAATGTCCAGGACATCTCATGCAGTATCGAGAGCAGCAGTTTCTCTTTCCCAAGACCAAGTTGCTAATTCTCATCAGTTGTACAGTTCGCAGCTTGCTTGTTCTTCCGAGTTTCCGCAATTCTCACAGTTTTCGCAATTGTCGGGGCAGAGTTTCCTTTCCGAGAACAACAACAACAACAAAGAACAACAAGAGGTCACCGAAATCCACAGTGACGAAGAAGACAGTAGTGAAGACGGTGACCCCAAGCCTGTTGATCCAGCTGAAGAGAGTCTCCTTAATCGCTGTGAAGCAACCATCGCTAGGTCTCGCCAAAGTGCTGCCAAACGTCGCAATGGCCTCGATGACTCAGACGATGATGAAGAAGGCGAGGAAGACGAAGACGAAGAAGAATAAGAAGGGTGATCAGGACTGAGTACATGTTTATACTTTAATTTCTAGTAGGCCAGACAATTTGATGTTTCCTCCACAAGATATCGAAGTGCTCCACTAGCCGGCTTCGAAATTCGGTGTACGAAAGCGAGTTAACGAAAATAGCACCATCATCGTCAACGTTGTCACCCACCCCATCTGATGTGCTGCTAAGATTGTCGTCATCTCCATTATCTGTATTCTGCAATGCCACTTCTGGTACCACCAATCGAGGACGTGCAACACTCTGTTCGTGTTCCCTGCTTCCAAATTTAGCAATTTCGTTGTGCTGCAATCGCTGTATGGCAAAGGGAGCCATGTCTCGAAAGCCCTCTGTCTCATTGTCTCCAAGGGCCCCTTCCCAGTCACTTCTAACACCCTTTTGCCATTCTTCTGCAAGTCCGTCTTTTTCCAGCAGCATATTGTGGAGTGCGCAACAAGTCAGCCATGTGTTGTCAGCTGCTGTGGTACCCTCCAATCTAATTCCAGTCTTCAAAATGCGCCATCGCCCTTTCAGAATTCCAAATGTGCACTCTGCATCTTTGCGAAAAGACTCAATGAATTCTGAGAGTCGTCGCTCTGCAATGGTCAAGTCTGCTTTTCCTGGAGCTTGCGTGCAAGACCATCGGTGGTAGCCATTGTCCACAAGTCCCCAAGCACCACAGTATGTTGTTTCTTTTACAGGACCACCAACAGAACCTTCCCATGACTTCAGTTGAAATCGTACATCTTGTAGAATGTCACCCTTTCTAAGTCCATAAAGAAAATTGTCGTGAAATGCAAGTGTCTTGTCATTCCATCGGCTGGGATGCCCTTTGGTACAGTGAAGAATTTGTCTTCGATGGTTGCATGTGAGGTTGTAGGTTCTTGCCGGATGACTCTGCTTGAAACCCATGTTCGCCTGCTTCAAATTGTGCGTGCATCGCCACATGATGATATTGGTGGCATCACTGGACCATCCTGCACCGAACAGCCCTCCTGTGTCAAACTCGTGTTGATGTGTTTTGTATTCTTCTGCATTGACTGGATGCCGGACAAATTCCTCATAGAGATTCGTGGATCCAAAACCAATGAACACATGGAAGAATTGGCGATGAGTTTCTTCATTAATGGCAGAGAACTCTTCCAGGTCGTCGAAAGTCAAACCACGTCCAAGGTACCGGAGAGCTCCCAATATCAACAGCTCAATTGGCGAGCTTTCTGTACCAACAGCATCTTTTCTGTACCATCGTTGGAACTTCCCGGACTCAGACATTTTGTTCTTCAACTCGAGGAATGATTGATAGGGTACTCTGAAACGTCTTCGGAACCTTTTGTGGAAATGGGCGTCATCCAAAGGTGGTTTGCGAACATACAGGAGGTACCACACTGTCTCGACTGGCCTCAAGAACACAACACTGCCGTCATCCCCTATGTAGTATGGACGTCTTATCTTGCAACTGCGAGCAGTTCTGGGTTTCTTTGTCTTTGCAGTTGCTGCTGTGGAGGAAGCAGAAGCTCTTCTACTGCATTTTGTAATTGCCCCGTCTTCAATTGCCAAATCAAGGGCTACTGATGCTGCTTCCAAAGCCTCTTCCATCTCACATAATTCACGGAATTTCCCCATGTCCAGGCAACCTGTCTCTGCATCTAAACATTCTACTATAGAAGATATACTGCTTGATTGATCTAACAGGGCATTGTTGTAGTTGGCTATTGCCTTGTCAATAGTGTCTGCTTTGTTGTCGACAGTGTCAACAGCGATGGCTTCCATTGTGTTGGCAATAGTCTGGTTTGTGTTTTTGGCGAAGTTGTTCCTCGCTGGTTATCTAGCTAATTTGGAGAGTGGTGGGCCAAGATTCGTGAAAGTCATCCACACGAACATGGCCCTTGCTATTCGTTCAGAAAGAGGAGAAACGATTGTGCCAGTCCCGTTGGTGTTTTAATACTGGATTCTGATTGGCTATCCATGAATGGTGAATGGTGATTCGTGTTACGGTTGGGGTCGGCTTTAGGCCAGTCACATTTATTTTTACCGTTCCCACGCCGCCACCGGACGTTGGCATCTCTCCACCGTTTACAGCTAGTGTAGTACCCAAGCGCGCGTAGCCAAGCAGCGTGAGTATGAGTAGGAATTCTGCTGATGAGATGAGATTCGATTCGATTTGATTCTTCCACTGGAGGAGTGTACGTACTATTTTGGCGGCAAAGAGATTCACTGGGTGCAGCTCTCTATTTAAGTAGGAGTCAGTGAAATTATAAAAAGTACCAATTTAATAGTATTAGTTTCAGTGAGTGACATTTAAAAAAGCCCAAGTGAAAAACGCCGGACGGTCCCGGAATCGAGTCACTACATGTACTTATGCATATTAATTTTAAAATAGCGAAACTTCTCCAAAAGCTACTATTAGAGTGATCTGCACTATAAGACCTACCATTCCGCGGAATATTCTCTTCAGGGCTGGATATCGAATTAGTACTATTAAAGCAGGGAATCGAGAGAACACATGTAGTTGAGTATGCCACAAAATTCCCAACCTCAGAGTGTACCTAGAAGAGGAGTTAGGAGCGGTTGAAGATTTCAGGCAATCCACAGCGAATTCTTTTTCACTGCAGATTAAGACCATATGACGTCACACGTAGCCTCTGGTACTGAACCTACGTAGGATCCTACTGTACGGTGCCGTGCTCTATCGAGTAAAAACTAGAGGGCTCTGTAGGGCTCCGAAGCACATGATAGGCACCTCTATTGAAGCACCTCTATCACACTCCTTCTTCCTCTTGGATACATACTTCGTACCTCTATGGTTCGAAGCACCTCCTCAATCGTTCGAAGCACCTCTTGTCTACCTATTGACACTCCTTCCTTCCTCTACGATGCTGCTTATCGACACTGCTTCCTCAATTGACACTGCTTCCTCTACCAGTATCGACACTGTCAACACTGTTAACACTGTCAACACTCAACACCACCACACGGCTTGAGCAAGCAATGGACAGTTCAAGATGCACAGATGCATACCAGTAGTGGCTCACCAACTGGCTAGCTAGAGTAGCTAGCTAGTACATGTAGTACAGTAGCTAGCCAGGTCGTATGTACTGTTACTATAGCAATTACTGTACAAATCCAAGAATATTATGATGGTCTTAATCTGTAGCGGGTCTTATAGTGCAGATCACTCTACTAAAGCCCTCTCAGAAAAATAAGTGACCTTCGGAAATAATATTCTAACAGCCAGGTACTGGTTCATTCGAATACTACTACTAAGTATCTAGGAGTACCTGGTAGTAATTCAAATCATTCACGATTTTATCACTAGGTAAAGATAGATTATGGTGCGACTAGGTGTAAAGATAAATGGTCAAAGTAAGTCACGAGCCGCGAGTGGCCTAAATATTTTACTACTAGCTAGTACGAGTACTATTAATAGGTTGACTGGAACGTTTGTGACTTGCATATTAAATCTTGGTTCGCATTTCGTGTCACGTGTTTTGTTTTGTGACATAGAACTTTCAGTTTCTCAGAAAGGCTCAAACTAGTATCGAAAAATCTAGCAACAAATTAGAGTTATGAGATATACCCCAAAAAGTCTAGAATAAGATGGTCGCCATCCAGGGCTCTAGCCTTCCCAGGAAACTTTCGGAATGCAATACAGGACGAGCACGCTGTATTGTATTGTGCTGCAGCATTATTTAAAAAAATATAGTAGCCCTTTACACTAGCTATCACCAAGCGTGACTCATTGCTCACAGAATGAACCGGTTGCGTTTTACCCAATCGATCCAACATCAACCTCGGCTCCCTTCAGCTATCCTTCTCTCAACTCACAATCTCCAGAAGGAAGCCATGCACAAGGCCTCAGATTTCCAATCTTGTTCATCTTCCCATTATTTGCAACCATGAAGTTGTCCTCAATCATAACTGGATTTGTGGCTCTCATGTCAGTGGCTCAGGCTTCTGTCATTCAAGAACAAGAATCCAACAACGACATTGGCTCTGCTCAGGTTTGTTCTCATTTTGACATCAATTCAAAATTATATGTTCTTCCACTCACATTGAACTTCTATTTGGACTTTGCAGGTAATCCCTGTTGGTGCCTTCACTCTTGGGTACAATCCTATTATTGCAACTCTGCTACACTTCCTTGGGTAACCATTGAAGGTACCGGGGATGGTTCTTATGACTATTTCTCATTTGAGGTCCGGGCAGTAATGATTGCTTCCATCTTTGACATTGATGATCCTACAAGCTTTAATTCATTTCTCACTCTGTATGACTCAAGTGGCACCCAGCTTGCGCAAAATAACAACAACAGACCTCCTGATGATGGCTCAAGTAGGCGTCGTGATGCCTACTTGACCTACACATTCAATACTGCTGGCATATACACCATTGCTGTGAGTCGACGTCGCAATGGTTCAAACCAGGTCATTCCAAATTCTGCCACATACACGTTGCACATTTCCCTGGGTTATACGGAAGCACAGCTTCGAGCTGCTTATGGTATGGGAGACCCACACTTCAAGGTACGACTCAGTAGGCCACAATCAGCCCAGTTGATGAAAATTTTGTTTGGACTTATCAACAAGTGTTGTCTCTTCCATTTGTATTTAGACATGGGTGAATGAATGGTATGACTTCCATGGAGAGTGTGACTTGATCTTTATCAGCAGCCCTGAGTTTGATGAGGGAACTGGCTTGGACATCCACATTAGGACAAAGGCACGCAACCAGTATTCTTACATTGAGTCTGCCGCTGTTCCATTGGAGAGGACACTTTGGAGGTGTGAATATGGTGTTACATGGTGAATGGAATCTCCAATGCTGAGCTGGACACATTTGACAAATACTCCATCAAGCACGAGAAGAAGAGCTCCAAGCAGTATATGTTTGTGATTGAGCTTGCCGGGGCAAACAGATTGTCCTCCAATCCTTCAAGGACCTTCTAAGCATCAAGACAGTTGGTGCCACCCCTTTGGAGTATGAAAATAGCAAGGGTCTTTTGGGAGACTATAAGGCTGGCAAGTGGCTTGCCCGCAATGGAACTGCCCTTACAGATGCTAATGCCTTTGGAAATGAATGGCAGGTTCTTGAGAGCGAGCCCAAGCTCTTCCAAAGCAACAGGTTTCCACAGCACCCGTCACTTGTAATGTGCCTAGTTTGAAACAGGTGGGCCGCCGTCTTGGTGAATCGATTGCCCAGACAGCTGCTGAGAAGGTCTGCGAACACTGGGAGCAAAAGGACTTTGGTCTTTGATGTCATGGCTCTGGAGATTTGGAGCTTGCTGAGGCTGGAGCTTTCTAGGCAGTGATCATTAGTGAAGTTAGGCTGAGATGTTTGCACTGGTCACCTTGTATGATGTGTCCAGTGTAAGAAAGCCTTGTCAGGTTTGCTGCAGGTTGATTTGGCTTGATTGGTAGGGAAGGAGCTCGGTGTCACACCTTGACGCACCACCTTACTGAGATGGTTACCAGACTTGTATCAGATTCCTCCTTGTTCGTTTGCATACAAGAGAATGGTGTATCCATCTATTTGGATACTGTTGCCATCAAGAAAAGCACCACAGCATTAAAATGCAGCTAGCATTGCAGTAAGATTAAAGGTTGATAAAGGAAATGTGATTACAAGTACTATTGCTGTGCCAATCAGCAGTAGCTAGCTAGATGGCCAATGCCACACAAACCTTGGTCCCTGTAGTTTCTTCAAGCTCCAGCCAACACTGGTATGGTACAGTCCTGTAGTACTGTTCGGCTGGAGTACGGCATGTCTCGGCACTGTAGTACCATAGCTAGTGACTTTGCCAAAGCCACGTTCTACTAGCTAGCTTCCAAAAGACCATCTCGTTGCTGCCAAGGAAGCTCAATCATCCAAAAGGATCACTGTTGTGGATCTTGCTTTTGGAAGTGCTGATGTCTGAGTTCCTTGTTGCTTGGTGGCTTGCCAGATGGATAAGACAACAAAGTGGAAAATTTTGTCACAGAACGGACTCTAAGGCGCGAGCGCAGCAACATAGAATGCCATGGTCGAAGTGCATGCTTGTGCCGAAAGTAGGCGCACTAGCGATGTGCGTTTGACCATCGCTCCACAGTATAATAGTTCCCAAAATGGAACTGCAAATCCCCATAGTCTAGTTCATAGAATCAGGTTGAGCCAATCTTTATCAATCGGAGAAAGAATGATAGACTTGCAAATTGAAATTGCTTCGTCAAACTGATGCTGAGCTCCGAGCATATCATTCTTCTTGACGAGCATGGGACCAATGTTGTCATAACGAAATGCCGTGCATCGTGCTCCGAATCACCCGAGCTTTTAGCTCCTCAGAATTTCTGTATCATATATCTTGGAGTGCTCATCCACCACCAGCTTGCTTCAGGTTGGCGACGAAACGAGCCCAACATCCACAATGTATCTATTTTAAAATAGCAAGTCTTAGTCTTCGATAGCGATAGCAGTAGCCTGCCAAGAACTCCCACCCAACCAACAATGGCACGCCTTCTGAGGAACCTCGGATGTACATCTGTATCGTTGTCTCGAAAACCTACCAATGCCCCACCGCATTCTTGTGTTGGTTCATCGCATTCTGGTTCTTGAAGAACTTGCCACAAACATCACAGTTATAAGTTCGATGTACTGCTGCAAAATGATCATTGCGAGCATGAGTACTTCCAAACTCTTTCCCACACACGTTGCAGGTAAGTTCTGCCCTTTCAAGTGCTTCTTGAGCTAGCGCCTCCCGTCTTTTTTTTTCTAGCCGAAGCCTAGAATTGTGTTGTTTTTGTCGTGCTTTCATCTGTGCGTTGCGTTTCGCGCGACGTGCTTGGTGGACACCAATCAACTTGCACAGTTCCTTCTTCCTATCCATCAGCTTGCTTATCTTGTCGTCTGCTTCTGTCAAGCGATCTCGCAAGTCGTCTTCTACGTCAATCTCGTCTCCTGAGGATTGTACTTTCTGACGCTTAGATAATCTATAGTAACCTCGGCCCGTGTGCACTCTAGGGTTTCTCAAAAGTCTCGGCTAGGTCCTCTTTGGTGCAGTTGCGCCGAAACAGCTGTGTTTTGCCTTGATTTGGATGATTTAGTGCTGTGCCCACGGTCCTTGTCGTGTAGTACACGTTTGTTCTCCCTCCATCCGGATCACTAAATGAGATCACACGACTATGAAAGTTGTGATCAATCTCGTGAATGGCGGGTATGGCAGCTGCCAAAATCCGCACGTCTAGGACTGACCAAGCGGGGTCTGTCGGCAAGTTTTCGCAGACTTTAATGCTTGGTCCACCAGAAAGGAGATCCAGTATTTTTGTACCGTCTTTGTTGTAGTCAAAGATCCATCCCCGTGTACCCTTGACACGAAAGAAGGATGCGCTGGATATCCGCGACGCTGGAACCCTTCGATCGCACTGAAACACATGGTTGGGCTGAAACGAATCTTCGAAGGCCTTCCCTTTGCGATAAGTTGGCTGTTTCCTCAACAGAACACTGCTTCCCAAGTTCCTGACTTTACAAGTCCATTCGCCTTGTTCGACCTGCACTTCCCTCATCATGGCATCGCCATACTTGTTGACAAACAACCAGCCACTTCCGTCCGTAAGCCGCAGGAAGGGTCCATTACCGTAAGGATGTGGCGATTCTCGCACAATGTCACAGACAATAATCTCACCCTCCTTCACGGACCACGATGTCTTTGTATCGTCGCCAACATCAGGCTTGGATCGGATGGCAATTTTGCGGATTGTTTCGAACGCGAAGAGCCCAACCCGGATTTGACTCTCTGGCTGCATCATGATAACAACTGTTTTGTCCGATCTAATTCGTTTGTCAAAGACCCAGGATGCATAAGGTCGTCCTTGGACGCGATAAAAATGCTGGCCAGCAAGGCCCCTTACTCTTCGGTCGCAGTAGACCTTCTCCATAGGAAGCAAGATTTCCTGATGCAGTGGAATACCCTGCTTGTGATCTTGAAGCTGGTCCATTGGATTGTTCCTCAGAGCCATTCCCGCGGAAAGTTGTGACATAGAAGCACCAACATCCAGTTTCAACGACGGCAGGTTCCGCAGAGCGAGTGTCATTGCCTGGTTTCTGCTCGAATATCCAGCCAGATCCATCGGAAAGTCTCAGGAAAGGACCCTCGCCATTGCTGGCTTCGACGACAAGATCAACTGATGCCAGGTCTCCTGTTTTGAAAGATCTTCCCGCTTTGAATTCGTCATCAGTAGATTGAATAGATCGTACTGCAATTGAGTGAAGGATCCTGTAAACGAAACATCCAGAATGGGAGTTCATTCCAACTCGAATGTGAGTGGGAGACTCGGTACCGGTAGGGTTGCTGAGGGATACCTCCAAAGCAGACAAAGCCATGGACATTGGTCGAGGATTGTGGTAAGGCTTCTTGCATGTGGGGACAGGAGAATGGCGACCGTCTGCTAGTCTGCGGCGTCTGCCATTTTGGATCTCATTCCAAGCGGCAGAGCTGTCAACCAATCTTACATGGTGACTTTTTGGTGCGGCACAAGAGTCACGGTTGTGGAACTGTGAACTAAGAATAGAATTCTATTTTAAGGCTACTCTGAGTACGACTGTCCACCGTGCCGCTACCTAAACCGATAACCCCCACAAACATTGGGACGGAGAGAGTTGGCCCCCTCAGCCGGGAAAGTGGAACTGTGTCCAACACCAAGCTCCAGTAAAGTGCCCAATTCAATGATCAATCCCACCGTTTCGCCATGGGTGACATGCCTTTCGATGGCCTTCCCTTGTGAAGTCAGCTGATCACTGCGCAGCTGTGAATTGTGAGGAGTTCGTACATGTACGGTAGTTTGGATGGGATGGCCGCTCATCGATCGTAGTTCCGGGCGCAATGGGTTGGTCATGGGGAGATTTGCAGGCTAGCTAGTTGGGATTTTAAAAGGCAATGCATTATGAAACGTGAATAGAAACTGGTGATCTTGCAGCAGCAATGCTAGTGTGTAGGCCAGAAGTAGATATCTGTCAAGTTAGGTAGTGTAGCTCCTTGGCAACGCAACTTGTGTTCAGTGGTTTCTGCGAGTTTCGCGGCGTCCTCGAGTATCGCCCAATCTACCACGGCTGGATTGAAACACCTGAGCTAACCTACAAGTATGATGCGAACCGAGCTGCCATGCGTTGCAACTCATAGATGCTCGTGATTGTTTGCAACTTGGTCGAATCGGCAAGGGAGCAGCCTTCCGTGTGATGTACGGTACCGGTAGCACATTTCCAGAACGTCATCTCATCAGCGCTTCGAGCCTCGCTATCGCGGCCTGATCTCATGGTTTGACAGCCAAGAAAGTGCGCTACCGGTGAAAGAAGAGGAAGTGTCCGAGTGGCTTGGCAACGGCGACTACTCCATGGAGATTTACGCGTGGCTGCTTCAGTTCTCGGCAGTGCTCAACATGGGACCGCCAAATGGCGGGTACCTGCGATGCTGCAAACGGTCGTTCCATGTGGAAGAGGCATTTCGTCGTCTTTCGGCGTCGTATTGCTTGAACCTGCCTTCGGACGATTGATTGTGCTGCGCAGTTCCTGGAGTGCCTAGCAATTTACAGGGCGTTGGCAGCCCGGATTGGCAAAACATCAATCACAGTTCGAGACGCGGTGGGTGGGCGAAGTAAACGCCCTTGCGGAGATCTTTGAACACGGCGAAGTTTGATGCTTGCAATGTGCCCACGAATCGTCCAAGGTGCTTCTTCCTCTTGGCAATACGTTCTGCAATGTTTCTGCGAGCTTCCTGCGTTCACGTTCCTAACCTAGTCGCCTGGTCTATCAACTCGGCTCCCTATTAGTACTACCGAGCGAAAAGTGGGAGCATAGCTGGCTGCGATTTTAGCTTTTCCTTCTCGCCACCATCTTACGAAGCAGCATAGCTGAAGCATCACAATCTCACCCATACAAGATCCGTCTACTAGCCAGTTTTTACTACTTGGTCTGCTTGAAGAACAAATTCATCCTTCATCCTCTTGGACTTTCGAAACCGAGTATGTTTGGTACACAGGGCATTGCGGAACTTTTGGGTAGCTATCGGATAGGTTTCTGGTGCTGAGTCCACAGCATCATCATCATCTCCCTCCTTTATTTTCTCACTCTTCAAGAGTTTCTCAGCTCCGCCCCCCTCCTCTTTGCATTCTGAGTAGTTGAGAGCGGTGCAGATTCGAAGCACTTCTTTGATGAATTCTTTGTGGTCCAACTCCTCATCACCGCTCTGTTCACCTTCCCACTCGGAAAAGCCCATTTTGAAAGCGATCAGGCGCAGCCCCATGTACTGCTGTTTCCAAACTTCTTGATCGAGAGACCGAATCTCACCCATGATTCCCATTGGTTTCAGACCCACCAACTTCCGGGTGCGCTTGTATATGCTGTAGATGTTACTCTCAAGCAGGTCCACAGTTACCACGAAGGGTTCTTCCTCCCGGATATCTGGCATGTCTCCTCCAGGCACGGCTCGATAGTGGGTGATCTTGCCCACTCTATCTTTGTAAGTCAATTGTTCCTCATTGTCATACCGAATGACAGACTCTGGCTCAATGCCCAACATGGCCAGCAGCTTCTGCAAATTGCGTTCAAACTCTCCAAAGGGTGGATCTTCATCATCTTTCAGACCATTCTCTTCAAAGCACTTGAGATTGTCGACTCGTTCATCAGTACCCAAATGAAAGTAAGACCCACCAAAGGTCACTCTTAACTCTCGGATCACATCGTAGACCAGAGGGAGAAACAAGGGATCCTGAATATTGTTGGGTATACCAGTACCATCCTTGCAGAACAGTTTGGGGCACTGTACGAGGAATCCCCCATTGATCCAGCCACCCGCATTGGTACTGATGCTGATTTCAGGAATGATATCCACACCCCATTCATTGGCGGCATTGACCAAACGATGAAAGAATTTGATTTTTGGAGCTTCTGTCAATCCTGGTAGTTCATCAGTCCACATGGATTGGGCCAGTAGTGAATTGTATTCCAGTTGGGGCACAAAAGCAAAATCATCAGACAGACGGAGCTGCAGCCAATCCATTCCAAGGGGTGCAATAAAATCTACGAACAGAGTCTTGACCAACCGAGGATAGGCAAGGGAATTGGCCATATCCAGGATAACTCCTGTCTTTTCAACTTTTTGTTTGAGTGCTTTCACAGGATCAACAAGGACCTTCTTGCACCCCCTCTCATTGTTTGGTTGGTAGAACTCTGGCAGTCGATGAAAAAACTTGCCAAAGACATCATTTCCACCTGCGATGGCAGAAGCTCTGGCATGAACTGCAGGCTGAAAACTGATTTCACTAGTCTCCAGTGTCAGCCTGCGGCAGATTGCCTGCCTCCAATCTTGACTCCTCTTGCTTAGCAGACCCAAGAAGGACCGTCTTGATACCAGAGTGTGACCCTTCAACTCACACAAGGCCTTCGGCAGCAAGGAAAGACATTCTCTTTGATAGGACAACTCAAAATTAAACTCTGATAGTTCTTTCTTGTTGGCTTCCTCCGTTGCTGCCATGGACACTGCGACTAGCCTTGCCAAAACATTGCGCTGCAGCCAAAGATTCTGTTGTGGTAGCAAATTTGTTGACAGGTGCATGGTCCCCACAAGAATTGCCTTTGGTTTGACAGATAGCTCCAGTACTTGTTGAGTGTGTTTGTAGATCTTCCATGCACTGTCATCGTCATCTAAGGCAAAATCCAATCCTGTTGATACAATGGATTCTGGTAGGGGCACCCAGTTCTTGCTGTTGATATTGTTGCTGTTGCCATCCTGGGGAAAGGTCATCCAGTAGTGTTCAATGCCTCCTACACGTTGTATTGGCTTGCTCTCTTCTTTTGCTTTGTTAGTGTCTTCTGTTGCCTTGGTACTGCTGACAGATTCCTCCTTCTCATCATCAACAGAAGCAACATGCTGTGTTCGAATCACTTTCTTTTCGGGGTACCCTAGCCTTTTCAGCACCTCCCGAATCAGTCCTTCCCATTTAATCCAATAGATTGTCGCTGGGTCCTCTTCAACAGGTACTTCTTTTTTCTTTTGTTTGGCTACCTCCCGGAGGCACTCTTTGGCTTCATCCATGAACAAGGCCCCTCCCAAATGGAGCATTGATGGGTTCCCAAAAATGGCAATAACTTCTTTCAGCACACCTTCCAGAATGGCTGGTAAATCGGGATGATCCAGATTGAGTGGGACATAATGAGATGTCTCACAAATGAAATTGGCGCAAGGCATGATCAGTCCTGGAACCGCTCCGGCCCAGGAGGTTGTACGGACTGGCATTTGTAGCTCCGGGATGATGGTAATATGATGTTGCTTGGCAAAGGCTACCAGCTCTTTCAGTTCCGCTGGTGAATATGTTTTGTTGGATATGGCTGCTGCTGCTAATTGTGGATAAGAATCCAAGCGGACAGCAAAGTTTTCTTCGTCAGCCAGTCTCAAATGAATGAGGTTGTAGTGCATCTTGTGCAGGTAGACAATCAATCGTTTCCACCAACTCATGGGAAAATAATGCCGTCCCGCATCGACTGTGACACCCAAGTAGTCCACTGCCAAATGAACCGATTCCTTGTTGGACAGCCATGGTAGCTTCTTGTCAAGTGCCTCTACATTCTCATCATCCTTCTCTGTCTGGATGAGTGGATCCATTCCTCTCGTGACAGTACGACTCTGTAGCTGCTCAATAATGTGTGCATCTTTGGGAGGAGACGTACTGCCATCCTTTTTGGCTTGGGCATCTTGCCGTTTCATGGTTTCTCCACTCATGACCTGGAAGGGATCGTCTCTTTCTTCGTAGAGGAACTTTCCTTCGGCTTTGGCCTGCGCCATGGCCAGTTCGTGAGCTGCCAGAATATTAGCTCGCGACTTGGGGTCCAGTGTTTTATGCACCAATCGACGACGGAATTCGGCATGATGAATGTCTTTCTTATTAGCACCACGGGTCTCCTCATCTTCCTCGGTTGGTTGGTATGCTTGGACAAAGAGGCCTGATGAGCTTCCCACCAACAACCTCGATGCGACAGCAATAAGGGTTGCAGAGAGCACCAAGGGTAATCTACGACGGCTACCAATACTTCGAGTCATCGATGATAAAGGGGGTTGTCTTCTATGGCACTACTACTCTAGAGTTTCAGTCTGCCTATTACAGTATCAGGTGGAGGACGATTGGCACGAGGCGGTTGCCGTTTTCTGCTTCCAAGAAACCCAGCTCAATCCTGAATGATGAGCTGCTGGGACTGGAAGAAAGGAGCATGCGAACCCTTGAATCTTGTTGCCCAGTGACACTGCCGGTTATTACCCAAATCTCGAGCCTGATGTAACAGAGACACAAAACCAAGTGAGCACTGAGCATAATAGTAAACACAACACACAGAAAAAAGAAAATCGCAAGAAGATGTCGCAATCTACAATCAGACCCGATCGTTTGAGCATGGAAGGCATGATCTGGAATGGTACGTGTTCCTTGGGTGAAGTCAGCCATCGTCTTTAGGTCCATTGGTATTTATTCGAAAAGGATGCCTGATTCAATTGCTCTTTGTTTTTGCCTGCCACTTTTGTATCATCCAATGAAATCATAATAATGGTATCTCCAGCCAACCATGTTTTGGAAATGGCGTTGGATCCCAAGCAACAGGGAATTCCCAAGGGTTTGTTTGAAAAATCGATTGGTCTTTGCATTATTTCCGTGGTAGAAGCAGGATTCATCTTTAGCGGAAATGTCGGAACTGGAATCTTACTCAAGAAAAAGGCGGACGGAAGCTGGAGTAATCCCTGTGCCATGGGACTTGGAGGAGTTGGTTGGGGTCTCCTTGTGGGCGCTGCTGTCAAGGATATCATCATCTTTATCTTTGACGAAAACAGTATGAACGGAATGATGGGTGAGGTGGGTCTCCGCATTGGGGGTCAGGTCAATCTCACACCCGGCCCCTTTGGCAGAAACTACGAAGCTGGAGTCGGTGTGACTACCAAAGGTGCCGTGGGAACCTGTAGTGTGGCATTTTCACAGGGTCTCTTTGGCAGTATCTCCATTGAAGGTGCCATGGTGGGTGTGCGTGGAGGCGCCAATGATCAATTCTACAATAAGGTCACCAATCCACACACGATCCTCAATACGGAGGAACTCACTCTTCCGGAAAACCGACCAACATTAATGGAGAGCGTCTACAAACACATTGCAAAGTTGGAGGAGGGAAATACGCATACTCCCACGGAAGAGGAAACACTCCAGGCACAAATTGCCGCCAAAGTGGCTCAAGAGGCATCAGAGGAAATGGCCCAAGCCGATCCAAGTGGTGTACTAAAAGTAGATGCCGCCGAGGAAGCAGAAAAGGAAAAGGCCGCCAGCAGTTAAGCGTGTCAACATCATGACAAATCAACAACAACCCACAGTGCCCCACGCCTTCGAATCTGGGCTTTTGCCTTCGAACCTGCATGCAAATTGTCCAATACATTCAATATTATTCTATATAACACGGTCCGTGTTGCAATCATAACGTCGCTACCTACCGTACGGTATCATAGACTGTCACAATCAACAGCGAATTCAACGTCGCTCTCATCTCGATCAGAGGAGTTTTAAAGTACTCGACTAGTCACCGATGAGATAAACGTCAGAACCGAAACATGTCTGCGCCGAGATAGCCGACATTGCAACCTGCGCAAAATTCGCTCATCCTCTTCGTCTCGTTTGGACTTGTCAAGTACCGGAAGTGGCTTCTTTTAGGTGGGAGGAACCGTCTCGTTACCATCCAAGAGTGAGAACCGACCCTTGTCTTGTGCAAAGACCATATCGCGTCGTGGCCAAGGCCATTCACCAAACTGGGTTGCCTTGTAGTCAGCCTCTGCCTGTTTCACCTCCTCTGGAGTATTCATGACAAAGGGACCCGACTGCGACACTGGTTCTCCGATTGGCTTGCCTTGAAGCATCAACATATCCACAGAGGAGGAAGAATCAGACATGCTAATTGTCAAATCCACGGACGCATCGACAGTGATCATTTTCCCCTTGACTCGGAACCCATTCAGGGTCAGTCCACTGCTGGAACCATCCACAATGTAAAAGACGCGATTAATGGCGCTACCACCATGCGCAGCCGGAATGGGAATACTACCACCAGACTCCAACACAATGTGGATCACGGCAACATCATGTTCCGGATCAAATGCCCAGGAGTCCTTGGGTGATGTGTTGGGGTTTCTTTGTCGCTCTCCAGTAGCAGCATCTCCTCCTAACAAGTAGTCCCCATAGAAAATGGTGGCGCGAGCCAGTCCATCCTCAGGACTCCATTTGGGAACTTGTGGGGCCCAAAACATGGCAAAGGATGGCTCCACCATTTTGCTACAAGCTGGTAAATTGATCCATATCTGGAAGAATCGAACGTGATTGTGTGTTTCCTTGTTGACCAATGGAAACATTTCGGCATGGACAACACCCTTCCCCGCCGTCATCCACTGCAAGTCACCATTGCCATAACGACCAGCATTGCCAAACGAATCGGAATGGTCAATGATTCCTTCCACAGTGGCAGTAATAGTTTCGAAACCTCGATGGGGATGTTTTGGAAATCCTGTGGCGCGATGTCAACACCAATCATTGTGGAACAAACAAACAAACAAGTGAGAGACGTGCTTTCTTGCTCGATTCGGAGGCAACCAAGCTGCTCTCGGACATACCTGCAATCCGATCGCCATGATACATTCTGTAGGGGGCCACGGGGTTAAAGTCTTGACCATCTCCCTGTCGAGGCGCCTCCATGGAGTCGTCTTTGGCTGCGGGGTACGCATCCTTGTGATACACTATAGGTCCCGAAAGCACAGAAAGAGCGAGATAAGACTGCAAGCGTTCTCCATTTATTTTGTCTGATCTTTCCAGTCTATACTATCTTACCGCAGTACAAGAACGGATCCAGGGTGGCTTTTGCAACCAAGGACGACTTGAGGATGGGAGACGCTGTGGGGTCGCTCATGATGTCTGGTGCCCAACAAGAAGTGGTGGAAGTCGAGGACAAGAGTATTCTATGACATTCAATGGCAATACGGCAATACGGTTCGTTCGGTTTGGATTTCTGGATCTTTTGTTGCTTGTATCTTTGGTAAGCTCTTTGGATCTTCCATAAATCTTGAGTTGAAGCAATCAATTCTCGCGAAGCTGACGCACAAAGTCTCATTTTTCCGGCTTCCAATCCGGAGATGTTCGGCAACGAACCCCGTCGAAACGGACAACATCAGCAGCAATCAGCAAGCCAGTTGACGCGTTGAGTGATAAGGTACTCCTGTACCTCCAGTTTGTGTTGGAGGCTGCTCTCTTTAGTTTCTGGTTCCAAGCGCTGTTTGTTTGTCTTGTTTTGTTAATCATATCACGAACCAAGCAAGTGACCATGAAGGCAGCATCGGCAGTATTGAACACCATGGCGCTCCCCTCTGCGGGTCCCTTCCGAACGCTTGATCCTTTTTTGTTTTGCGTCTATCACAAGGTACGGCAAGCAAGGATTTCCTTGGAAATTGTCCCTGCGTGTCGCACTGTTTGAGGGAGTGTTTGCTGTGCATATCAGCACGAGCTGCCATAAGCCTGGTGGCGATTTGGTGCTGGATCAGGGTGCTCATAATCAAACCTCAATTGTGCCCCCAATCTTTTGCTGCAGGACGCCTATCCACCGGCTCATGATGAAACCATGGAAGCCCCGCAACCGGGAAATGGAATGGATTTTAATCCTTCTGCTCCCTACCGAATGTACCACGGTGATATGGTCCCAGGTGAGAAAGAGCAAAACATTCTATGAAATTGCGCATTGGCGTCACTCCGTGACCAAGCCAAAGTTGTGCTAACGATACCGTATGCGTCCTGGTGCTTTCAAAACTGAAGGATTTCCGTCACATCCACACAGGTATGCACGAGAAATCGAATCCTTGGAACGTTTGTTTTGCCCTTCTGCTTGCCAACCTCAATTGTTATAACTCTTTTCCCTCGTCCTACTCAGGGGATTTGAAACTATCACTGCTACCATAGATGGACTGATTGACCATTCGGATTCCTTGGGAAATGGAGGCCGCTATGGTGAAGGGGATTTACAGTGGATGACAGCTGGCAAGGGAATTGTCCATGCCGAAATGTTCCCACTCATCTTCAAAGAAAAACCAAACCCCACCAGATTCTTTCAGATCTGGATCAATCTACCAGCACGCAGCAAGATGGTAGAACCCTCCTTTGCCATGTTTTGGAACAATGATGTACCCAAATGGAAGAGCCCCGATGAGAAGGCGGCAGTCACTGTGTTTTATGGTGATTACTTCTTGGAAGCTTCCTCGGAGGAGGAAGAGAACAAACGAGTGATGAACCCCAATCAACCGCCCCAGGACTCGTGGGCCACCGACCATGACAATGATGTGGCAATTCTTCACGTGACAATCCAACCTGGTGGAACCATTGAAATCCCAAAGGCTCATGAAAGTGATAGTAAGACTGTGAATCGAGTGTTGTATTGCATTGAAGGATTGAAGGAACAACCAGTCATCAACGAAGTTCCAATCAACGATGGTATGATCACGGTCGATGCATCGTCCGCCTTGGATATCAGTTTGTCATCGTCTGCTTCGCAAGCCTGCGAGCTATTGCTCTTGCAAGGAAAACCAATTGATGAACCCGTGGCCCAACATGGACCCTTTGTGATGAATTCACGATCTGAAATTGAGCAGGCTTTTATGGACTACTCCAAGACCAAGTTTGGGGGGTGGCCATGGCCTCGAGATGACATGGTCTTTCCTCGGGAAAAGGGCCGATTCGCTCTCTTGTATGGCGAGGAAACAACTCCCGCTGATGCTGATACGGGAGTTTGCGAGGAGCCAAAATCGTAGGATCCAAAACCATAGGACTCAAAATCATTGGACCAAAGATCAGATGATGGATGCTCGGGGAGGACCTCAATAGGCCTATGCAGCATTGCAGCCAGCCACGGAAGCGAAAGACATCTGTCGGAATACATGTAAGCAACAGGTCGTTGGTTCAAGGTTCAGGGTTCGACGAGTCCAAGTAATACTAGTAGACATATAGTTAGGCGGCTCGACTTTTGTGTCTTTGCGTTTCGTGATTACGATAGCCACACAGAGAATGCCTGCTTCCTCACTTGTGAATTGGGCTGGCTGAAAAGACCTGGTTTGTAATTAGAGCAACTGCTGCTTGGAATTCCGCGCATCTACCGGTGACCGATGGTGGTGCCTCAAAATAATGCTAAATGCTAACTGTACTACTGGAGTATTCATCTACTACTCTGGAGTATTCCCAGCTTTCCAGTACTGGCTTCAAGGAAACATTGCGGCTGTCAAGACCTCGGTTGGCCAGCAGCCAATGGACAGTAAACTGAACATCTAAGGCTTGTTTGAGCGAGTCTTTTACCTCAGGGAATCCTCCATGTGCTGAAAACGCTTAAATTCAATCGAACCTAAATGTTTTAGTAGCCAAGCTCTGGCTTTCTTTGACAAGCAGGTGCGTTATTGAGCTGGTCATTGCAAGTTGCAATTGTTGCCTCTCTTTTCCTCTGACATCTTGGGTCGGGGGGTTAGGTCTCCGTGACCTTGTTCCTTGTGCCAAATTTATTTATACGAGCATTGTCTCTACTTTCCACCTACTTGCTGCTTTAGCTCTCATTTTTACTCTTGAACTCTTGAAGAAAGAGCAAACGAGCAAACAAATGAACAGACAGCGTTTGGGAAAGTCGCAGCAATGAAAAGAGCTCAAAAAGATGCTGGGTCGTTGGCCACAAAGCTGCTAAATAAATGTACATGTCATAGCTATTGTTATGAACATGAACTCATCAAGAGTAATACTAGTACTGGTACTGTGGCCGAAGTAGCGTACCGGTCATTGGCTCTCACTGCATGTTGCAAGATCATTCTGTAGAAACTTTAACTACTCTTACTCCCTAGAATATCTTCTGTATGAGATCGGATAGTATTATATTATCTTAGTGGCCACTCAGTACATGCTATGTAGCCACTTTCCGCGAGGGCCGGGGTGCGAAGGGCAAAGGGCAGGTGAATCCGGAACTACAAGAACTTTCCTGCGTCAAAACGGCCGAGAATTGCGTTCCAGGTGATTAGTTCAGTTGTAAAATTTGTTTTATCATCAACTAGAGTATAATTGGAATATATATGAGTATGAATCCTACAGTTTTTAATATTTATATTTTTGGTTTCACTGCCATTTAGTTAGGTTGGTTTCAATTTTATATTTAGAGAACATTTATGCAGGTTTGGAGGGGGGAATTATTGGTTTCGGGGCTTTTGTACGGTAGCCTAGCATTGAAAGTGGTGGCTGGAGATGTTGCAAGCAAGGACTGGATCAATTAGCTCTTGATTATCCTGAGGCTTTCTAGCTAGTAGATGTGAGTACATACTACACAAACTATTTTTTTGTTGAAGGAGAAAGTGTTACACTTCAGCTCGCTTATTAGTACTTACTTGTGTAGTGATCTAGTCATAAAGAGCAGCCTACCTTTAGAGACGACGTGTCCCAAGGCAAAGAAACCATCCTGTCAGATCTCAGGGGCCAGACAAAAGGCCGATGATAGAATGCTATGATGGTGGGGCAAGTCTGAGGCCAACATGTGCACCGGCAATTTCCACATGTAGGACCGTACTGTAGGGCCTTTAAGCCTCGTCCGAGAGGACCGTGCATTGCATACCAATTCTACGAACAGCCCAACCACTGACCTACCGTTACCGGATCTACTGGTCTAGCTAGCTGCCTGACTGACCTAGTCCAATGTTCGCTGCCTTGCAGCTCGTACTGTACTTACAAAATCACGATCTGACATGTTGGGGAGGGGTACTTACTCATTATGGTACATTTCAAGGGGTGCGCAGGCCATTTATCGAGGATTAGGATTCGAAGAACTTGTGACGCTTGATTATTTAACCAGAAAGCATCTTCTCGCTATCAAATAATGGTTTCGAACCTTTCGCAACTAAATCACCTTGCCTCCATGCTTCGATAGTGAAACTGTACCACTTCTATTCTGGGTAGCAATTATGAGTTAGGAGAGAGAAGTTTACGCGTAAAATGACCTTCTCCTCCAAAATTTGACTAGTAGCTCCGGAAGCGTGAACCAAGGCCAATAGCCAAAGCTACCACTTTCCAGATACTGGTCTAGTCTGCGTGTACTTCATCATCACCATCTCAAAAGCAGTGCAGAGATGAAAGCTCACAATTCCAACCGCTAGAAAGCATGAACGCAACCATGAAAGCCCGAGCCTCCAGCGTACCTTCGTTTATCTTCATCCCAGATTCCAATCGAATGGACTGTCAACCAAGACGCCGCAGAAAATCAGATACATCAGCCTTGACGCCATGCAATGTCCTTCGTTTGCGCCGTTTGACACGATGGGATGCAGATGATTCGGATGTTGCCTCTGTTGTCCCACCAAGCCACCCCACTCGTTTCGACGGGGAAGAGCAGCAAAAACGAAGAGAAAAGTCTTGTTGCCCACCCAGAATGCCGCAACGAAACAGCACAATGGACGTAACAAATCTTTCACCGATTTCAACCACAACTACAAGGAAGACCCCTCAGCCAGCAAAGAGTCTCCCACCAAGATGCCCAAGACGACATGCCAGCCACAAGAGTCTTGAGGACATGAGCGTGGATATGAGTAGGAAGACAGCTCACAGCCGTAGTTCTTCAGAGGACGTATCATCGCTGACCAAATCAATCCTTGCTACAGCTGCATAAAGAAAAGAACACATAGAAACGGTGACTTTAATCTTTGCCCAGATCTTGATAAGATAGTGCATGCTATACGCTACAACTGAAAAGGTTGCACTTTACTTTACATACAAATAGGCGGTACACTTTAGATACAAATTCAGTTTGCAATAGGGACTGGAATCCAGATTTCAATAGTGCTCTTTAGCCTAGCTCAAGTTTATAGTACCTGACCAAACAGGCATCTCTCAGGATCGTCGTTGTGATATCATGATCTCTTGTTTAGTACGGCGCGCTGGCTGGAAGCATCCTGCTTATTCATTGAAAGCTCACAAACAGCCTCCCCGCCTTCCAATGACACAAAAGTCCAGAGTGACGAGTCCGTTACACCATTTCTGCACCACTAGGAACCTTCCACTGATGGTAGTTTTGTGCAGGGGCAACCCTTGTCGTGTTGCCAGGCATAGCTGCTTGCATCTTCTTGTGTTCTGCAGCCACTTTCCATGGCTGTGTCGATTCCAAGAGGCCCAAGTACAGCTTGGAAGGAGTTGGCCCGGGAGATCGAAAGAAGGTGGTGTTGCCACGACGGGATAGATGCAACCAGCTTAGCTCGAGTTTTTTCGTGACAAAGTCGAAATCCAGTAGCATCCCTTGTTTCTCATAGAATTCCAAGTGACTTCCACCCTCGCAATACGTGCCGGTAAACTTCCCCACCAATGCAGTAGTAGCATTTCGTGAGACGACTGAACAAGCCTACTGGTGCCCAAAATTCTTTTCGCAAGTGTGTTGCTTACCTTCCAGTCAAAGTACGATGGATCTGGATACTCCTCGTAGGAAACGCGCTTGGACACATAGTCAGATGGGCGCTGCTTGTTGTGTCGATGAATAGGGTAGCAAGACAGCGGTTGATGCTGCAATCGCAGCTTTAGCTGATCCGTCGAATGCACCAATGAACGAGTGTCGAGCTGCAGCATATGGTCCAAGGCCAATTGGATTTCAACCAAAAGCTCTTCGTGCTTGGCCCGTTGGTGGGCGCGATGCTCATTACGACGATAATTGCCACACCACTTGGACTCTCCAAGTCGGAGTCTAGCTTTGGTACGGGCAATATAAACCTCCTCGAGCTTGCGCATCAATTGACGCTTCTTGACGAGAGCCTTTTGGACAAACGAGTCGCGTTCTTGTGTTAGGGACTTGACGGCCACTTCGACAATTCCTGTGGTTTGTCGTTGAGGGGAAGGGGTGAGACTAACGGCCAAACCTTTGAAATGACAGCACGGGAATTGTCTCTCTGACTTACCGGCATCTTCCATCAGCGGTTGCCGTTCCAGAGGACTGCCGCCAACTTCGGACAAACAACGAGAAATCTCAGTATCTGCGAGCAAGAGTCCCTGATGAATCTTCCAGAGACTGGCGTGACAAGTCTCTGCACCCAAAGACCAGTTGGATGCTTTTCGGTAAACACTTGCCTGAAAGGCAAAGAGTTCCGATTGGGCCGTGACGATGCGAATCATGAGACGCCGCATGACAAAGATGGTGCCTGTTGGGAACTCAGCAATGCGATTTAGTGTCGGCACATCCCCCGCTTCCTGCAAATCGTCAAGGTCTTCCGTCGTGGCGCGACTACTGGTGGTTGGTGTCCCAGTCTCACTTTCTTCATCGTCAGATTCATCGTCATCATCATGAAGAGATGCAAAGCGATTCGAGGATACGTTGACCTTAGTCCATTGTTCCTGAGGTGCCCAGTTCGAGACTACAGAGGTGGGACTCTGGTCGACGTTGTTTGCCGACCGACCCTTTCGTTTCTTGTTCTTGTCGCCGCGAGGTTCTGTAGTTGTTTTCTTGGGGATCTTGTAGGGTTCAAACACAGGTGGGTCAAAATGAGGAGCTTGATCCCACTCCGCTTCCAATGGATGCAAGAGAGCTTCCAATCTCATCAAATACACCAGGGCATGTTCCGTCACTTTCACTGAATGGCTCTGACGAACGGACCCAACTTCCTTTTCATCTTCGATGCTGATATCTGATTGCGCCTGATCGCGAAGGCATTGAGTGGCTTCTTGGATTGCGGTGATCCATTTCAGTGCCGTGATCATTTTACTTGTATTGGTCGTGGACGCGGTATCGCCATTTCTTGCTGGTGGCGGCGTTGGAGTACCGCAAAGACTTCGATAATGCTCGATGACGGCAGGTTGCATGAAAGCGGGTGAAGGAACTGGTGTTGCCATGGTGTAATTGTTGTTTGATGGATGCATGCGGTGAGTCAGGAGGGTGGTGGCTCGCTGAGGAAGAAGCAAAGATTTCAAGGGAAGCCGAATCCAGAAAGCTTTTGAGATTTTATGAACTGAACAAATTCGTTGGTGGGAACCGTTGCAGAAAGCACTGGATTTTTCGCTAGCGTGGGAGAACATTCCATCCGATGCTGAAACCAGACCGAAATGCGGCGAGAAGCCTCAAGACTGAAGCAAACCGCGTAAAACCACCCGTCGCGTCGCTCGTGGAGCAACACACGATATTTTGGCCTGGGTAGAGAGGTTTCGGGGATGCACCTCTGCTAGCGTACCGTACCGTACCGGTACCGTAGTACCAGAACTGAGTTGCAACTCGGAAACGGTTTGTACATGTGTTTCCCCTCCTGTCGTGTTGACTCCCATCCCGCGTGTCGACTCATTCCACGTTCCGTTAGATCATTCTTACCGTGTCGACTCAGCGTGGATGAAACTGGAAGGAGTGTTTTGAAAAATCGAATCGAATGATTCGGATAATGATTCGGTTCGAATGATTCGATTCGATTCGATTCGATTCTAATCAATCGAATGATACCTGGTACTAGCTAGTAGTACAGGAAGACACGGTAATTGATTATTTTTGCTGAAACTGGATTCAGCAAATTCAGCATTTGTCAGCATCAGATTCAGCAATTTCAGCATCATTCAGCATCAGTCAGCATCTGTCAGCATTTTTCAGCAATGGATTCAGCAAGTTCAGCAAGATTCAGCAGAATTCAGCAATTACTAGTAAATAACCATGGTTGGATTCAGCATCTGTCAGCATTTTTCAGCAATGGATTCAGCAAGTTCAGCAAAGTTCAGCATCAGTCAGTATATTTCAGCATCAGTCAGCAAACATCATCAAAAATTCAGCAAATTTCAGCATTCAAGACTGAAAAATGCTGAAATTGCAGAATGACCGTGTCTTCCTGTACCAGGAAGGCACCAGGTTTCAGCGAGGATACACAATACACATGCAAAAAGCTTCAAAGTCGCGGTAGTCGCGATAGTCGTGATAGTCGTGGTAAATAGTCGTTGTTAAGTCGCGGTGCGCGACTATCGCGACTTTTATAGTCGTTCTAAAGTCGCGTTGCATTACTAGTAAATAACACGGAGAAGTCGCCTTTAAGTCGCGTTGCGCGACTATCCCGACTTTTATAGTCGTTCTAAAGTCGCGGTGCGCGACTTTCACAGCTTCCGCGACTTTCGCGTCTACCGCGACTTTGAGCCGGCTTCAACCGTAAACCTGGAGCCTTCCAGGTACATGTACCCAGTATCGACTCCCGTGGCTAAAATTCTGACACGATGAGGGCATTGCCAATTCCACATCAGAAGTGAGGGACAGTCAGGGTCGAGTGACAGTGGACAGAACGGAGAAGCTTGGGCTAGCTAGCTACCTTAGCTTGCCAGAGGAGCCAATTGCTACTGAACTTCCCAGCTCTAGCTAGCTAGCTAGCTAGCTAGCTAGCTAGCTGGAAGGAGCTGACTGGGTTAGTAGCCAGCTTGTCCAGAATCGGCTTGCTTTCAGAGGAGCTAATCGGCACCGGTACTGGCACGGTACTGGTAGCTTCGGTCAAGTATCATGATGAATGCTGCATGTCGGGGGCTGCCCCCAAAGGACACATCATCCCAGGCAGAACATTGATCCCTGTGAGGCAGACGATGAGCTGGCAGTAGATCTACTCTTTAGTAGTGGACACATCTGGCACTGCCGCAGGAGACTAAAAAGCCCCGTGCCCTGGCTGATATTGCTTTGCAAACGGCACTGCCCGAGTTGTCTGCGAAAAACTTTTTGCTCCGAGTTGTTCTTTTGAACGTCGTTCTCTTTGACAAGAGGAGAGGTCGAAGCGGCAGGGAACAGGAATAAGGATGCCCCGTTCTGTTCAATGCGATTGAACACTCAGCGTCTGTGCCGATCTCCTTGCTTGTTGCTTGCTTGCTATTGAGAGTGCCGTGCACGGAAGCAACCCCTGGGCTGTTGAGCTTGTCTTGCCAGGAAGGTGGTCCAAATGCACGGAAGGTGAGTGCGTGGTGCAAGGGCAGCAGCAACATCAAGGAGGAACCAGCAGCTGCCAGCCGGCAGCTACGGAATGAAAGAAGATGATGAAGTACACGTCAATGCATTGATGCTTGGAATCGGAAGACATCATAGCCACTTCGTTGGCTGCTACATCAAAAAATGGAACCCGATAGATGTCTGGCTGTCTGGCTAGCTAGCTACTGGCAGCGGAGGCCAACAGCTCAGCAGCCGAAAAGTAAATTGTTTTCGTGCTGCTGGCTAGCTTGTAGATAGCTGGAAAGACAGAAGAGAATCGACGACATGGTTTCGAGATGGAACAGAGTGTGTAGGTAGCTAGCTAACCGAAATAACGATACGAGAGAAAAACAGCGGTAGATGACAATGCATATGCAAGTTTATACGTATTATTAATAGCGTACAGCAAGAGATACAACAATTACTGATGCCTGGCTGGTCCTATCATGGAATCGAATCACGCCCGTTCAATCAATGAGCAGACAGAGAGGCATCACTCATTCGGCGCTTTTCCTGAAGATGCTTGACAAGCTGCTCCGCAATCTCCAGGCCACCGTCCCACGCATCATCGTCGTCATCAGTCTTGACCGGTTTGAACGAGGACGATGGCTTGGGAGTCGCTGTAGATGCTGCAGTCTTTTCATCGGAAAACAAGTCTTGTGGAAGAAAGTTGAGAGATTTGAAGAGCATGGCCGGTGTCTTGGAGTTGCGGCGTTGGAAGCGGCGTCTCTTCATGGGTGGCTCTGCTGCTGCTGCTGCTGTGTCCTTGCCGTATCCCAACTGATCATCATCGTATCCCAACTGTGCAGCTCTCCTTCGGCGCTCAAGGCCCGCTGCGAAGATGGAATGAACATTCTGAATACGACTGTTGTGCGAGTCGTTACCATACAGACTCTTCTTGAGAAAGTCCTTGGTGCTGAACTGAACTGCTGCTGCTGCAACTGATTTGGCTTTGGTAATACCTGTATCACTCAAGCCCTTTACCAATTGGTCGACACCAGCTCGTTCTTCGAGGCTGCGCTTGGTGCCTTGTGTTGTTGTTGTTGTTGTTGTTGTTGTTGTTGTTGTTGTTGTTGTTGTTGTTGTTGCTTGTTGAGAAGACGCCATGGTGGGGTATCGAGATAAGTGTTGTTTGGTAGAGTTTGGTGCTAGAAAGAGTGTGCACTGGAGGTGAACAAGTAAATTTATGAGCTTACAATAAAGCCATGCCAAGACTGTCGACGTCAAAGAGCTGTCAGTTCAGTTTCGTCTTGTTGTAGGGGAAGCCTCGTAGAATTCCACGCTGACCTGTTCGCATTGACTCCAATTTCTCAGAAAATGTCAAAGGGAGTCATAAATCGCTAGCATTTGTCCCAGCAAGGCATTCCCTCTTCTCAATCACACTTTGTGTATAGTGGTACTGGAATCATACGTAGGATGGACAACGTGTAAATACAAGAGAGAGACGAGAGAGCCACGAGAGAGAATTCAGAAACATTGGGAGCTCTCTCAATGGTCAGACCATGCGGAACGAAGATCACGTTGGTGGCGTACTTTCACTCCACGACAGATAGTGCATCCCCCTGAAAATGGGAGCAGCCTGGTTCTACACGTTGAGGCTACAGGGGCATCCAAGTTTTGATCTCATTTGGATACCCCGTATAGTAGTCTGCATTACTGTGTAAAAATAAATGCTTGTCAATCAATAAAAAGGGGTATCAAAAAGGGGCATCTTTGCACAATCAAACTTGTTAATAAGTTTGTTTGCACCTCTGTTCGATGAAACTGAGCGAACTAAGTTAGGCCTTGGATGCCTTTATTCGAAAGCTTTCTGATAAAATAGGCTGGCTTCAACAAAGAATTCACTGGATACAACTTTTTGTTTAACAAAACCAAATATTGCACAGCCGACTGCAACCTACTACAGATTCTCACTGGTGATTGCGATACGTCAGTTTATCAAAGCCTCGTTTGTCCGTCCAACGCAAACTGCTGTAGATGATGCTTAGTTGTGGCAAGCGTGGGATCCCCTGAAAAATTGCGACGCAGTCGTTTTCTTTGGAAGCCTGGAGAGCACTTCCTTGCTACTCCAACATCGAATAATTACGATCAAAATTTGAACGGACAAAGAGGTGTCGTGGTCCGTTCTTTGTGCGTGCACTTCTACCGACGGGCTGTACAACGATGCGTGGTCCAGCTTGGGCGGAAAATAGCCTGCAGAGCCGTCTTATTCACGGACTAGTGAGTCCTTAGGCGTATTTCAAGTAATTTTTGCCGTTGAGTTCAAACGTGCTTGTGCTTAGAAAGACGTTATTTATGCCGGGATTCCAGGCAAACCGAAAACCTGCGCTCACTTTTTGCTTTTTGTCCACATCAGAAACCAGAGCACACTGCCCATCAGGAAAACAACGTTAACGCAGCGATGACAATGGGACCTCCTACTAGTAGTGTGGCTGCGATGGAATCTTGGCGGTTGCGACGGCATAACTGCTTTGCATTGCTGATAATGGTATTTCTTTGCTACCATGGCTCGCAGTTCTCGTGGGATGCAGCTGCAACGATCGAGCAACGCAAAACTAGTACACGTCACGAGGAAATGTGGCAGTCGCAGCAAAATCAAGCCAAGAAAGCTTTGAAGAGTTTTTCCAGGAGGCGATCATTTGATACTATGGTCTCCAGGACACAAGCTGTGTTAGATAATGGTTTCCCGCTTCCATGGAGACCTTGCACCATTGGCTCTATATTGCAGAGTCAGAATCGTGCTTATGGTGAAACAACAAACTCGAGATTCAACATTGCCATTTTGGGAGGATCCGCATCAGCGAGGCCAGGACGCAACTGCAGCTTTCAGTATAGAGGAGAGGACTATGCAGGAACATGGGCCGATTTTCTGTATCGGGGACTTAACAATGGAATGAATGACACTGTTCAGATTGGGGTATCCAACATGGCTCACGGGACTCTAAGCAGTGTGGAGAGTGCCCTGTGGATAGATGAGACAATCAATGCAAACTGGACTGATCTCATTATTCATGAGCATGTCATGAATGATCATGAGGGATCCATCGAAGAAAAAACAAAGAAACTAGATTTCTGGTTGACTCGGGTTTATGCATACTTTCGGCAATCTTCCAACAAGCCTCCTCCTCCCATTCTCATTTTGGCACTCTGGCAAGTCAAGGCAGCCGAAAAGCTCAACGAAACAATCAACACTCATCCCTTGGAATTCTGGGGAGATTTGATTGAAAAGTACAACAGCATGGGGTGGCGCATCTCCTTGGTAAATGTTGGAGCATCTGTGGATCACAATGCTGTGGCTGCCAATTTCCACGACCTGCTTGATGATTCACACCACCCCAACTGCAGGGCAGTCGAACTCATTTCCAACATGATCCAACATGCAATCTACACAGACTTGCTTTCATGTACCGGTAGTGCAGCAACAGTGGCAAGCAAACAGGAACTCAACATCGATACCGGTATCCCTCGGCACAGTCATGTTTTGGGGGACTCTCCTGAAGCCTGGAATCCATTATGGACCGATCTCTTTGGTCAAGATTCTCGCATTGGAACTGTCTCTGCCTGGCAACCCAGAATCGCGGGGCAGACTGCCCTGGCCCTTGGGAATCACGACGATATACAAAAGTGGGGAACCATTAGCATGGGAAAGGAAGCCACTGATCGCAAGGATCGTTTCCATGGTTGGATTCTTCCCATGTGCAATAATGATACATCAACGACAACCTTTGTAATCCAAGAACCTGACTTGGCATGGCTCGGGTTTTCGTTTGATCTTCCCCGTCTATCAATTGTACTAAATGGACATCAGTTGAATGTTTCGGATGATGGAGCATGGTGCCTGAGTGGTGTTGCTAGAAAATGGCTCAAGAAATGGGTTCATATCGCAGACCATGTGCCCCCGTCCGATGAGTACACACTCGAACTTTGCACCAATGGTGGGACAACGGAGATTGGCTTGCAAGCTGTTATTGGTCTCATGGTGCCATCCGCAAGTGAACCCATGAGTATAAGATAGATGTTGATACGTAGAACAACATGTACCGGCTTTGCTGGAATCGGATAGCTCTGCACCGATGGCTTCCGGTATCAGGTCGGAGGGTCCTTGTATGGTCCATGTATGATACAGTACTGGTAGGCTAGCTACGCACCGGTATGTTGTGTGGTCGGTTGGAATTTGCAGCACGGCTGTAGGCAGCTGTAGCTGCTCTATCTGCCAGACCCACTGAAAAACTCAGCCTACGGTAGCTTGATGCTATCGGTATCGCGCACACCAGGATCTCCCAAAGTGGCTGCTGCAGAATCGACTTGACTCACTCCTTCGATTGAAGGAGCTTCATGCGTACAGGCAGCTTCGTTTCTATTGATTCAAACGCGAGCCCACCTTCTTCCTACATTTCTACACTAGCACTCGTAGAAGTGTACCAGAAAAGCCGGCACGCGTTTGAATCAGAAAAATCGAAGCTGCTCGTATTAGTCTACCCATTATTTCTGTGCGGTGTCGATTGTTGTGATAGAGCAAAACTTTGCACTCCCGCGCCGAGAAGGGGCAAATGTGAGTCCTTTTTTCCAAACGCCAGCGCAAGAAGGGGCGGAGTTGTTGTCGCGATGGTTCATCAGTGAGAGTCGCAGAGTCGCAGAGTGCTCTTCTGCCTGTTACCTTTTCGCTGCATGATGTTGACTTGCAGCAGTAGAAGCCGAAGCTGGTTTCTCTTTGTGGTTGCAGCGTCGTTTCTGGGAACAGGTATCGTTGTCCTTGGGTACCCAGAAAAAGACGATCTAGCAGATGAAACCCGCTCATCCGATCAGGTAATAGACCACGCCGTCAAACTACACGCCCACGACGATGAGACCACGCCGGCTACGTCTTCCTCCTCCCATCAACACCGTGCTGAATTCCGTCGTAGGTTGGCGCATCGGACATTGGACCCAAAGTCAAAGGCCAATATTTTGGCAGCACATGAGTTGGCTATGGCTCAAGCCAAAGCAGAAGGGAAGTTTCTGTATGAAGAGAGGGAGGATCCATTTCAAGTCATGCGGGATGAAACAATGAAGCAGCAAAACCAACGGAAAAAGAGTGGCACTATTCCTTCTCCCAAAGATGCCAACATTGAGAAACTACAGAGTGGATTCATGGCGTCAATGGATTGCCCGAAGAATGACACAACGTGCGCTTCAGCAATACCCACGAGATTGAAGCAACAAGCACTGGATCCACTCATCCAGACAGAGAAGGATGATGAGGATGTAGAGGCACTTGACAAGAAGCTACCATGGCTGTCCAACAAGGAATCGGTCCATTTGGCAGTGGACTACTTGGGTGTCACAGTCGATGCGGGACGTCATTATTTTCCCATGAGTTGGTTGAAACGATTGATTGTGTACCTGCACAAGATGCACTACAACCTCATTCATTTGAGACTGGCTGACGAAGAAAACTTTGCTGTCCGCTTGGATTCTTATCCACAATTAGCAGCAGCAGCCATATCCAACAAAACATATTCACCAGCGGAACTGAAAGAGCTGGTAGCCTTTGCCAAAGGACATCAAATAACCATCATCCCAGAGCTGCAATTACCAATTCGCACCACCTCCTGGGCCAGAGCAATTCCAGGACTGCTCATGCCGTGCGCCAATTTCATTTGTGAGACAGCTCATTATGTCCCACTCAACCTGGATCACCTTGATCTACCAGCCATTCTGGAAGGTGTGCTGAAAGAAGTTATTGCCATTTTTGGGCACCCGCCAATGCTCCATTTGGGAGGGGCCTTGTCCATGGGTGAAGCCAAAGAGTGTCTCCGAGAGGTAGCCAAACAAATGCAAAAAGACGTACCTGTTGGAGAGGAGCCTGCGACAATCTATTGGATTAAATGGGAAGGACTTATTCGGGAGGTGCTGAAAAGGATAGGGTACCCCGAAAAGAAAGTGATTCGAACACAGCTTGTTGCTTCTGTTGATGATGAGGAGGAAGAATCTGTCAGCAGCACCACTAAGGCAACAGAAGACACCAGCAAAGCAAAAGAAGAGAGTAAGCCAATACAACGCGTTGGAGGCATTGAACACTACTGGATGACCTTACCCCAGCTCAGCAACAGCAACAATCTCAACAGCAAGAACTGGGTGCCACTACCAGAATCCATTGTATCAACAGGATTGGATTTTGCCTTAGATGACGATGACAGTGCATGGAAGATCTACAAACACACTCAACAAGTACTGGAGCTATCTGTCAAACCAAAGGCAATTCTTGTGGGGACCATGCACCTGTCAACAAATTTGCTACCACAACAGAATCTTTGGCTGCAGCGCAATGTTTTGGCGAGGCTAGTCGCAGTGTCCATGGCAGCAACAGCAGCAAGTGACAAAAGAGGCAGAGCCAACAGTGAACTCACAGAGAGTGATTTTGAGTCCTCGTATCAAACAGCATGTCAGTCCTTGCTGCCAGATTGCTTGTGTGAGTTTCAGGGACACACTCTGGTATCCACCCGTTCCTTCTTGGATCTACTTAGCAAGAGGAGCCAGGATTGGAGGCATGCAGTATGTAACAGGCTGACCAGGGAGTTCAGTGAAACTATTTTTCAGCCTGCTGTTCATGCCAGGGCTTCTGCCATTTCTGGTGGGAATGCTATATTTGGGGAGTTCTTTCATCGGCTGCCAAAAGTCTATGAGCCATACAACAAGAGAGGATCTAAGCAATTTTTTGTTGATCCTGTGAAGGAACTCAAACACAGAGTTGAGAAGACGGGTTTGATTGTGGATATGGCGAATTCCCTGGTTGACATTAGACTCATCAAGGCTTTCTTTGTGGATTTCATAGCCCCCCTCGGAGTGGATTGGCTACAGCTCCGTCTGTCTGATGATTTTGCTTTTGTGCCTCAACTGGAATACAATTCACTACTAGCTCAATCCATGTGGACTAATGAGCTTCCACTGGGCGTGCCAAAACTCACCAACTTCAGGCTCCTGGTCAATGCTGCCAATGAATGGGGAGTGGATATCATTCCTGAAATTAGCATCAGTACCAATGCGGGTGGCTGGATCAATGGAGGGTTCCTCGTACAGTGCCCCAAACTGTTTTGCAAGGATGGCACTGGTATTCCCAATGATATTCAGGATCCAATGTTTCTACCCCTTGTATATGATGTAATACGAGAGCTACGAGCGACCTTTGGTGGTTCTTACTTTCATTTGGGTGCTGACGAACGTGTCAACAATCTCAAATGCTTTGAAGAGAATGGTCTGAAAGCTGACGAAGATCCACCCTTCGGAGAGTTCGAACGCAAGTTGCAGAAGGTCCTTGCCCTGTTGGGTATTGAGTCAGAGTCTGTCATTAGGTACGACAATGATGAACAATTGACTTACAAAGACAGAGTTGGCAAGATCACCCACTATCGTGCCGTGCCCGGAGGAGACCTGCCAGATATCCGGGAGGAAGAACCCTTCTTGGTAACTGTTGACCTGCTTGAGGGTAACATTTACAGTGTATACCAACGCACACGAAAGTTAGTGGATCTAAAACCAATGGGAATCATGGGTGAGATTCGGGCATGGGATCTAGCAGTGTGGAATGAACACTACATGAGACTACGCCTGATTGCCTTCAAGTTGGGCTTTTCCGAGTGGGAAGGTGAACAGAGCGGTGATGAGGAGTTGGACCACAAAGAATTCATACAAGAAGTGCTTCGAATCTGCACCGCTCTGAAGTACTCCGAGTGTCACAAGGACCAGAAGAAGGCTGCGGACGTTCTGAACAGTGAGGAAATAAAGAAGGGAGACGATGATGATGCTCTGGATTCAGCGCCAGAGATCTACCCAGTGGCGACTGCAAAATTCCGCAGTGCCATGTGTAACAAGTACACTCGAGCACGCAGGTCTAAAAGGATGAGAGAGGAATTCCTACTTCCGGCAGTCGAAGGAGTAACTACAAGCTAGTTGCACTTCCGTCTCAGCAGATTTGAACTAAGGATAGGCTTGTCCATTAATGATGATGAAACATGTATAAGATAGTATAGGCCCCTCCGCGGGCCAAACGAGTTTCGAAGGGTGGCGTGGCACTCATTCTAGATTCCAAAGACTTGCACAACTCCAACGTTCACTTCATCCTCCACAATTCGGAACGGAGCGCCCACAATGACGCGATCTCCGTCTCCATCAATAGCCACAGAATATCCGAAAGCGTCACCTTCGTAAGCAGAAACGGCTTCGCCACGGTTTTCCCACTGGCGGGCCTCCCGATTAAATCCAAACAAGTAAGCCTTGCCGTGAAGATATGGCTCCATGCTGTCGTCAATGAGCTCGTCCTGTTCCAGCATGTCAGGGCTTCCGGGAGCACCAATCGCCAAAAATGCACCATCGTGGTCGAGACGAACTTGAGAGCCAAAGTGTTCTCGAGGGTCTTGACCCTGGAGCGTTTGACCCATCTGCTGCCAGTGCCATTTCTTGTTAAAGTGATCCAATTCGATAAGCTCAAAGATCTTGACTGGACCGCCTCCGTAGGCCACACCTCCAGCAAGCACCATTCCATCTTCCGACAACGACACAGTTCCACCAAAGCCTTCCATGGGTCGGTCCCCGAAGATGGGTTCGCCGATACGGTACCACTCGTCATCCATGCCAATACCAAAGACTTGAACGACACCCGTGTGAGTTCCAGACATTCTCAAGTTATCACTGGTAGCAATTCCAATCGCCAGCTTCTTTCCATCTCCACTCAGAGCCAATGAGTCACCGACTTCTTCGAGGAAGATATCAGGAGTCGGTTCAAAGTAGTGATGGATCTCACGACGGTCTCCTTCCTGGACTTCAGTCTCGTCTTGAAAGACGCGAATGTATCCGCCCTTCTGATGACTGAAACCCATCACCGCCAAGGTCTTACCATCGTAGGAGAAGGCAAGATGCTTACCAAAATGACTACCGCCCTTTTCCCAGTCGATTCCTGCCAGCTTTCTGGTTGGATCTTGTCCGGCATCCACACTGCCATCCACACCGTCATCGTCGTCGTCGTCGTCTTCACCATCTCCTTCATTTTCCTTTTCTGCTGTCGCTGCCGAGGCTGACTTGGTCAGGGCTGGTGTCTCGGCAACAACTGGAGCCACCTTGGCTGGAGCCTCCGTTTTCGGAACTGGAGCATTGGCACCCGCCACGGCAGCGGGAGTCTCTGTGTTTGCTTGCTCCTGGGCTGCTTCTTGTTCCTCTTCCCAGTCACGATCCAACGACTGAACCTTGGCAATTTGCGACCATTCGAAACCTTGATGAGTCGACTCAAAGATAAAGACATAGTCTCCCTCTGTAAACGCAATACGATGACCCGATGCGGACATGGCCAAGGGTGTGTGCTGCTGTCCACTGTGAAACCGTTTGGTATCTTCTTCACCCACCTCGGCCGTGAGGATTTGTTCCAATCGCCACTTGCCCGGGTTGGGTGGATGGTTATGCTTACGACTGGATCCATCCCGCCACGAGTACACATAGACTTCTCCAGGAGTTTCGCGATGTCCACTGGTTCGAGCAATGGCAATGCGATCACCTTTTTCGTTCATGGCCACGTGATGTCCGTATCCTACCAATCGATTTTCGGCTTCATGACGCGACGGGATGGGTCCTACCAACTCTTCCCCCATAAAGTCCCAGTTGGTCTCGGGATTGGCCATGATTTCTTGTCCAAACCAATTGTAATGCTTTTGCTGTTCGTAGCGGTACGCTCCCGAAGTGGGAGAGGGTCCACCATGGACCAAAATGCCCACGACCAAACCAATGGCAAACAAGTTGAGCGCCACCAACCAGGGACGGCACAAATTGCGGCCTTCGCGAAAGTTGCTGGGGTTGGAAATGGGGAGGCCCCAGTCGTCATAGACAGTAGCTCCGTGGCGATGTCCTTGTCCAACGGGAGCCCCTATCACGCCTTCATCCACAAACGTCTCCTGGTTGTTGGTGTTGTTGCGACCATTGTTGACCGGGTTAGCATTATTAGCATTGGTATTATTAGTATTTCTTCGAGCCCGTGGCTTGGACACATTGTCATTCTTATTCTGTTGTTCCATGTCACGAAAGTTGTTGCCATTGTCATCTTGGTAATCTCCAAGGTCACTCCCAATGTCACTGGCAGTGTCACTGTCCGTACCATCGCCCTGTGACGATGTATTGCCAGTCGCATAGGCCACGGAAGAACCGGGACGCATCCAGTTGGGAAGATTGCTGGAGCGAGAAGCCACCATGGCGGTTTCCTGCGTATTCGAGACGCCCATGGGAACCATGTTGATCTCCTCGTCCCCGTCGTCTTCCATGGCAGTCATCATCTTGGAAAAGGAAGCTTACTGCGGAACAAATCAAAAAGCAATGCACCCAATCACCCTCCTCTTGTTGTTTTCTATTCAATCAAAAGAAAGAAGAAGAAACAACGACTGAGTGGAAACAACGAGCTGGCTACTAGTAGATGGCAGCAGAGCTATCGTTGTGTGTGGAGGCTGGAGTGTTTCACTTGGTGGTGACAATCAGCTCCCAGTAGAAGAAGAGGAAGAAGATGCCTCCGTTTATCCGTTCCTCGACAAACATACTTGATTGCTTGCTTACATGGTTGCATGGTGGGTGGAAGAAAGCAATTGATCGATGAACGAGAAGCTTGGATGTTGGATTTGATGCGTCTCGGTCATTTTTCTGGATTTGGATATCTTCTTCTCGGTACTGAAGCCACGTGGCGTCTACGAGAGAAAGTATCTTGGGAAACCAGTGAGTATTTTCCACGGTCTATGGTTTAGCGTCGCTTTGACAAAACAAGTTCTTGCAATGTTGGTTTCGATAGCTAGTAGACCTCTACAAATGTGTTTCGATTGCTCCTGGTTCTCTAGGCATAGCCGAAGGTATCCAAAACTGGCATTTCGAATCTTCGAATCTTTGCAATGCACATGAAGCTTCATCCACTCCCGGTACTGTAGCTATCCAGTACGATGTACTACCTAGAGCCTAGCTAGTTCAGCTCTGCTTGGGCCAGCCCTCTCTTCGCAATCGGACTCGGCACTGGCGTCAGCTATTCTTCTCAGGCGCAACGGCAATGAGCATGGTGAAGAGACAGACCAAACACAGGCTAGCTAGCCTGCGTTCGAGCTTAGAGTCCCGTTGCTTTCAATCTCGCTGTGAAGTGTCGGCCCTCGCCCTTTGTATTGTCTTTTGTTAGTTTAGCGGCACAGAACGTACGCAGCCGTGCATTCGCTCGAGGAATTTGCTTGTAGCTGCTCCACCGCCAACATGCCCAAAACATGTAGCTGCGCTGGTTCTTTCGTGCTCGGTCCCCTCAACGCTTTTCGTTACTACCGTATTAGGCCAGATCTTCCGCCAACTTATTGTTGCTTTCTTCCTTCGATTCATACGTTTTCTCCACACTGCTGCCCGGATCCGCCGCGGCTATTACATCAGCTTTCGTAGGAGCCGATTCTAGGGTCGTTGTCTCTCCCATGCTTTCGGTTTCGGCCACACCAAACACGTGCAGGCGCATGCTCCAGAGGCCAAAGATTGGCCCCGGTGCGAGCAGCAAAAAGAGGTACTGTTCCGACAGTGGCACTCCCAATAGTTGAATCGAGCCAATGGTAATGGCAAAGCCAAGGCAATTGACAATCGTCAAGGCGGTTCCCTTGTTGGCCGCCGGTGCGGTGGATGCAACCAAGGAGGAAAACTGTGGAGAATCCGCCACCACGGTCAGCCCCCACAAGAGATACGCCAACAGCATGACCAAAGGAGGTGCCAGGTACAATGCCGGAGAGAGAAGACACAGTAATCCCGACGTCAGCAAGCTCCAGAACGCCACCAAAGCACTGCCATGCTTTACCGATACGAGTCCACCCAAGACACATCCGAGTCCTCCAATGGCCAAAACACCAAACGTAATGGCACTTTCATCCCAGGAGCTGCCCTGCGAGGTGATGTATGCCTTCCACACGACGGGACACCACGTCCAAAACGCGTACAACTCCCACATGTGCCCAAAGTACCCAAAGGCCGCGCCCCGGAATTTGGCATTGTCAAACAACGTCCACACAACGGTGGGATCCATTTTCGTGCCGGGTTTTCGGTAGGGTCCTTCCGGGACGAGACACCCCACGGCCAGTCCCCCCAACGCCGCCAACCCACTAGTTTGCCACAAAAGGGCCTGCCAGGATTGCGGTAGTTGGTTGAGTAAAAAGGGCAAGGCACTTCCCACGGCCAGAGCACCCACCAGGAACCCCAAGGCTTTGCCCAACCCTCCGGGAGGGAACCAATCGGCGGCCACCTTCATGCCGACGGGGTAAATGCCCGCCAAACAAATTCCCGTGCCCAATCGGAGTAAAATCAAGCCAACAAGTGATTTCCAAAACGGAATGACGGCGTTGAGGGCGGCGCCCATCAGGGAACACCACAAGAAGACTTGGGTAGGACGAAAGCGATCGGCCAAATTGGTCAAGGCACTGATCAGTGTGCCCAGGATAAATCCCAGCTGTACCATGGACGTCAGGTAGCTTCGTGCGGCTTCGGAAATGTTGACTTTGTCTTCCCAATCTTCCACCAAATCGGGCAAGACGGCATTGCCGGCAAACCATAGCGATGTGCCAGCAAATTGACTGGCGACAATCAGAGGTAGAATACGAAATGGAGCCGGTTGTGGTTCTTCTTCTTCTTCTACTTCTGTATCAACTTTTTCACTATTTTTCAGTTCCAAATCTGCTGGTTGTTGCTCTTGTCCTTCGTTGGATCCTCCTGTTTCGTTTCGATTGTGCATTTCCACCTCTTGCCCTTCCTCCTGATCGTTGCCTTCTTCTGGTCTGTTCATTTTGGCAAGATAATAATGACAACTGCACTTTCAGCCGTCGAGCTGGGTCTCTCCTTTTATGCGATGTAGCACCAATCCAAGCGACCTGGTCTCTTCATCAGCCTCCACACTTCGCCGTTCACCGATCGTGCCTGTTCTTTGCAGAAGAGAAGCGATGCGCAAGTTGCTCAGGGAATCAATGTCATGGTCCACATTTATTTTTGCTCTCTCTCAGATCTCAGAGAAGCTGCAGGAACGTCATAGAAGCGCTTTCGATCAAGGTACCAGTACCGATACCGTACGGTAGTGTACCGGTACAGTCCTACATCAAAAGATAGGGCATCATCGTCACGGCGAGAAGCCACAGGTGGCATTGGCCAGTATTAAATACCGTATCTAGCTAGAAAGCCGACGTTGATTGCGCAGCAACAGTACTAGCTACATGTTAGTAAACCACATTTCTTTATTATTTTAATCTTAACTGCAAACCACTTGCATTTGAATGCTGTGGTGCTTTTCTTGATGATGGCAACAGTATCCTAAAATATGGATACACCATTCTCTTGTATGCAAACGAAAAAGGAGTTGAATACAGCCTGGTAGCCATCTCAGTTTGGGCGGTGCGTCAAGGTGTGACACCGAGCTCCTTCCCTACCAATCCAGCCAAACCAACCAGCAGAAAACACCCCACAATGCTTTCTTCTACTGGACACATCACTCAAGGTGACCAGTGCAGAAACCTCTCACTGCCTCTAGAAAGCTCCAGCCTCAGCAAGCTCCAAATCTCCAGCAGCCATGACATCATAGACGCAATGATCCTTTTGGTCTCCCCAGTGTTCGCAGACCTTCTCCGCAGCAGACTGGGCAATGGATTCACCAAGACGACGGCCCACCTGTTTCAAACTAGGCATATTACAAGTGACCGGGTGCTGCGGAGCCCTGTTTGTTTGGAAGAGCTTGGGCTCGCTTTCAAGCACCTGCCATTCATTTCCAAAGGCATTAGCATCTGTAAGGGCAGTTCCATTGCGGGCAAGCCACTTGCCAGTCTTATAGTCTCCCAAAAGACCCTTGCTATTTTCATACTCCAAAGGGGAGGCACCAACTGTCTTGATGCCGAGAAGGTCCTTGAAGGACTGGAGGACAATCTGTTTGCCCTTGCCAAGCTCAATCACAAACATATCCTGCTTGGAGCTCTTCTTCTCGTGCTTGATGGTGTATTTGTCAAATGTGTCCAGCTCGGCATTGGAGATTCCATTCAGCATGTAGCCACCATATTCACCAACCTCCAAAGTGTCCTCCCCAATGCGCACAGCAGCAGACTCAATGTAAGAATACTGGTTGCGTGCCTTTGTCCTGATGTGGATATCCAAGCCAGTTCCCTCATCAAACTCGGGGCTGCTGATAAAGATCAAGTCACACTCTCCATGGAAGTCATACCATTCATTCACCCATGTCTAATATGCAAACAAAGGAGACAACACTTTCTTGGTCAGTCCACAAAATTAATTCATCAACTGGGCTGATCGTAGCCTGCTGTGTCGTACCTTGAAGTGTGGGTCTCCCATACCATAAGCAGCTCGAAGCTGTGCTTCCGTATATCCCAGGGAAATGTGCAACTGGTATGTGGCACCCGTTGGAACTGGCTGGTTGCTTGGCCATCGACCCACCTTAACGAAGTATACACCAGGCGCATTGAAGGTGTAGGTCAAGTAGGAGTCATGATGGTGGTTTGAGCCAGGATCAGTTGGCCACTGATCATCATCGTGTGCAAGGTAGTTTCCATTTGAATCATACAGAGTGACATATGCATCATAGTGGTTTGGATGTGTGGTATGGTCAATGTCAAAGATGGAAGCAATCATTCCTGAATCGGGGACCACAAATGAGTAAAAGTCATTAGTACCATCCCCAGTACCATCGATGGTTACCCAAGGAAGTGTAGCAGAGTTTGCAATAATAGGATTGTACCCAAGAGTGAAGGCAGCGACTGGGATTTGCTGCAAAGTACAAAGTAGAAGATCAAGGTGAGGGGAAAGACATGTAAAATTTAAGATTGATGACAAGAGCAAGGACAAACCTGAGCAGAGTTAATGCCATTGTTGGGTTCTTGTTCTTGAATGACAGAAGCCTGAGCCACTGACACAAGAGTCAAAACTCCAGCAATGATCGAGGAAAACTTCATGGTTGCCGATGGTGAGGTGAACAAGATTGGAATTCTGAGGCTTTGTGGCTTTCTCCTGGATTGAGATTGTGAGATTGTGAGATTGTGAGATGAGAGGAGGATGAAGGATGAAGCTGAGGTGGGTGGTGGATTTGCTATCTGGCATGGCCGCTGGCAATTGATTTCCATGGGCGGCGCGAATCCCGATGATCCATCCACGTTTAGAGTGCTAGCGAGAGTACCGTACCGGTTCCTTCTACTACCATGAGTCACGAACAACTTCACTGGCTCACTACAGTCGAGTAGTGGCTGATTAATTAAGTATGGGCAGTGGAATCTGGTTTCAGTGATTTATTGACTCGGACTTGTTGCTTTCGAAGTCACGAATTCGTGAGCCTAGCTCCCGGGTCCCGTACCGTTACATATGCCTGTACACATCCACTTAGCTGACTGACCGCGACTACGGTACCGGTATCACGTCACGCCTATCATCCATTTATGCCATGGTGACTTTTATCGACTCGTGACTCCGTGACCGGTAAGTAGTTGCACACTAATAGCTATCTGGTAGCTGGGCTACCGGTACCGATATTACTAGAACACTGTACGTGATAGAACTGCATTAGAGTTAGAGCTCAAACGATTTGACCAATCCAAACCTCAATTCTTGAGAAGCCTCGACCATGATGACACCGCGACACCTCATTCGCTCCGACCTGCCATGGTGCTGCTCTGACCCGACTCCGCTCTGTTCTGAACCTCTGGACTGCCCGGGCGGCCTCTTGCTGTTGCCCACGAAGGAAGAGCGGCAAAAAATCTGATCGGCTAGACACAGCGAATACCTACCATACTTCGACGAGGATCGGTAGCGTTACATCTCCTCATTTATTTTTGCCCTCAACTACCAGCTAGCAAGCTGAGGGCCTTTTGAACTTTATCTTGTGCGTGTGTGTGTGTGTGTGTGTGTGTGTCACGTACATATGGTGCGGTTTCCCTAGTAAGATTAAGGCTATCAAAGCGAACACGTACATATGGTGCGGTTTCCCTAGTAAGATTAAAGCTATCACTGCGACTGATTAGCCTTGGCTTTAAGAAACATACAATAAAATTGAAACCTTTGCCTTTAGATAAATGCTAGTTGAGGGCACTAGCCTACGGCTGTCTGTTCTCTCACAAACACAAACTTATCTCGGAGAAACAAGATGGCTTCTGGATTCAAAACTCGCATCTCCTCCAACTGCAACGCCATGGGACGCGTCCCTGCCACATCCAAGGAATTGAACTTTGCCTTCAAGGGTAATTAATATTTCTTTGATGCCCAATTACACGTACTGCCTGCGAATCTATCGTCGTCGTTGCTGCTCACTTAGTTTTTCTTCCCGACTGCGACTGTACTGTAGTTTACTACGCCGGAGCCTGACATCCTCATGGACCCGAGGCACGAGACATGGCCGTTGACATTATCCATGAGGTCTTCCCCGGGGTACAGGTAGAGTGGGAACGGACGGCTCGTGTCAAGCAACCGACCATGACGGTCGATGAAACCACTTCGGGGGACGAAATTGCTACGTTTACCCAACGGGACATGTCCGATGACTATCGCGGTCCGGGAGTTGATCAGCTCAAGGAAGCATTGATGAAATACAAAAAGGAAAATGTCTAAGTGAGCAGTGGGACAACAAGAAAGAAAGGCATGCCGTCGGAGCTAGCTAGCTAGCTAGAGGAAGTTTGAATGCATAGTGGAAGGTTCTTGCCCTTCTGGAGAGAGATCAAGGCTGAATGACAGAGGCTGGACCGTTTCAACCATTGGAATAGTTTGATGACGGACCGGCTTCTTGAAACAAAGCTGTGGTCTCTCAAGGAGAAGGGTTGAGGCTTTCCACTGGAGCTGGCTAGCTAGCTAACTAACTTTCTATGAGGTAGGAAGAAGGATGATCCTACCGTATAACATGATATCGCCTTTTAAAATATGCTACAGGTTCTGGTAGGAGAGCCGGTAAAGTTCGTTCTTTCTGGAACCTTTGACCTCCGGGGGCATCCATGGTGCTACCTCTCAAGGAAAAGGGTTGATGTTTTCACTGGAGCTGCTATCTAACGTAATAGTTAGGAAGCAAGAGAGATGATGGTACAGCGTATTACACAAATATCGCCTTAAACATGCTAGTAATGTTAGGAGAACTGGTATAGTTCGTTCTCTATAGATCGTACCGTACTGTATGAACGCATCCATGGTTTATCCCAAGGACAGCTTTGACTGAGTGCGAGAAGCGTTAGGATACCGGCGTGTTCCTTGCGGCTTGGCGGCACCGAATCGAATCTGCCAATAACTCATACGTGCATGATTCATGCTTGGTGAAACAGATTGGGAGGACTCCAGCAGAAGCTGATTCATCGGTTCCTGATCCCTCTTGCGCATCTGCTTCCGCCTCTAGAGAGGAGAGGGTATTCTGGAATGTGTCACCGCTCCAACAATTACTTGCGGCGAACAAAAAGGCGCCCAAGCAACCTTGTTTCTCCAACATCGCAAGGGTCTAGACCTGCTAGATACCTAAGCAGCCAACGAATTCATCTCGACTCGATGCGCAGGAGGAGCAGGGCTTTGGAGAGGAGGACTGGCAATACCCTTAATGTGGTTGGCCGCGCGTCGAAGTTTCTCGATCTCTTGCTGTTTGTGCTGTCTCGTTAGTGCCACTCGCTCCCTCTTTTCCCGAATCCAGTTCACAAAGATGTGTTCCCGTTCTTGCAGATACTCGAGCCACACGGGCCAGTGTTTGCGGGGCGCATATTCCAACGGTGAATTCCCCCGCGCATCTTGCATCAAGAGTCCAATCGGCGGCAAGACTTGCAGGAGTACGTCCATGGTTTCCAGATTGGGTTGCGACGACCAGCAGACATCGTGAAAGGCGGTCCGACCAAAATCATCCATGACACGAGGATTGACTTTGGCTTCGACCAGCATGAATCGCACCATGGAAGCATGACCACGACGACAGCTCATGTGCAAGAGAGATTCCCCAAACCGATTGCAGGCACTGAGCGAGTAGCCCTTGTCGTGGTAGAGTTGTCGTAGTGTGTCCAAGTCTCCTGCACGCACGGCACGAGCCGTTTCCATGTCGTAGGCATCCACTTGTTCAAACATGTCGTTGTCATTGTCGGCAGGGAGGGACATGACGGGGCGTTTCCGTCTTCGATTCTTCAGATTGATACCATACTTTGCAAACAACTGCTCTAGGTATTCAATGGGATTGGCACTCAGTTCTTCTTCTTCTTCTTGTTCCACCAGGACTGCTTCGGAGCTTGCAGATGCTAGCTCTTTGGGGCCACAACTTGGTGAGTCGGTTCCTTTGGATGGAGCTTCCGTTGGGTACAGCTTGTCACGGACTGATGATGATGATGATGACGATGACGATGATGTGAGGTCGGTTGTAGCATCCTGGGAAAGGAGTTTCAGCGTGTTGGCTGCCGTCGTGAGAGACGCGAGAGACATGGTGATAGATAACGTAACGGACTGTTTATGAGAAAAGTTCGGCGGATAGTTGAAATGAGTAAAGAAAGGTAGTCTTCCAGGAAAGTAAGTTTGGTGAGTGGACTTTTGCACTCTTTTTAGCCAGTTCGATTGGAATAATCAACAAGTTTCAGTTTTGTGGCAGAAGGCAATTGGACAGCTGCGCTTCCCGTCTCAACTCGAGAAGCAAGGTGAATACAACAGCTATACAACGCTTCACTCAATGTGTTTAGGTCTAATTAATTCGTATGGTAGGAATGAGAAAGCCAAGGACGAGGCATCAACGCTCCAAGGACAGTCTTTGAGAAAGGAACAGCTTGTGATTGCTCCCATCAATGCATTGTCAGCACACATTAAAAAATTCTACAGCTAGTGCGTGGCGCCCGGAACAGCAAAATATGAGATGCTATGGACTATCACTGACAGTCAATGACCTAGTCTGGTTAACGTGCCATAGGCAGCAGCTGCTCTCGTTCTGTTCTTTGTGTCTATTAGCTTTCTGCACTCATAATGGCTCATTCGTGGTCAGAAGATGAGACTACATTTATGTAATGACTTCGTAGTTGCACCAGTGAGCCAGAAGCAGCTTGCAAATTGTCGTCATTGTCACCATACAAAGGGATCAGCTGCTTCGAATTGTTCTTTCCAAAGCGAAACACCATTCTTGACGGAAAAGAAGCGGACCCACCCCCGCCCCCACCTCCAGCTGCTGTCTTCGGCGTTGAAGCACGAATGGGCAAGGATCGCGGGAAGTTTTTACGCCACGCCGCACAATGAGCCTGTCTTGTGAGATGTCGTGGCGCGGGAGTTGCTTCCGGTACCGACGCTTTCGGTCGCAATCATGGCAGCAGGTTAACTCCTGCTGTTGCCAACGTAAAAGAGAACTGACGCTCTCTCTTTTGAATTGACTGCTGCAATTCCGCTACCGGTAGGTAATGACGGACGAGACAAGCTGCTACCACAGTCCTGTCTGTCCTCCATCAATCAGATCACGCCTGGTTCGACGTGGACAAGCTACCGTAACGCAGAGCCAGAAGCAACAATAAGGCTCAAAACGCAGAGCAAGCAACAATAAGGCTAGATAGAAGCGATTCATAATCTGGCAGCAGGTTATCTCCTGCTGTTTCAACCTAAAGGGAACTGACGCCCCACTTCTCGTTTGTTTTCTGGATTGGACTTCTTGCGTCACGCATAGCAGCAGCGTAGACAAGCTGCTGCAAAAGTAAGTGATGTGGCTATCCTCCATTCATGATCAGAAGCACCTCGCCTGGCCAGGGCCAAGCTACGCTGGACGCACGGGAAGAAACGATGTTGGGGAGGTGCAAACGCTGGTCAACCAGCTGTGCCTCGAGATGACAAGGCCACCAACAGTACAACGACGATCATCAGGCCTTCGACTTTTGGAAGATATCCGAGCTAGCGAGCTCGGAGCAAACTTTTGGGTGGACGAGGATGGTAACAAGCAACCACCACGTTTTAGTTTGCTTCTCGTATCATGGTTCGCAGCTTGCGCTAGCTAGCTCTAGGTATGTCATTGTTCTGTACCACAAAACGTGGTGGCGGGGTACCGTACTCTCCTGCTGCGGCTTCCTTCGGCTGCATACAGAGGACAGGCAGTCGCTGTAAGGCGTACCGGTACTAGTAGTACTATTGAATGGGATTGAATTGATATTATTATAGGCTTCCGTTGGCTACTCGAAAGCTTCACCATGGCTGAAGCGATCTCCGGGGTCAGCTGACGAGCTGCCCTGGGATCTGCAATCGTTTTTCTGGCTGAACATGTATGTAGAATCAATTGTTTTGGTGGGCGTGCGTGGTGTGGTTGGTTGCGGATCGTAGTAATCGCACATGATACAGCTTGGATCAGTCGGTGGAACTAGTAGCTAGTAGGCTCCCGCCATGTCCATGTCGTTGGTGGCCAAGACATCAAAGATGCATTGGTCGCGGTCGTAGGGGCTGACTCTGGCGCAGGCTTGCTCCGCGTCCTTCGTACTGATGCTAGATTCACCAAGACGGCGCTTTCGCTGTTCTTCTGTGGCTTTCTCGGAGGGCATGGCACATTCCATTGAAGCTGGCACATTACCAATAGAGTGGAAAAGCATGGGCTCAGACGCCAGCACCTGCCATTCTTTTCCAAAGGCATCCGTGTCAGCCATAACCGATACACCATCTCTGGCAACAAGATCGCCATTGGGGAATCGTCCCATGAGACCCATGGTTCCCTTGAAATTCTCCTTTTTGTTGGCCTTGACGCTGACGGCTACCCAGTCCTTGTAGGTTTGAAGACTAATAGCATCGCCCGCGCGGTTGAAATCGATGCGGATCCTGTGCTGCTTGGCGTCAAGCTTTCGGTAGGTAATGTGAAATCCTTCGAGCTGGGCTTCTAGCACTTCCTCAAGAGCCTTCAGGTTTGGATCCTCGATAATCGCCCTAGCACCAGCCACGCCATTGACCCAAACATTGGGCCCTCCGTCTTCGTTTGATCCACCGCTCATCTCGATCATTTGATCGCCAATCTGGACCACAGCAGTTTCAATGTAGCTCCACCAAGTCTGAATCTTCGTCCGAACGTGAACATGAAGGCCCAATCCGTTCGCGAATTCGGGATGGCTGAGAAGGACGAGATCACAGCCACCATGGAACTAAAGCAATGCTTGTTAGGAACACAAATTATCAAGTGGAATCCGTCAAAAGCAGCAGAAACCGTGCAATGCATACTCACATCAAACTTGCGACCGCCCCACCCTTGCACGTGAGGATCTCCAGACATCTTAGCGGTGGATGCGGCAATGGGAGTATCTGGGGGAGTGACGGTGGTCACTTCCACCTCGTCTGTATAGATAAGCAAGTTGTCAATAGCAGAGTAGGATGGTTGGATGGCATCGAATTTGATGCGAAGGTCGGTTCGATCGCCCTTGTTGAAAGACGCGAGTCCGCGGGTCCAAGCAAAGGTGTAGTCATTCGGGGCTGTCGTCCCAGTGATTCGTTTGGTTTCCAATACCACTTCCTGGCCACTCGCCATATCGATCAAGATCAGATCGTAAATGACAGGGACTTTCGTGTTTGGGCCCATGCCACCGGATGCAGAAATTGCGGAAATGTCGACTTGAACGTTGAAGTAGTCCTGACCAGAGGGAGCTGTAAAATCCAGCCAGAGAAAGTCACTCGTAGCCGCAGCTGGGTAATCTGCAAGCATACCAATACTGTAGTCCCCTGCCCTTCCGTCGGGGTCGGAATATGGATACTGGCTCTTGTAGGTGGAATGAACAACCAGCGTCTCCACCGAGTTCTGCTGGCCAAAATGTCCATCGCCGTGGGTGGTCTTGACATGGTTGGGGCCACCTTGGGCACCATAGTTGGTGCTTTTGTGTAAAGAGAGAAGGAGGAGATGTCAGCAAAACAGGGGGCAATCTGCTGCAACGTGGTCAAGGAACAAGGAACAGGAATGCAAAACTCACTTGACATCGTTGCCTGGGGTTGCGAGCAACTGGTTCGCAGGATCAGGTGAAAGGCTCGCTTTGGGAGCCTCAAAGTCGTTCTGGTAGAGTATGACTTGTTTTGCTTGGACAGCAGTTGCCGCAAATGATGCAAGCATGAAAGCCGAGGCGGAAAAAGAAAGCTTCACCATGGTTCCTGAATTGAGGGTCTATAAAAGTTCCAAAGGAGAAAGGTAGTGTTTTTGTTTTCGACCTTGTCGAATTGTGAGACCAGGAAAAGCCACTCACTGAGCATCTCTCTCCGCAATCAAATGACCCTTGCAATCAAAGATATTGGATAACCGGTTTAGTATGATCTCTACCAAGTCTACGCTGGTTTGAGATCTTTCGATTTGCCATGCGAAAGCATAGTAGCTAGTAGCTGCTTGGCTGGTAAGAGTGTCATCAGGCTATCCGACTGAGGTTTCTAGCATATTTGAGTGAGAGTGTCATCAGGCTATCCGACTTAGTTAGCATCTCTACCAAGTCTACGCTGATTTGAGATCTTTCTAGATAGAGGATTTGCTCTGCCACTCCATCCCGCTATCCGATCATATTATTGGAGTCTTTGATCAACACTGCGGTAGCTTGGGCTATCCGACCAAATTCTGATCACATTCCTCCACGATAAAATCCACGATGTCACTTGGAACCACGGTGACTGACCGTCCTTCGTTCAACGAGGGCTTGGGTTAAACTATGACGTCATCTCATTCAAGCAAAAATATTTCGACGAAGCTCCAAACCACGTCTTCTCTGCTTTTCCATTTTTGTGGCCGGCAACAGAGCACAAGCATCCTTTGTTTGTGTGGTGGCTGTAAAGTGAATAGATATTCCAGGCAAAACTCTATCGACCTCCCAACAAAGATAGCAAGATGGCGGAAACACAAGACGCAGCCAAAAGCGAGGGAGAAACGGCCGCGCCTCCTAGTACCAACGCTACTGCCAATCCCGAGACCGCATCAACCCAAGAAGATGCCGACAACGACAAGACGGCGGATGTGGATCCTGCCGATGACACCAAGAACAATGACACGGAAGAACATGTGGATGACGACGACGACGACACTAGCTCTACTGGATCCGAAGACTCTGACCTTGCGACTCCTCCTTCGGAAGATCCGTACTTGGTGCTGGTCAAAGCTACCAATCACAAAGAGGAGGGCAATGCTCACTTCAAAGCCAATGCACTGGACAAGGCAGTCAGGGAATACCGAAAAGGGACCAATCTGCTCAAACCGTTCAACAAGAGCAACACGGGAGATGAACAAGTGAAAGCGCTGCTGGTGACACTGCAGAACAACTTGTCCATGGTCTTTTTCAAGCAAAACAAGACAAAGGTCAGTCGCGACATTGCGACCAAGTCGCTCAAGATTGATCCCAAAAATGTCAAGGCTCTCTATCGAAGAGCTTGTGCGCATAAAAAGATGGGAGACTTGGAACTAGCCAGAGATGACCTCAAAGAAGCACTCAAGCATGATGCCAGCAACGCTGCCGTCAAGAAGGAACTCGCGTTGGTCAAAAAGACACTGGTCGATTACAAGACCAAACAAAAGAAAGCACTGGCATCGGCATTTTCGTCTTCTGGAAAGGGCTCTTCTCTCTACGAAGACAAGGAAAAGGAGAAACAGAAAAAGGTAGAGGCAGAAAAGAAAAAGAAAGAACAGGAAGCGAAAGAATTGGAACAACGCAAACAGCAATGGGAAGATGAATGCGTCAAGCGCATGGCCAAAGGCGACGAAGCCATCTCCTTTGACGATTGGGAAAAGGAGCGGAAAGCAGAAGAAGACGAGCGAAAAAAACAAGAAGAAAAACGACAAAAGGAGGAACGAAAGGCACAACAAGCTGCTAAAAAAGCGGCAGCGGCCGCCAAAAAGGCCGAACAAAGCGACTCGAGTGACGACGAGCTCACAGCCACCGAATTGGCGTCCTTGCGAGGATACAAGAAAACTGCAGATGGTCGAGTCACCAGCTACTTTACCCGAGAGCAATCGGAGCACGAAAAGAAAATCATTGGCAATATCGCTCCGCAGCGACTGGAGCAATCATCGACCCCTACACTCTTGAACGCTGCTGCCAGTGGCGACAGTGCCGATAGTAAAAAGAAACGACCCTCGGCATGGAATCAAGCCGGAACATGGGAGGAGAAGGATACCACCAAGTGGTGTACTGACAAGTTGCGGGACCGATTGCTTCAAGCGAAATGCCAAAAGCAACCATACACGGCAACAATCTCCAAGGTGGATAGTTTGACAGGCGATGCCAGTGTAGCCATTACCAATGGAAAGAAACGATACATTTTTGATTATCACGTCAAGCTCAAATTGGAAATTCGAAACGACGATGATGACGAGGCCGTTGCGGAGGGTACACTGCACATCCCGGACATTTGCAGCACTTCACACGATGAACTCGAAGTGAACTTTGCTGGTTGGAAAAAGGCTCCGGGCAGTGCTCACCGGGATGGAGCGGTGCAATGTCAACAAGGTTTGATAACTGAAATCCGAGGCAAAGTACAGCAATGGGTGGAAGACTTCAATCAGCACTACTAGCATTTTGATAAACTTTTGGTGAGTTTGCTTGACCTGCCTGGCAAGCAAGCATGAAACCGGTCTCGAATGCGGGGAAGCAACGGCGTGGTCCGTGATGATGATAGAAGCTGCGATGGAGGAGGTGAAAAATGCAAATATTCTAGACGGATAAAAACTAGACCAGGTAGATCGAAGAGCCGCAAGACCCTGACACGGGAGTCGACCTTTGAAGATCTCAAATCCTGGTGCACAATGGATCCAGGGTGCCTGCTAAGGATTAGATCCACATTAGTCTACACGATACCCCCGGCCCGATTGCATTTCGAGCTCAGTCGGCAAGCGATCTTCAAGCTGTCATCGATAACCGTGAACCATTGTTCCCATTTGTGCTAGCCCTCAAACGTCTAGTAGGAGTTAAATCCAAGACTCTGGCGTGCAATTCGAATAGTTGAGACAGCGCTGACTGGTGGGCAGGACAGCTCAGGCTCTTTGGCATTGTATGTTCGGATCGGTAGCACACCGGGATGGCAGGCTTGTCTTTGATCATATGATATGCGTACTAGTTCATGTACTCGAGAACAGACGGCTGTAGCGGAGTCTAACATTATGGTATACATACTGGCGTAGCTAAATGATATCTTCGGTGCCATGGCCCGTGGTGGAGGATCCACCACACCCTGTGCTTGGTTCAACCGGATCTCATCGATGGTTCGGATATCCTCTGGTACATCCTTTCCACCAATTTCATACCTACCATATTTGCTCCCCTCTCACTTTTAAGCCTTCAGCTGAATATCTCGCTCAGAGAGTAGCCCACCGGCAAGAGGGTATTGGTAGTACAGGTACTAGTATGGTCATGGTAGTGCATTTATTTTAGCTGCGGGGAAGCTACACAAGACCCTTACGTTTCCAGCAGCTTCACGGTCTTCTTTATCCACGGTCTTCGGGAGCTTTTCGACTTTCGACCGTCACAGAGTTCGAGTTTGTGTGAAAGGGTTCGAGTTTGTTTTGCGGCTTCGAATTGTGGCGATACTGTAGAATGACTCGATCGATTTCGTCTTGACCTCAATAGTAAGACTATACCTAGTTCTTTACCGTCAGGAGGTGGTGTTGCGGATGAGGAAGGGACAGTTCACCCCGCATCGCTATGGTCCATGAGGGCCCTTTCTTCAGAGCATTGTTTTCTCCCGGTAGTTCTCCAATCTTTAGAAACTATACTATACAGAGGGGACCCAATTTCCAGGTGACGGCTTGGCATGTGAACCATTTTGCCGGCCGACTTTGCTGGAGTCTGTGGCTATGCTTGCTTTTCTTTTGCTGATCTGAAGATGCAACTTCAGAATTAGATTGGGTTATCTAGATGTTCTTTGCTCTGCAATACTTCACCCTCTCCAGCCAAGCAAACTCTATTGTTTGATTTCTTTGCGGGCGGATCGAAACAAAGTCCGCCTTGTTCTTCACCAGCCATAGACTGGTGGGCAGGCAATCTCCAATCCATTCCAAAACGCACCATTTTGGCCCATCCCCTCTAGACGCTTCGTCATGTTCACCCACTTTCAGAGCATTATTATTCGCTAGAGACAACCAAGTCGAGACATGTACTAGTACATGAACGCACTCTCTACATGGAGGAGTTCATGCTTTTATTAAAATCAGTATATGCATAGTATCTTGTTACTAAGGCATTCATGTGCAATGCGTCTGTCTTAGCGGTACAAAAGATAGATGATCGCAGAATCGGATGCTCTACATAACTCGAAAAGTTCTCATTGCCACTTTAAAAAAAACAAGACCGGCGGTTAGCTCGGGTGATTCAATTTGCCAGAGAGCTCTCTGACTGGCTGGAACGAGTGAGTACTCCAGGCCAGCCAGTCCTCTATTTTGTTCCCGGTGGTGTGTTGCCTCATCCATTGTTGCTTGCTTGCTTGTTTGGTTGTTTGTTGGTCGCTCACTTCCAAAGCTAGCAACAGACACAACAGCAACAACCACTCACTACGAGACTACCATACTCTTGGTGTTGTGGTATTTGTTAGTTGGAGCTGACAACAAGTGTTGTTTTGGACAGCCGAGCACCTCTGGGATTTTCCACAAGAGGGGGCGTTGGACTGTGTTTTTATCACCAGGTGCCACGCAGTCTATTTCCGGAAGTGTCTGTGACTGGTGGTGGTTAGCCAACTCAGTTAGTTAGTCTAGTCGAGTTGGTGGGTTTGCCTAGCTAGCATCGACCTCTACTTGTGTGGAGCAACGACAACACTTCCACTTTCTCTTGTTGCCATGGCGGCGTTTGTAACTTCTCGAAGTAGTAGTGAAATTGTATCCTCCATCAACAACAACAACAAAAACAACAAGAATGGCTCCAGTGCCTTTTCGGTGCCTCGTCGACGACCTTCGTATGAACGCGACAATAACGAGTCCATGTTGAGTGGTTCGTCCCATCGTCGCTCCAGTTCGTTGGAACGTCACGACGACGATCGAAGCAGCAGCAAGAAACTGTTTCGCAAGCGACCTCGCAGTCAAGATGCCACTAGTAGGGAAAGAGAGCGAAGAGGGGGCAGCAGAAACAACAACAGTACCAGTACTAGCTCGAAAGGGAGAGACGGGGAGCACGCATCATCATCATCCACTATTTCAAAAACCCCAAAAAATCAAACGTCCAATGGCACTACTACTTCCTCCTCCACCGGCAACAACAACAACAACAGCACATTGAAGAGGTCATCGGTGAGCAGCAGCAGCGGCGTCAAGTCGGAACGCCGAAGCAGTATGAGCAGCGTCAAGAGCACCACAAGTTCCAATAGCAGCCAATCGACAGGCTTGCGTCGTCTCAAAAAGTTTTCTTCTTCCGGCAGTAGTAGTAGTAAGAAGAAGATCAAGACCTCGCCTCCTTCCTCACCAGTCAAGAAGAAGAAGGCCGTAGTTGTGGACGAGGCTCCACTGTCACCCAGCGATGCCATCTTTCAGGAAACACAACTCCGACTGTGGGAAGCAGCACAAGAGAGGCATCGCAAGATGAAGGAGGCGCAAGAGCAAAAGAGGTTTCGAAAGTTGAAAAAGAAGAAACAAAAGAAAGAGCAACTTGGCGACGAGGAGGAGGACACCGTTCCACCACCAACAAAGAAGAGCAACGACAATGGGCGCGATAGTAGTAGTAGTACTGTCAAGAAGAAGAAGACGCACGATGGGGAACGACAACAGCAGCAGATCAAGAGCGTAGACAAGAAATCCAAAAAGGAAACCGAACCGGATGATAGTACACGCGCCGACGATGAGATTGAAGCGCTCAGGGAAAGGAAGCGACTCAAGAAGTTAAAGAAGCAACAACGTCTCGCAGCAGCTGAAGCGGAACGAGCCACAAATGAATCATCAAAGGTTAGTGATGAAGTTCGTTCGTCCGCAAAGGTTGCACGGGAAGCGACAAAAGTCCGCGACGAGACTGGTCCGACAACAACAACAACAAAGACATCATCGAAAGAGTTAGCAACACTAGACAGTGAGGAACTTCGCAAGAAGAAAAAGAAGCGCAGGCTAGCCAAGATGGGGATTGTCAATGGCGACGAAGAAGACGAGGAGGCCCCACCACGCAAGAAGAAGAAAAAGAAGAGAATTGCGGTGGTCGAGAGTGATGACGACGATGACGAGAACAAAATGGATGTTTCGGCCAGCAACAATGACAAGAAGGACGTCAGCACTACTACCGATCGCAAACCCACTAGCAGCAACAAAGCCGCCTCGTCACCGTCCACTCCGGAACGCAAACCCAACAAGACCAAAGATTTGGATTCTCTCCTTTCCACTCCATTGTCGTTTGGTCTCGCGGACACCGTCAAGACGCGGGTTCGATTATGCACAAAGGTCAAGGATGAACTCGAGCTGTTGCAAGCCGCGTCCTTTGAGTCAAAGAAGAGGCGCAAAAAGTTGAAGCAACAACGACAACAACAGGTCGATTATGATTACGATGACAACGACGAGGATTTTGTTGAAGAAAAGCCAGTCTTGAAGAAGAAGAAAAAGAAGAAGGCCAAGCAACCCTTGTTTGCAGATTCCAAGTTGTATGCGCCGCTCTCTGTCAACAATGCCACGTCCAACGATCAAGCGGCAGATGAAGACATGTACGACGCTGACGCGGAAGAACCACCAAGTTGGGATGTGCGTCAGGTGTTTAGGTCGGACAAAGTCGCAACCGCCAAGGCGCCCTCGGAGGCGTCGTCCAATTCGGATACGGTCATCACGGGAAAACTCAAGAAGAAAAAGAAACTCAAAACGTTTAGGTCACAGCATGACAGCGGCTCTACGCAACCCACCCATCATAGCAGTCATCCTCTGCCTTTTAAGAAGCGCATGGCGGCGGCCGCCGCTGCAGATTCTTCCGTTTGGGACAGACACACTACAACATCGACAACGGCTTCGAAAGTCAGCGTTAGCAGTGCGGGGACGGGCGCTGCTCCTGAGCTTGGTACCGAAGCCAGCAGTATCAGTGAGTTTACTCATCCTTTGGGAGCGGCAGTTCTCCCACCACTTTCCGCCAGCAACAACGGCGATCTATGCCAAAAGCCTTCTCAAGTACCTCGGGAAATTGTGTCGAAGACTGCCGTCCACCCGCAAAAGCCGGAAACATTCGACTTTGGTGTTGACTCGCACAACGCTGTCATTGGGCCGACATTCTCCAGTGATGATTCGGATAGTGACAGTTCTTCTTCTAGCTCGGACACGGACGAAGAGGAGTTGTTCAACTGGGCAAATGCCATGTTTGGCACCGCGGCCAAACCGCCGCCGAAGGAAGAACAAACACGCCCGTGTCCACCTGTAGAGCAAATGAACTTGCCACCTGAGATGTGCGAAATGGAGCGCCGACGACAAAAGCAAGAGGAAGCACGAACCCTGAGCATCAAAGAAGTTAATGCGATTATGAATGAGGAGCTCAACAACCCCGAACCAGCGGCGCATCATTGGGTCCGTCGATCGGTTCGTCAGCCGTCACGTGGGGTGCTGAATTCTCCGTTGGTGCGTCGGCTCTTGGATAAACTTCGCGGAAACGACAAAGAGATGGTTGTGTTGAAGATGAAGAAATACCTTAGCGACCCCGATACGCCGTCAATGCTAATCGACGCGGCGCTGGATGCTTTGGAAGAGAACACCAACTGCGAGGCTTTGTACATCCAGGTAAGGCTGTCAGGGGTTTGCTTGGTTTGTTGGTTTGCTTCTACGGCAATGGCTCACACGTTTCCTTCCCCGTGTTAAAGAATTTTAACATTGGTATGAAAGACAAGCAGATGCTCCATCTTCTGCGTATCCTGCAGATGCCTGCGTGCAACATTTGGTGTCTTAACATTGGGGAGACTTACAACGTGACGGAGGAAACCTGGGAGATCTTTGCCGATGGTCTGAAGAAAACAAAGGTCACGCACATGTACGCCAGTGAACACACCATTACCGCCGAGCTCAAGGACGAGATCCGTGAAACTATCCGCCAAAATCGAACGAAGCACAAAATGCACAATGATCCAAACAACCTGGACGTTATCATCCAGTGCACACACAACTGGTGGAATCCGATCAACGCTCGTGTGCTTCGTCCATACCTTCAAAAGCGTGGTTACGAATCCTTGTTGCATGACAGGGAAGCCCAAGGTCTTCGGGGGTCTGTGTCAGAGGCGCCGGCGGCATAATGGTGGACGCTTCCCTGCCTATGTTGTTCTTCTCCGTTGGTATCTGTATCGTTTGGCTTCATTTGGTTATTACTTTTGACTAATAGTTATGTGATTTTAGTTTTGGGATTACTTGCGCTGCTGGCCTCGTTGCCAAAACACCTCCATTTAGAGCGCTTTTCGTTCATTGTTCTTGTTTCTCGGCGCTACATCTTCATGGATGCGCAATAGAGCCATGGGACGTGCGCGAAGTGCTTGGGCGACGTCTTGTAGTCCTGGGGAACTCTGATGCGGACAAGGAACGCGTACTTCGCTTCATTGGATGGATGCATCTTGAAGCCGCCATTGCTACCCTTCTTGAACGTGACGGTTGCGAGATTCTGAAGACTGGTGGAAGCAGAAACAACAAATTGTCAGGGGCATGGACCGTAACGGGCTAGCTAGACACGCAAATTCATTCACTTACCTCTCCGTCTCATCGCAGGAACAGCCGAGTTCGTCGCAGTTTGGACACCATGTTGCGTAGTGCTCGAACCGCGCCTTGTGTTCTTGCAGCAATACGATTTCATGCCCGAAGCTGCAACTAAACTCGTCCGATGTCAGCAGCAAAATGGAGTTCAGCAGTTTCTGCCAATCAATTGGCGACAAACTGGACCATCCGGAACCCCCCGGTTGTTTGCCTCCAGACCTCACAAACTTGCGGTACAGATCCTTCCAGGCTTCAAAGCTCCATTCGGCTGCGCGATTGTTGACGACGACCAGCATCTGCTTGACCAGAGTGGCAAGCTCCTTCTTGGTCTTTTCGATCTCACCTTTCCAAATATCGCCAGAAGAACCGCAGAATCGCTGGAACTCGATTAGCTTCTGAGCCGCAAATGCAAGCTTCTCCAGCATGCAATCCTTTTTAAAGGCATCGATTGCGTTCATTTTCCAAGAGTTGATCGAAGCCCACAGCTTTTCCTTCAGATGATCCTTCGGCTGATTCAGGAGAACAAGCTTGTCATCAATGCTTCGAACTGTGTGTTCGAGATTGCCAGAAGCAAAGTCGGCCTCCGACAGCTCGGCTTTCAGCTTTCTCTGAATGAGTCCCAGCTGGGCACGGTCTCCTCCAATGCCTTTCTCCAAAGCGAGCAGAAGCTTTTCAAAGCCAGACAAACGTAAATAGTCCGAGCTGCGGCTTTCGTCCTTCACGATCTTGCAAAGCTCCGCTGCCTTTGTCTCTTGGGACATGTCTCGCCAGCCTAGTCCAAAGTGCCTTGCTCCAATATCGTAGAAGCGCTCTGGCCTCATCGTTGAGTTGAAGTCTGCTTCCGTCATGGCTGACCCAGCCCGGAACAAGAACGCCGTCTTGGCCGACGTGGGAACAAAGACCGGATAAACATCGTGGTGCTGTGAACAAGAATCATCCAAATAGGTTTCCAGTGCTTGGACGCGGCAGCCGACACCAAAGATATTTTCAACAGTCTTGCGTGTTTTCTCCAGCTTTTGCTCGTCCTCGGTGCCAGCCAAACCGTCTGGGTTGTCAACCTTTGAAGAAGATATCAATCAATGAGGCCAACACTCTTGACTGGGAAAGTACGAACAATCACGACTCTTACCTTGTTGCAAGCGAAATAGCATGGAATCTTCTTCACCGTTTTCAAAAGGTTGTGGACAAACCTGATGCTCTCCTCCTGCTGGGCAACGTCGGCTGAATGCTTAGCATCGATGATCACCAGAACAGCATCCAGCGAGTTCCAGTTTTGCTCAAAGTACGCCCGGACCGGTGCATTGTCGGCGTTCTTGACGTTGAGACCAGGCGATTCAATAATATGCAACTGAGCATCAGATCGCATCGTGATTGGCAACTTCGCGACAGGGACGGTGTACTCGTACTCCTTGGTTAGGTCAGACGACTTGCCTTTCTTCATCTCATCGTTGAGATCTTTGATTGTCTTGAATGTGGACCGAATGCGTTTGGCATGAAGTGACTGCGGCTCTTCTTTGTGTGGGGATCGGGGCCGCTTGTGCGTGGTTTCCTCATCGACACCATCGGTGCCCATGCCCTCTTCCTGCACAAAGTCTGTGACACGCTGAACCAGGCGAAAGACGTTGATGCACTCTGTTGTCCGCCCAAAGTCCGCCTCAGTTACTGGCGCGCCGCAGATTGCATTCACTACAGTACTCTTGCCTGTGTCTTCGCAGCCAAGGACAGCAATGTTGATGGCAAACTTGTCCTTCATGGCGTTGGCGATCTAGATTTTTTTGGGAAGGAAGACTCTAGCTAGGATGAAAGAGCTAGCATTGTGCGAGAGGGACACAGAGGATGGGTTGCTTGGATTCTACTTCTTCGAGGTTTTGCGGAGAAGAAGGGTATCCACGAACGCCCCCACCGATGTGGAGAGCGCGTGCCAAGGGGCGGGTTGGGTCCAGTAGCAGTATTGCATCCAACCTGCTGGGAAAGTTTCGTTTTCCTCAACCTGGAGTGGTTGTAGAGCAACAGTCCATACAGTACTGGTGAGGGCCGGAGCTTGGATCGGAAGAAAAGTGCTCTGTGTGGCATTGGCTATCCAGCTAGCTAGCAAGTGCACAGAATTATCTGTAAACCATTCATTTTTATCACATTTTAATCTTTTAAACTGTAAACCACTTGCATTTGAATGATCTGGTGCTTTTCTTGATGATGGCAACAGTATCCAAATAGATGGATACACCATTTGCTTGTATGCAAACGAACAAGAAAGAGTCTGACACAGCCTGGTAGCCAACTCAGTCAGGGTGGTGCGTCAAGGTGTGACACCGAGCTCCTTCCCTACCGATCCAGCAAAACCAAGCTGCAGCAAACACCTGGCAATCCTTTCTTCCGCTGGACACATCATTCAAGGCGACCAGCGCAGAGATCTCTGCCTAACTTCACTAATGATCACTGCCTAGAAAGCTCCAGCCTCAGCAAGCTCCAAATCACCAGCAGCCATGACATCATAGACGCAATGATCCTTTTGGTCTCCCCAGTGTTCACAGACCTTCTCGGCAGCAGTCTGGGCAATCGATTCACCAAGACGACGGCCCACCTGTTTCAAGCTAGGCATATTGCAAGTGACCGGGTGCTGTGGAATCCTGTTTATCTGGAAGAGCTTGGGCTCGCTTTCCAGAACCTGCCATTCATTTCCAAAGGCATTAGCATCTGTCAGAGCAGTTCCATTGCGGGCAAGCCACTTGCCAGTCTTGTAGTCTCCCAAAAGACCCTTGCTATTTTCATACTCCAAAGGGGTGGCACCAACCGTCTTGATGCTGAGAAGGTCCTTGAAGGATTGGATGACAATCTGCTTGCCTCTGCCAAGCTCAATCACAAACATATCCTGCTTGGAGCTCTTCTTCTCGTGCTTGATGGAGTATTTGTCAAACTTGTCCAGCTCCGCATTGGAGATTCCATTCACCATGTAAGCACCATATTCACCAACCTCCAAAGTGTCCTCCCCAATGCGGACAGCAGCAGACTCAATGAAAGAATACTGGTTGCGTGCCTTTGTCCTAATGTGGATGTCCAAGCCAGTTCCCTCATCAAACTCGGGGCTGCTGATAAACACCAAGTCACACTCTCCATGGAAGTCATACCACTCATTCACCCATGTCTAAATACAAATGGAGGAGAGAACACTTGCTTGGTCAGTCCACTCAAAGAACGGTTCATCAACTGGCCTGATCATGGCTTGCTGAGTCATACCTTGAAGTGTGGGTCTCCCATGCCATAAGCAGCTCGAAGCTGTGCTTCCGTATAACCCAGGGAAATGTGCAACTTGTATGTGGCACCACTTGGGACATAATTTGACCGGGTATGGAAGGGAGGACCACAACATCTACTCACAGCAATGGTGTATGTGCCAGGAGCAGTGAAGGTGTAGGTCAAGTAGGAGTCATGGGCCGTATTTGAGCCAGGATCACCTGGACTGCCATTATTATTGATTCGAATGATTCTGCCATTTGAGTTATACAGAGTGAGCCATGAATCAAAATTGTTTGTATTGTCCACATCAAAAACAGAAGCAATCATTCCTGCAGTGGGGACCACAAATGAGTAATAGTCATGAGTATCATCTCCAGTACCCTCGATGGTTACCCACGGAAGTGTAGCAGAGTTTGCAATAATAGGATTGAACCCAAGAGTGAAGGCACCGACAGGGATTATCTGCAAAGTGCAAAGTAGAAGGTCAATGTGAGAAGAAGGACATGTGATTTAGATAGAGGACAAGAGTGAGGACCAACCTGCGCAGTGTTGATGTCGTTGTTGGGTTCTTGTTCTTGAATGACGGAAGCCTGAGCCACTGATACGAGCGTAGCAAATCCAGCAATGATTGAGGAAAACTTCATGGTTGCAAATGATGGTAAGATGGATAAGATTTGGAATGGAGTGTATGATTGCCTTTCTGAAGGCTACAGTATCTTCTGGTTTGAGATTGTGAGCAGAATGAAGCTGAGGTTGAGTGTGGCTGTCGGGCAGGTACCGGTGGCAATCGCACCACCGGAAATCCGATAATCCGGTGGCACGCACGCGTACCCAACCAGTGAGCCATGAATCGAATCACGTCCGTTCACTATGATGTCCGGAAACGCCATTTTTAGTTTTTTGTTTCATTAAAAAGGTTAAAAGAGAAGGTGAAGCTAACTTGTGCTGCAATTTCAAACCAAATGTCAAATTGTTTAAAACTATGTCGGCAACTCGGAAAAATGTTGTTAGTTTCTGGACGTCAGCCAAGTAAATTGAAGAGGGCGGGTTGGGAGCAGCTTGCATTGCGATTTTAAAAAACTGGTAGCTAGCTTGCAGTAGAAGAAGGCAAAGACCTAGTAGGAAGACCATTGACATTATGCATAGATGGAGTAAACTAAATATTATTTTGCAATACTCTTTGCTATTAGCAATGCATTATTACCCCATCTACATTATGTTTTAAAATGGCATTCCAACTTGGCGACACTCAATCAGTGTGGTCGTGCCAGCTTGCCAGGGCAATTGTAAAAAACGGTCGTTCGTGATTCGAAGTCACGATCTCCATAAATAGTTCAAGACAGACAAGACTGCTTGACTATCTTTCTTACACTTACTTAGGAAACTATACAAATTGTTCAAAGTTGTTACGAATCCAATGCGAGACTCATATTTTGAGGTCGGCTCGATCGCACGCTCGAAGATCGTGAGTGAAGTCCAAACATGATCGATCTTCATTCATCATTCTCTCTGGCTTGCTAGCTACATGTAGACTATCTAGCTAGACTATGCTAGCTAGCTACCGTATTAATAGTATGACATACTGGACCTCTGTGGAAACGTCATTCGTGGCAAAATAATTATGAGACGATACACCGAGGCATAGGAGACGATTGAAAGGATTTAAGAGACGAAAGCAATCGTCTCCTATATTTAGGAGACGATTCAGTAGGAGACATTCCAATTAGGAGACGATCGTTTCGAAATAGGAGACGATCCGAAAGATTCAGGAGACGATACCATACAGTTTACATGGTACACTTAAGAGACGATCCGTTGAGAATAGGAGACGATCCGTTGAAAATAGGAGACGATTCAAGAGGAGACAAAAGATTTATGAGAAGATCCGTTTCGTCTTCTATTTTTAGGAGACGAAATCCATTAAATAGGAGACGATCAAAAGGATTAAGGAGATGATCGGTTGCACGACTCGAGTTTCCACAGACGTCCTGGTACGAGTACTACTGGCTCGTAGTCTACCTACAGTAAACGGAAACCAAAGCACACCGGAACAGCCATGCTTCGTGCCTCGTGCCTTCCGATACAGTCAACACTCACTAAAAGTTCCACCCCCCAGCATTAAGAAAAAAACGGAACTTAGCTGAATTACGGAACTTTAGATCTTTGGAGCCCCATATCGGCCCGTTCGTGGTCTAAGCACCCACTTGGGGTGGTTCCTGTCATATTCTATTGTTATTGGGGGTAAAAGGAACCAATATTTCATAGGGTGGAACCACATCGCTTCTACATATAGTGTCTCTATTGTCAACTAGTTGTGTTACTACTAGCATTTGCTAGTAAAACGTGCTCTTTGGGCTTTGTCGAGTACCTGAGGATGTCTGGCATGAAAGAGAAAGTTGAACTAACTTTTCATATGTATATTTAAAGAAAAATGTGACTGTTTCTAACTGCCAGCCCAGCCTCAAACAGCCACAAAACCCATTCACCAGTCAGTCATGTTCAGTCATGAGAATTTAGTGACTGTGGGGGGGCAGCCCTGAAAAAGTGGAACTTTGTAGAATAACGGAACTTAAAAAAAACGGAACTTAAGTGAGTGTTGACTGTAAAGCCTCCACCACCCCCCCACAGAAACCTCTGAAGAGGTGCCGGTAGTCTACTACTTGGTTAGTGGTAGGGATACCGTGATACCATATGGTATCACTACCCCTAAAGAAAACAAAATCGTAACTTTTGCTGGAAGTGTCCGATTGACCTGAAAATTTCACCATTAAAAAGAGCAAAGAATGTACATAATCACAGAATATTTAAGTGCTATGATCGCTAGTTTCTACGAATAGTTACAAGAGCTTCCAGTAGATACAACATCGCAATACTATACGCGATAATAACACGGTATTCTCTAACTATTATTTTGAGCGAGGAACGTAGAACAACAAGCAGAAACCAACCAACAGCAAGATGACGAAACAGCGGCAACGGGCACTCATCGGCACTGCCTAACGCTCTGCATTGCTGCGACCACTGCGGCGAGGGTGCTGGTTGATGATGAACTTCTTGGGGAAGATCTTCTTGTCAGTGTGGAACTCATTGCAAGCCAAAACGCTGTCTCCTCGCGCACACCAATGAGTTTCCATGCAAGTGTGAGACCTCCCATTTGGACCAAACTTCTTATCCTGAGTGCGATCGACGTTGCAGAGAGGAGCATGACAGTTCTTGCAGCGCCAGGAGGTCTGGTACTGAATCGGCTTGCCCTTGCGATCAGCGAAACCACGACAAATCCAGCAGTTCAAGGTGACAGAGTTGCCGGTCCTTCTGCCATTCTTTGACTGTGTCTTGGACAAATTCCTTGTGGTGGTCCCGTCCTTGTTGGTGATCCGCTCGATATCTGTCTGCACAAGGGATGGGTCTTGGAAATGTCTGCGGGGTTTCCCCCAAGGACGCAAGCTTGCACAAATGCGATCGGCGAAATTGTGGATTCTCACTTGGTCCACACTCGAACGACTCTCGCCATGGACTTCAATCTGCTGATAGCGCCAGTGGCGTTGCATGTCAACAATCGACTGGCCAAGGAGAGTAGTCAACAACCTTGTCCAACAGTCCTTGGTGAGCCAACATTTTTCCAAAGCCAAGAGATTCTGTCGCTGTTTGTTGTGTTCATCAATGAGAGGAAGATACTCATATATGAAGTGGCATAACCTTGGGCGATTGAGCATCTTGCTGCAGGTATTTCCCCAGGCATCTTCAAACTTGGACTCGTACTTGATTTCGGATGGTTCAGTAGATCCGCATGTAGAAATAAAGTAGGATACCCCTTTCTGCGACCATGCATAAGCCATAGCAATCAACTTGACCCCAGCGATTTCTGTTGTCATAGTGACCCAGTGCCCAGCCGGTCTGTCACCGTGTCTTGCAGTGAGCACAGCCATAAGTGCCTCGATAGGGAAGAAGTGCTTGTTGTTCTTCATGATGAAAGTGGAATGGACACCAAGACGTTTCTTCAGTTCCACACAAGTGGCAACTGAACCAAACCAAGCGTCACCGCCACACCAGCCTCCTCTTTCAACCTTGGCATCACGAACTTGACGCAGGACTTCAGCGGCATGACCGGGCATCACTGGCGATCCAGGAAGAGATGTCGTCTCTCGAACTTGTTCCTGGACGTCTGAGTAGACATAGTCCTTAAAGTTCTGTTTCTCTGGTTGCATCACAAGATCTTGGTTGACAAGGCAACCGGTGATGCACTCCACTCCATTCCTCAACATCGTGCCAAGTGGAACAGGTTTCCTTGGCTCATATGTAATGTTTGGAAGCCCACCAGTCTTCGAGTTCTTGGGACACCATCCACTCATCGATTCGTCCAGCATGAAGAGGACTGTCTGGAACAGCTCTTGCCTCCTCTTGTTGTAGCTGTCCACAGCCGGTACGAACATTTCCCAGGGCATATCTCTTCGATCGGTGAACCAGAGTTCTTCAGGACCAAACATCAATGGGGCGCAACAAATGAATGCCTTGAACATGTTCATGGGCAAGTATTGACCGAAGTCAGCATGATCGCGACGCCCACTGCCTTTTCCCCTCTTCCAAAGGTTCTCAACACCGGTCTCTGCTTCGGATGCAGCAGCGATCATCAATAAGTAACACTGCTTCACATAGATGTCTGGATCGCCACCACCATCATTATGGAAGATAATGCGTTCCTTCTTGACTGTCTGATAGTACGGGCTATTCTTGTTTCGGTGATACTTGTCAATCTTCTCTGCATGGCCTTTAATGCAAGGGAAGAAGTGATCAAACAAAACGTCCGCTAAGTCAGAATCTTCATAGTCAATCTCCTTCTTCAGATCAACCTTCTCTGGATAGGACATCGGATCTTCTTCCGTGCTAATGAATTCGTCATCAGCATGAATGGTCCAAGTTACCTTATCGCCGCCTTCATTGTACCTCATGTCATATGTCTTCGCGTCAGCAATCAAAGAATTGTCCAAGCCTATGAAGTCATCGACGCTCTCTTGGAAAGGACTCTTCTTCTTTTGCTTCTTTGCAACCTTCTCGGCGATCACTTCAGGGTCATCGTTAGCATGATCGAACTTCTCTTCTTCCGTCCCCTTCTCGACAGGAACAAGATTCTTCCTCTTCACAAAGACGTCCTTCTCGTCCACAGGCAAATCATCAAACTTTACATTGTATCCATTGCCTGCATTCCCTGAAACAATTGTCCCAAAGCAGTTGCGCTGCTGGTTGAATCCTTTGATAGTCGCCTTCTGCGAATCCGTTGTCAACAGAAGAAACAAGACGCCTCTCTTGCACTTGACTCGACAACCAACACTGATACGCACTGTCTTCGACTTTGTCTTGCGAGAGGTTGTCTTGGGAGTTGGCTTGCGCTTGGTGCCACTACCTGTTCCGGTTTCAACAGGAGAGACAGTGCTTGGAGGCCCATTCAAAGCAGCAAGGGAAGCGGCAGTTTCCTTCCTTGTCGCCTCATCATCAGGCGTCTCAACAAGGGATTCGGCCATCAAATTTGGTGCATTGGGCGATGCTTCGGGGGCAGAGGCTTCAGTTTGATAGAGATCATCACCATCTTCATCATGGGTGGTTCCACCCCGCAAGGTTGAGTTCACAGAAGGCATTTCGATCAGGAGTTTTCGACACACGAGCGATACAAATCTGGAAACGACAACCTACCAACCATACACCCAAACAACCAACTACTATTGTATCCCTTTGCATTGCTCTCTCTCCAAGGATTGGTGGCTGTTACTCCCTGAACGGACGTAATTGGTGCGATAGATTGGCTCACAATTTCTTGCACGAAACAAACTTCGGCCTACTCAGAAAACAGTTACAGCTCGCCAACCACCATGCCGAATCCACTATGTTAAGGTCCGATCTTCTTCTATACACTATAACGTTGAAGGTTATATATTCTCATTAGGCTGTATCTTGTTTAGCTATCGAGTTGAGGACGCTTCTAAGCAGCCTCTTGGTGATACAATTTCGAATACAATTTGGGTGTTCGCATGTTATCCCTACCACTAACCAAGTCTAGCTGCTGTACTGCTAGTACATGTAGACTACCAGTACAAAAATCATTTGCACAAGATGTTACGCTACAAGGTGTCCAGAATCCAGATGACTCCATTGCCGAAGTTATCTCGACGCGCCACGATGAGAGAAGATCTTCGTTCGTGATTGTCTCGCCCCTCCACGATGTCATCTTGTCGGAAGAGCTTAATTGTCACTGCTCATGAGTGTGGTTGCTGTGGCGTTTGTTCACTCGGCCTAGAATTTCCGCTGACAGGCGAGTCTTGTGTCGTGTCGGTCCAGGCGAAGAAACAGAGCGGCGGCGAAAGCAAACAACACGGTGGTGTCCAAGTTCGCCGCACCATCCACACCGAGATAACTGCGACACGGCCTTTTTACACTATTGGACCTGTCGAACACACACTCATACCGTATATATTATAGTTGCTGAATGCGGTACAGGGAAAATGCACATGCGGAGCTGAAGGGTGACAGCTGGTCCAACACGAGACAATTCACCACACGGCCACAACAACAACAACAACAATCTTTGAAAGAAACGACAAGAGATGAAAGGAATTTGACGACGTTGCGTTACCGGCAGCTAGCATATCCAGTGAAAGCAACAGCCAATGCTACATTTCAAGAGGTGGTCGCACATCTTCAGGACTTCTCGCCGTCCAGCTTATGTTCCTTTCTCCCTCCACATATGACAAGGTTCATCCAAGACACTGCCAGAGGCTTTCTCGAGGTTCCTTATGGCTCTGACAATATCATCGGTAGCGGCAAGGAGGCCATGAAGTACACATTGGAGCTTTTAAAATTAATACTCCTCCAGCTAGCTACATGAGCTCCCACACACGACAACTCAGAATTTTAGGTCTATCAATGATGGGGATCATGATTCTAATATTGATTCTAATATTGTGACTAACTAAAAGATGGTGTAGACCATGCGGTGTTGACCCACAGTTAGTTGCTGCTGTTGCCATTGGTGCTCTTTGGGTGGGGGGGGGGGCATCTTGGTGGGGGTAGTCACATGATCCTCGTGTGTTTGAAAACGGGCGTTTGAAGGAAGAAAGCAGTAAAAGCAACCTGACTGCAACTTTCAAAGTATGGTACCATACTGTATGTTACACCGCATGAGGCAAGGTTTGGGAGAAAAACTGCAAGCAATGATGGCATGGACAGTGTCGCGCTGAACCCAGCCTGGAGGGGCACCGGAAGCACCACAAAAGTCCAATCTACATGTAACTTCTATAAAAGGGCTATTTCTATTCATTGATCTTACTTGACTAACGCATTTCCTCCTGCGTTCACCTCACCTGCTGCTTACTATGCGTAGCGACTTTCCAGACGTGCCGGTAGCGATCAGCGATCGAGGCCAGTTAGCCTGGGCGAAAGGGGTTCCTAGCAACGGTCAGGTTCGTACACAAGGCTTTTCTCGTACAAGGTTCCTCTGAAAACATCTTCAATCACGTGGAAGAGCTTTCCTGGTTTTGTCTGAAGATAACGTATCCAACGTGGTTCGTTGTTGCTGTGTGCCCTCGAAACGTTGTCCTTGTGAAATTGAATCCGCTGCAGGACTTTTTTCTTCCAGCCTTCCCTCGTCGTTTCTTTGGAGGATCGTTTGGTATCATCTGATAAATCTGTCTCGTGGCACCGAAATCTCGCCTCGATTTCCTGGTAGCCACACAGCATGCCTTCCCAATCCGTGGATCCATGATTCTGTTGTTCGTGAAAGGATTTTACTTCCTCTGCCAATGACTTGTTGTGCACTTCCCTGGCTTTGTCAAAAAGCATCCATTTCTTCCTTTCTACAGTCATCTGGCCAACCTGCTCATGCAACACGGTAAAACAATCACCACTTTTGACGAACTCGATTGCAGCGCTAAACCTTCGCATCGCAAACTCAAATGGGGGTTCATCTCCCTGGACGCAGTCTTTCTCAAACGATGTCCAATCCAAAGCCCCTTGATGATGCATCAATATTTTAGAGTCTTGCGTTTTGCACCACTTGAAGTGTTGTGGCTACGGGTCGATGGAGCTGGCTCCATTTCCCCGGCCGCTGAGGCGGTATCGCTGGAAGAGTTGCGAGGCTGTGAGGTGCCACCGGAAGTGCTGGGACTCCTGGTCGATGCAGCTGTCGTCTTAGGACTATTACGCGCTGAGGCCACGCCAGGTTCGAAGGTTGGAACGACCAAGGTAGTTTTCGAATTGCCCCGTATATATCTTTTTGACCGCGGCTTCACCAGCTGATACAGGCACACGCGCTGAAGCGTTGCGAGGTTGGGTCCGCAAGCAAATCTCGTCTGGATCTGTAAATGGACTTAGAGTTTTTTCTTCTTCACCACAGTTTGATGCTCCTTTTTTGTTGAAATATGTAAAAGTTTGGGCATAATGACATCCCTCAGGTCCTTGGGGAGGTCAGCCCAGCGGACGTCCTCAGCAACATCGAGGACGAACTCTATTTGGCCCGGGGTGTAACGCTTCTTGCCTTCAAGGGTTGTCTTGACTGCAGCTTTAAACTCTTGGAGCCCATGATAGTAAAAATGCCGTCTGTATGACATCCAGCTGGCATTTTGGGAAAGCCCAGCAAACTGGCCATTGCCATTGCAAATCGTTTGATCTGTCTTTACCACTTTGCAGGTCACACCTGTACTCGTAATCAGAGTGTCCACCGTCTCGAATTTGTCCATGCAGTTCAACTTCATCAACGCCTTTCCGGGCGCCTTAACGTACGGACACTGGTGAGGGCAGCCAAAGACAACGCCTCCTTGCTCGACTTCTCCATATTTCAGATTACTTGTCGCGGCTGGGGCTGGGGCTGCCCTCCCTTGGTCGCATTCTCTCTGCTCCTTTAGTTCGTCTTTGCATACGAGCCATTTCATTGTAAGAGTTAAGTCTCGCATCTTCACACATTCTGGTGGCTCGTCATCCACCAGCGCCTGCGGAACCCACTTGGTAAGTCTCTTCTCGACTGTCGGTTTAGTCTCCACAGCTGTACGGACGGGATGAAGCACAATCGTTGAATGTTTCTTTTCCTGAGAATCTTCACATCCTCCTGGCTCATCGTCTTGGGTCAAATCAATGGCTGCTTCAATGCTTTGTCCACTCTGTCGACGTTCTGAGCCTAGAGTACCCTCTGCCGAATTTGTAGCTTGAATGTCATTGTTCTCTTCCGTTGTTTCGTCAATTTTGGAGGGGTGCATTCTAGCTTCACTAGAAGTTGCATCTGCAAACCCGGCCTGAGCACACGAGGGATGGACATCCTGCGACTGGGGCTTTGGAGAGTGATTGGTTGGAGCTAATTTTGCCGTTCCTTCACTTTCTTCGTTTGAGCGGCCCCTTTCTTTCCTCCTCCTCCTGGTAGTAGCATCTGCCTGAGTGCCAGGCGCTTTCTTCGTGTCAGCAAGGGGGGAATTGCTTCTGGCGCCCGTTTCAGATGGCGACGTCTCGTATTTGTTGGGGTCCTCGCGCGATCGCTTTTTGCTCGCACCACTAGAGCCGGTTTCTGGATCGATCGGTTTGTCGGTTCCTGCTTCGTGACCTTTGTCTGATTGTGCTGTCAAAGTGTTAGACGACTCTACACTTGCAGATCTCTTGGACACGCGAGTTTGCAGGAACGCCGCCATATCAATCATCCCGCTTTTCTTCGGGACGTAACCATCGAGCCACTTCGATTGACATCTGAAGGTGCAATAAAGGTATGCAAGGTGGCCGAAGTTTTCTCTGACGCAGAGCTCCCATTCCCATTTGGTTGATGCCGGTGCACCCGAGCATTTTTGTGGGCTGCTACCGACGCGAATCTCCAAGCGACGCTTTTTGTCTTGCAGCTTTTGAAGCTTTTCCGCGAAAGAACTGCGGAAGCCCCTGCTGGATTGCACGACCCGCAAGAAGGAGGTAATGTCTTGTAAGTCCACCTTCAAGGAATCTGACTCTCCACTTTTGACCGGGTCAACGACGACTTGAAGCGTGCCGTCAAGGAGCTCGTTCACGGCGCCTTTGACCGCGTCGCATTCGCTGTTCCAGCCGTCTTGCCTCGCACAAAACTCGTGGTAGTCTTTCAACGATTCCATCAAAGCGGACAAACGGCTGACTTTGCCTGTGTCACAAAACTCCTCCATTCCAAGCTGGAACGCTTGCTTGAAACGCCTTCGGCATTCCTCTTTGAGAATACCCCCAAACTTGTTTTGAGTGTCGCTGTTGAGACATAGTCCTTCCACTTGGCACTTGAACGAGGACATGTCACGCATTAAAGATATCGGTGCAAACGACATTGAAGCCACTTCCTGCTTCATCTTCTTCAGCACAATATCGTCATTGCACAGCCTACTAAGTAGCTCATTCAATAATGTGTTGTAGTCCTCCCGCTGCTTCACTGTTACCGAACCATGCAGCATGCGATGAACCTCCTCGATTCTCTGCTCTTTGGACATACGAGACCACTTTCCCAAGCCTAGATACTTTTCCCCAAGCCTACGGACAAGTGGTGTTGACTGCGGCTTGCTCAGATCTTCCAACGTCATGAGAGAGGCCATTCTCAAAGACTTCACGTGGACGAGTGAGGTTGTGATGAGGACTGGTGCGGTTCGAGGTAGTTGCCCAGGATTCGGCAGGGTGTCCACGCCGAAGACATCGCCTACGAAACGCGCTTTCTGCTGAATGAGACTTTTTAGATGGCCACCATCATCTGCGCTGTCTGTGTCACAAATCAAGATCACCGGAAAATCTGGTTTCTCTTGCCTTTGCTCTTGGAAAAACCGAAACGTTTCTGCATGAACGTGATGGTCGTGTCCGTCCTTTGCGTCGACCAAGCCAATGAAACAGGAGCAGCCTTCCCAGTTGTTTGCAATGTACTGGTTCTTGTCTTCTGATGAAGCCAGATTTGAGATGTCTTCAAAGACCAAGCTCACACCATTTCTCATGAGGGGCTCGTCTGTTTCTACTCGGAGAACTGCGCATGGTAGCGTCCCTACGCTCGTTTCTCTCTCCTCCGTAACTTTTGGTAGAGACGACGGTACCAAACTGGTATGGATAGATGTTGGCGCTGTCGCAGGCGGAGGCTGATTGCTGGTAGGATCCATTCTGGCCTTCTTGCGATCCGGTTCTGATGTTGGACTGCTTTTTGCGCCAAGGAAGCGTCCAAGTCCAAACCAGCTCATAGCGCTGCCGCTTTGCTTGCTCATTGACGGTTCATCGTCATCATCAGATTCATTCTGCTGCTCTTGCATGGCGACATCTGTCGTGTCGAGAGGTGAAGGCGACCCCTTCTTCCTACAAAAACTGATCTTTCTCACCATTCCATTCTCACTTGGAGCAGGGAGTTTTTGGGCGGCCAGAACATCCAAGAATAATGATGTCAACCGCTGAGGGCCGACAAGAAGGACCCTCATGTTGATGGCACTGGCAGCATCCGTCGATGAAAAGCTCATGGTCACTTCCGTATGATGCTTTAGTTAGAATAACTGGATGGAATTTGGAAGCGGGAGATTATTGGATCTTCTTCCTGGCACTCAGATTTTCAGGTGAATTGGAACACGTTTGGGCGACCGTGCGGTGACTGTACCCAGTAGGTACTCAGTCGCATCTTACGCATACAGTACCCATGAAGCCTCAATCGAAATTTTCGTCCATTGATACATTGCCATCGTATCTTCTTGCCTCGCTCTTCTTGTCAAAGCGATATCATAGATAGCTGGGCCATGCCAGGCCAGTTCGGTTCCATGACAACGACTGTTGCAACATCGATACAGTTGGGGGGAAATCAACAGCGAGTGACACCATGTCTCTCAAACTCGTCTTTGTGTCTGTATGCAGGATGGTCTTTTTTGTTTGTGGTGTGTGTATGGCTCGAATCAGTTTCGGAACAAAAGATGCATCCCAGCAGCAGTCAAATCCAGCTCTCACGTGCACGCAACCTCAAAGTCACTTCCAGTGGTACAAGATCTGGCAACCAGCTACCGCAGAAGTCCGATCCGTAGCCTTCGACAGCCTCGACCGCGCTACATCCAATGCAAGCCAAAATAAGTGAATTCCTTGATCGGTCTTCGTCCGCCAGGGCCATTGTCTTGACCGGACCAATCAGTTTCAGAGGTGTGGATCGATCGATGAAGAATGTCGCTCCTCTATAAAGAAAAATGGCCGAGCCGTTGCGTTGTAGAATTACGGCATGATGCATGAGTGGTTGGAGCTGTATTGAGTTCCTTGCTTGCCGTGTTTCATTGTTGTACTGTAGTATCGATCCCGGTGGACCAGATTGACGCTCATAAGCCAACACTATGGTAGAATGCTAGTGTGTTGCACACAGATTGCTACATCCCAACCTTCTGACTTCTAGCTATAGCTAGCAGCTTTACTCCAAGCAATCGCTCTCTCCCCTTTATTAGAAGGTCTGTTTCGAGTTGTTGCTGCTCCTCGTCGCATCAGGGCTCATCGAGATGATGGATCTCCCTGGGCGTCGTCTTCCGAGCTCGCGTCCTCCGGTGCCTCTGCTCCCTGCTCTCACTTTTAAGAAGCTACACTTCAATCACAGCCACCTCCGCATTTCAACTATCGTACCGTACGGTACCGTACGGTATGTACCCTTCTTCCTACCGGTACTGGTATGCGTCAAGCAACTCGCTCCCGGAGGCTGGTTCGGTGGGAGGACCAACGGGAGGCTGGTAGGTTTAGATTGGAGGAGTGATTGATTCCTTCCTGGTCGCGACCGGTCTGGCTGGTGGCACCCTCCTAGTCCGCATCAACAAGAACAGTTCCCTGTCGTTTTGTAGCTCTTGAGGAACTCCTACGGTATGTACGGCAGGTACTAGATTATACCGGAGGCCCACCACAGCAGTTGAACGAAAGTTGGGTACAGTATCTGTTGCTCCTCCTGCTCAAGAAAGCAAACTGAGGGCAAGATTTGCTTTCATAGCAATGCAAGCTCGACGCCATGGCGACATCGATGGCGCCGGAAGGTGGCAGCTGCCTTTTGCCGCTGTTATCGAATGGAGAAACAAGTTTTCTTGCGGTGTGGCGGAACGAAGGACCGATCATGGCGCTATGGTAGATCTAGCTAGTACATTCTCTAGCTTCACTTCCATAAACCCCAATGCAGCTGTAAACCCCCCATCACAGATACATGTACAACACGTGTGATGTCTTGGATGTTTGAAGATATCTATAGTTATGTTTCCTCTGTGTAATGGCCAAGCTACCAGGTACCGGTTACTACCATAGCTAGCAACCATACGGTAGCAGGCCAAAGCCACACGCTTGTCTCGGGTGGAAGTACTCCAATCTGTAATGAGAATTTCTCTACAGCATTGATGGAAACCGCATTGGATTATCTATTGTGACCCCAGCAGGTTTGTTTGGAGATCTCATACTCTTGTTCATACTTCAAATGTAGAACAACACTGCGTGTGCGATTCCTGCGAAAGCGGTGATTCTCTGTTGGCACTGCAATATCTGTTTTATCTGGAACCATGGGCTGCCACCGTGTTGCGTCACCCTGCACTGCCACTGTAAACATCATTCGCTCAAACCGTTTGGCTTGTATTCCCGATTCACTCCATCTTCGGGCTATTATTTTCTCTGGGGAGGTTGTTTTCAGATCAAGGTACTTCTTTGGATTTTGCAATATCGAAGGGAGAATATCAATGGCTTGGAGGAAAGGTTCTGCTGGGGCTACCAAATGACGATCTGTAAACCCACCATACTCTTCGCCCTGTGGCACCCAGACAGTATTGTTGTTGTTGTTATTGTGGCTGCTGTTGCTGTTCATCAGATTATCCAAGTTGTGTCCACATAAATAGAAATGATCCGATCTGGTGAGCACAAATCTCTTGTATTTTTTGTCAAGGTTCAATCGCTTGATTTGTTTGGAGACAAACCATCGAATCCAGAATATGAGTGCCCCACTCCCCCTGTACCCCAAGCAGGGACCAAGAACTCCTGAGGACTCTTCCTTGGGTGGAAGGCCCTCGAGAAAGAGTCTCCAGTTATTGTCAGAACTAGTTGTCGTGTTGTACCCCTCCTCCTCAACAATCAAATCTAGTGCATCGGCCCACTCCTCGTACTCGGGAAACTCCCAAACATACTTGGCACGCCTGTACAAACTGGGTCCTCGTTTCTGTCGCATCTTTAGCAACAGGAGGTAACGAACATCTCTTATTGATTCCCGACAAACACGGAAATATGTGCGTCCTGGTCTTCGAATCATCTCCTTGAGAGGTGCGAATGCCGACAAGTAGTAATGAAAGTCTTGCAGCCAAGTAGTAGTAATGGTGGTGGTTTCATTGGGCCTTCTACCGGTGGCCAGTGCCAAGTCGGCACTGTTCAAGTCCAGGACATTGCGATACAAGCTTTCCCAAGCATCCTCCCCTCCTCGCAAACTGCCCATGACAATCACCAGAGTCTCATTACTCGAAACACTCTGCACTTGGACATTATTGCTGTGGCCTGATGGATTGACAAGAAAGGAATCTAATAGGAAACCAAAGCTCAGCACAGTCAGTATTGCTAATAAGGAAAGACGCCGTAAGGAAAACCATTTTGCACTCATTATTGTGTCATCCCCAAGAGATAGAATGATTTTGTGAGCGAAGGCAAAAAAGCGGTTGACAATCATTTTGTGTGACCGTGCGAAGGTCCTCCGGCGCACGGGAAATGAATCGAATCCAATGTACACGTACACAGTGTCGTACCAGTAGCCAACATCAGGTGGTGGTGCAATGGTCGCGGGGGAAAGCATCAGTCAGCTTCCTTCTTCGTACCATCCACTCTTGCCAATCGTCAATCGGATGGATAAAATCTAAAAGCTGCCCTTGTCATGGGTGGTACCGGCATCAATTGTGATGGGTGGTTGCCGGCAGCAATTCATTTCAGCCGAACTGAACGCGTGTTTCCCAGACGCACCGGAAGAGAAAAACAACAGACGCCAACCATCCTTGCTGGTGTCTTCAGCGGGGCCGGAAAAGCGTGTGGACTATCATTGATCGGGCACTAATGCCTGTCTGTCTTTATCCACTACAACTAGTACCTATTGTGGACGCATACCGTACCGTAATAGGATACACCCCAAGGAGGCTGCGGGACAATCCGGATCCTCTCAAGTTGCGCACATTTCACGAAGCTCCCTGTAAGAGCTTGTCGTGGGGCAGGTTTGATATCATTACTACTAGCCATGGTATCAACGAGAACCACATCGACCAAGACGAACATGCCACCGATGTTGGCTGTTCCGTCTTGTTGCTTGCTGTTGTGGGCGGGGCACTGGCGGGTGTCTCCGTGCCATTGACAGACGTTGGCCCGGGAGTGGATGATTCATCCAATGGCATGCTGATGGTCGTTCCATTCATGTTCGTATTGTTTAGGAAAATCACCGTGTCGCCATGATCAAACACATTGGAGGCATTGGACTGCTGCCCTGGTGGCGGAGATGGTGAAGTCAAGTTGCCGACGGAAGAGGGGGGCGGAGTGGTTGCCATTGTCGGCTGCTGTGTTGTGGCATTCGCAGGGAGTGGCTGGAGGCTCCCCGTTGTTGATACGGTTGGAAGCTGTGTTGTGACCATCGCAGGACTTGGACTGGGAGAACCTTCAGGCTGGGGGCTTCCCGTGGCTGGACTCGGGGTGTTTGGAGCACCAGACCCAAGCGGAATGCTTGGACCTGTTCGCGAGTCAGCATCATAAATTACTTCACCTTGCAGATACGTGAGAGTTACGTTGGCCGTTGCTATCTGATCCGCCGGCAGATTGAAAATGTCTTGGTCAAGGACTACGAGGTCGGCATACTTGCCTACTTCAATACTTCCCGTCAGATCATCGTGCTGCAATAGTTTGGCACCGTTCAGCGTGAACATCGGTATAATAGTTTCAATATCAGGAAATGGTCTTCCGATCGTTCGAGTCAACACTGTTTGCATCTTTACCAAAGGAGACAGATCGTCGGCATCCCAATCACTGCTGAGAGTGATCATTGCTCCAGCTTCGTACAGTTCCACAGCTGGAAGCAGCGTGGCGGCCCTTTCTGCGCCCAGAAAGTCTGTCATTGTCGCTTGATAGTCAGCCGTGAGAGATGTGGGCGCCAACTGCAAGTCTGCCACGACCCCCAACTCTTCAAACAAAGGCCGATCTAGTTCATCCACCATATAGCAATGGGTTAGCCGATGAGGGCCAATGGAAGCCGTACCACTTTGTTGCACCGCCGAAATGGCTTCCAGCGCAAGCCTTGCCCCGTGGTCTCCAGTCACGTGGAAATGCATTTGCAACCCCATGTTCACAAGAGCCTCGGTGACGGCATTGAGAGTTACGTTATCTCCAAAGTATTCGAAACCACGCCACTGGCCTGCCGCAGTTGTGTCATCTCGATAGAGCTGATAGAGATCCAGCGTATATGGATCGTAGAGCTTTCCTGTCGACAGCGACAAGATACCATCGACATAAATTTTAGCCTGATTGAATCTCACCAACTCATAGTTGGCGTAGGCATCAACACGTTCTTGGAGCTTTGGAATCTGTTCTGCAATGGGTTCATCCGGGTAGATGTAAAGGGCATTGGATGCTCGCACGGTCAAAGCCCCCTCCTCTTCAGCTCTGGCCCAAGATTCTGTTTGGGCTTGCCTCCAAAATCCTCTGGAACAAGATGCGGGCCATGAGTTGCACTGAGCATCAACTAAAAGCAAAAGGTATATGTACACTGCCTACACTTACCCCGCATCCGAGACAGTAGTGATGCCATTGCTTGCCAGTTCCTCCAAGGCCAGAAGTAAACCTTGGTAGGCAGTCTCCTTGTTGGCGTCCGTGGGAGGAAATGCTGCTTCTCGTAGCTTCTGTTGCGCGTTTTCCGTCACAATTCCAATGGCAGAGCCGTCGTCAGGATCCCGTAGAATCTGTCCTCCAGGTGGATCGCTAGTGGCATCCAAGTACCCTACTTGCTGCATCGCTGCAGTGTTAGCCAATGCACCATGTCCCAGTTGATCCAAAATCACCACGGGCGTATTTGGAAAGCTTTCATCTAGCACTTGAATGGGATAGCGAGCATTGGGATTCGACTCCAACTCGGACACAATGGCTTCCAAGTCGACACCAGCTCCCATGACCCATCCTTGATCACCAAATACACCACCGTTGATACAAGCGGGATCGTCAAACCAAAATGGAATATCTTCAATGGTCCCTTCCGAACCTATCTCGCATACTTGGCTGTTAATACCATATTCGACAGGATGTTGATGCACATCTTGGAAGCCAGGCAGAACGAGAAGGCCGTCCAAGTCCGTCTGCAAATAATCCGGAAACTGTGCGACAAGACTGCCAAAAGTTCCCACTCCCACAATGATCCCATCCTGGTCAAAGGCAATGGCATCGGCTTCTGGATTGGCAGGGTCCACGGTATATACTTTGGCGTTGAACAAAATCTCTTGCCCGTAGCCGACAGTCGCAAGAGCAACAAAAAGAAGCCGCAATACTGCACCCACTTTTGAAAGCTTCTTCATGGTAACGTTTTTTGATCAGTTAGTGGGCTTTCTAAATGTGCACCTCTGCTTTCGGTACAGAACATCGGCACATCCACTGGTGACGCCCACCTCGTCTCGTCGCACTCTGTTCCGAAATTTTCGTCTGTTGACGTTGGATGTTGGATGGTTGCATGTACATTGGAGACCGGTACCTGGTACCAGTTACGGTACCGTACATGTACTGCACCGTGCAATACGGTATTGAAGCGGAACCCAAAGGCTTAACAAACTGTTTCCAAGACAGAGTCGAGTCTTCCCTTGAGTATCCACGGCTGAACTCCTCTTCTCGTCTCAACCTCTCCAAAAGATTGAAACCGTCCGAAGATCCTGAGATAGATGGCGATGACTCCAAAATGGCCACTCCATGAGCAATGCGCTCAGGGACCACCGTCATCGAAAGCCTGGAGCTTTGGTGGTTTTTGTTTTGAGTTTCTTTTTGGCCGCCAAGAATCTAGTGACCCCACCAAACCCGAATTGTTTCGTCTCTCCAGCGACTCCCTCCCAATTCCTCCCCATATCCCAAACGACGGTGCGGATGACGACAGTGATTGTCCATCCTGCTCGGATCTGTCTGCCGACGGAGCGATATTGGATGTGGCTCGAGATGGGCAAGTCTTCATTTTAGATTTGGACCAAGCCCCTGGAGGAGGGAAACAAAGCTCCACCATTGCGATCTTTGGAATCCATTTCGGATCCCCCTACTGGAGGAGTACGATCCATCCGTCAAAGCGGTCGACATCTTTCCCTGCAAGAATAACACAGCGGCGAATTGCAAACCGGCCTACGCAAACTTTGGGTACTCTTTGAAATCGAACTATGACGGTGCCATTCTGGCCATTGGTATTCCAAAATTGTCTTATGCTTGCCATCCGGGAGGAAAGAAAGGAGATGCGTGGGTTCTCTCTGGCGTGATCCGGATGATTCGATTCAGTGGGACAACAATGTTTCGGAATGGAAGCCGATGGGCTCCGAGCTTTGCTCACTGAATCTACAAGAACCATCCACAAGGCGATGGAGTCTACTACATTGGCTACTCCTTTGGGGACCACTTGGGACTTTCGGGTGATGGGGAGAGGGTTGTGACGACCGTTGATACATGGTACCATAATTGGACAGATGATGGGCCCCATAAATTGCACGATTATGCCGTGGCGTTTCAGTGGGATACTACCACAGGAAGCTGTAAACATATGCAACCCGTGATCCCTGTGCAAAGCGTGGGGCGTGTGGCTTTGGGAGGTGGCACGGTTCTCGCAGGAAAGTTGCCTTCGAAACGCTTTCCGAGGATGGGAACATTATGGCCGTTTCTACTGCTGGCCAGATCAACACGTATGCCTTTGACATGGACGCTCAATTGTGGCTTGCATTTGGTGCACCTGTTCACGCCAAACGCTGGACGAGTGGCTCAGTTTTCCCCAGGCTGTCATCTACAAGCAAGTATTGGCCGTTGCGGGCAAAGAGCGACGCCGATACCAATACCGCCCTTCCGAGTCGGTCGATGTTCCCCAGAACGCCGCAACAGCCGCAAAAAAATTACGGATACCTTCAAGTACTTCAATACCAAAATTGGCGGCGAACAGATTTTACTGCTGACGCGACGAAAAGTGTTGAAGTATAAACGCTTGCTAGTCTAGTCAAAAGACTTTTTGTACAAGTATACTGCGCCATTGGCCGAAGAACTTATGATTTGCTGCCGCGCTTCTGTGATTCATAGTCGCTCGGATGAGTCCCATCTTTGATGGCACCTAGGCTTACTTCGTTTGTACCCCAACTGTTCGCCTGTGGATTGTGAAACAGCGACGACCATACAGCAGCAGGCAATCCGAAAGCTTGACTGGGATTTGTCGTGATCAAACTGACCAGCCCTCCCGCAAGAGACGATGCCACCGCAGTCGCAACAAAGAGCGTATCGGATGAGGATGAAGAATTACTTGTGCCAGTGCCGGCGGGAAGCAATGTCAATCTTCGCCAATCATTCATTCTCTGAGACAGAAATGCCCAAGTATCCCGGTATTGTGGTGATGTATCAGTGAGCAGATGCAGCTCCGTGGCGACATAGACAGCTCCCAGTGCCATTTTTTCGGTGGTCCCCAACTCTGGATGGTTGTTGCTGGTCGCAATAATAATCTCAATCATTTCCTGCAGCTGCCGCTGTGTCTGCAAGGCATTGGTGGGACCTCGAATGCCTAGTGCCATGCCTTCATGCCATCGTTGACTTTGCAAGTATGGGATGAGATATTGGAGCCTTGTTTGGATGCCTCGTTCCAAGGGATCTTTGTTGCTAGTGATGTTTTCTTTTTCTTCATCTTTTTCGGAAGTTGATTGTTTCTGGTGGCGAAGCTCGAACAAGTCCTGCTTGAGTTGAATATTCCATTGATCCATACAAAAAGCAATTAAATCATCCACACTCAAAAGTCCCACCACACTCATGGAAATTTTCTTGTCGCCATGTTGTTGCTTCACAGCCGCCGTGCCTGCCGCCAAGGCATCTTCAGTCCAACCATGATGATGAACTTCTTGTAATGATGACTTCAAAATTGCAGTGCGAATGTTGGACAAAGCAGTAGTATTCGGATCCCATTGGTTGCTTTGGTAGTTGCCACTACTAGTACCGGTACTGTTGGGGTGAACGTTGGAACTGAAAAGTCTGATGCCATTATTGCCGACTCGAGTTGGATATACAACTCGCTCTCTTTGAAACAGCGCTGAGGCTCTCACTGCTAATAGCCTATCACCATCATGGAGGCGACGATGCGCCACTCTCCGACTTGTTGCCACAGTAAGCAGTCTGCGTCACGCCACGTTATGAACGAAGAGCATGGTGAAGTAAGCAAGTCAGAAGAGAAGCAAGTCAGAAGACGAGAAGGGAGGCGAAGTCGAATACATGAACATTGGAGACAATTCCTATTAAATTCTACACTCGCATCTCGCATCACACACCTTTGCATTTCGGTTCTTGCTTGGATCAGAAAGCTGGGGCTCGGAGCTTTGTTGCCTCTTACAAATGAAGAAGAAGGTGGTGGTGGTGGTGGATGGACGCGTTTTTCGCGTGTTTTTTGCGGAGGACCGGCAATGTCCCTGGCGCCTCGGTGATTTGCCGCTTTGATGGTTTAATCCATTCAACAAGAAGTCGTGGGAGTGAACGGACGTCGTGCTTGGCGTTTCGCAGCTCGCAGCAAATAATGTGTGAACATGTATTCCGAGTTGTGGAGAGTTAGACAACTGACAATCCAGACTTTGCAGTATACCTATTTAGAATGCGGCGGCGGCGCGAAATGACGAGTTCGCAGGAGCCAGAGGAAATTGTGGTACGAGCGATGCATTTGATTGCCATGTGCGATGCTTCAGAGCTTCGCTCATGATCCTCTCGTCGTTTCGCTTCCTCATTATTGGTCTTTCGATTCGCTTTTTACTAAAGGAGCAGCTGCCTGACCATGCATACCGGTACCAGCGAAAGCGAGAGCAATTTCCTGGACAACAACACTGTCTCATCTCAAACCCTGGACGCAGACTCTGATTTGGTCATGGTGCAGATGGAACAAAACGAGGTCCCACTTGACGAGTCCTATGCTGTTGCCACAACTACTGCCAATACCACAAGAGCTGCTTCCGCTTCGCTACACATGGAGGAAAAAGTACAACAAGAAGATGAGCACAAGTTATCTTTCCATACTCTCCCCGACACGTCTTCCCCGCACTTTGGGTATCGTCGCCGTGCTTCTCTTCCTGAAACCGACCGCAAGGCCATGTCCACCAAAGATGCGTTCGAGGTGGATGCGTTAGATACAGAAGCAGATGAAGATCCCAACTTGATTTTGGAAGCAGCCACGACGGCCCCCGTCTTGGAAGTTCGGACAGGCGGAGTTGCATATGGTAGCTTGGTGGTAGCCGACGACGATGATGACATTTCCACGCTGGCGAGTCAACACCTGATTATCCCACCAGGAGTTGAACCACGGGAACATTCAACTACCACCACCAACACACTATCTCTCAGTATGAAGGACGTGGACAGTGGGGTACTGTCGGAGCGACTGTTTGCTAAGGTGGACGATAACAGGGAAGACTTCACCTCCGTGACTCCGAAAGACGACGTTTGCGCGGACGCTGGTAGTACGAGCGAAATCGAGGTAAAGGGCTTAGAGAAGGGAGGAAGTAACGATGAGAAAAACGCAAGATATCTGAAGGAGGAGGAAACTGGAAACGATAACAAACACAAGGGTTTGAAGGAAGAAGTTGAGTTGGAGGGAAAACGTAAGGCTTTGGCATCGCCCTTGACTCGCGAGGAGCAACAACCGGGATTGTTACACTCACATGCCTTTGTGGCTGTGGGAGAGAGCCTGGTACGACAAAACACAACTGTTGCTCATCAGCCCACCGTCGACAGCGGTCCGAAACGAGAAGACACCTCTCCAGAAAACAAACCAGACCCCGGCAAGCTACTAATAGCTTCCAACAATGTGAATGAGGCGACGAAAACAGGCACCACGAAAACAGACTTGGACAAAGGGATACTAGTAGCCTCCCCGTTAGAACCTGATGCAGTGAAAGAGGGCGACAAGGATCTGGAACACAGCAATGCGACGAGCAAGCCGCGGGGGCCCACTGGGGTTGGCAAGATTGCCATTGCTTTTATTTTGCTTACTATCGCCGCGACAGTGGCAACTTTCCATTGGAGACACCAGGTGTTCATTTTCGCGAAACCTCAAGATGGGACTGTGGAGGGTGAGCTTCCGGGGGCAATTCCACAGAATCGCAAAGAGTCTCCCGCAAGCGCAGCACTGGCGGACGATCTTGAAGCCACCCCAAGGATCGACCATGCAGATGACTTGATCAAGACACATGATATTGTGGAAGTCATGGTGGACCTTGACAGCACCGTAGAGGAAACCTACAACTCGTCAACCAATGAACAGGCTGCGATGGAAAAGACGAACGCTTCCATCAGTCGTTTAATGGAGGCATCCATGCCTGATGGTGTGGCCGTTGGTCCCCTGCAGGCGAACAATGCTGAACATACCCAAGAAGAAATTGTTGTGCCTTTGCTTGCCGGTGTCGATCATGATCATCATCAGACTGAATCGTCACCGTTTCTGCAGCTGAACTCCATGTTTGTTTGGGCCACCATGGTGATGATTTGCTCGGCTTTGTCAATCCGTTGGTGCAGCTGTAGCCAGCAAACAGACCTGGCGGATACCTCCGGGGTCGCTGATAGTACCACGCAGCGGAAAGGAAAGTCAGAGGGCACCCTCCAGGCAAACTGCTCAAAGAAGACACCTCGGACGAAAAGCAAGCCGAAGATGAAGAATGTCGACATCAGAACCTTGGACAAGACAAACTACATGAACAAAACCAAGGAATACCTAAAGCTGAGACTGAAGGAACGTGGCCTCTCGACGAGAGGAGACAAGGGGATCCTGGTTGAAAGACTTGTAGAAGGTTATCACGAGGAGCTGAATGGTAAAACGTACAGACAACTCCAATACCTTTGCAAGGGGAAGGCTTTACTACAAAGTGGAACGACAGCCGACGTGAAGGTTCGCCTCTTGGAAGATGGTTTGTGATATTTTTGTTCCACTGCGGTGTAGGTCATTCAACAGATGCTTTTGCTAGTCACGGAGATCCCAGTTTCTCTTGTATGCCCCAGCATTATCGTTTAGCTAGATATCATTTTTATGGACCGTATTAAAGAAAGCTTATCCCAGCTTTTCGCAATGAAATCCGTCGGCTATCGATCATGAGAAGCGGCCCAAAACACTTTGGTATATCGCGAAAACCCTTGCCTCAATAAGGCCACTCATCAGCCTACAAATGGAGGATTCCAATGGCAACGGCAACGGCGAGTACCTTACCGGTACCCAGAGTACCGCTATCATAGTAGTGGGGCAACTGCTTCCAAAAGCAAACCTTTGCCCGGAAGGCGACACATCAGATCAGCCTCACCAAGAGTAGCGGCAACTGCAACTGCGAAGAGCAACACCAATTGCCGCCCGAAGCCAACGCAGACCGGAGAGGGGGGTAAATATTTGCAATTTTGGAAAGGGAAAACATTGGCAGGCAGTAAGTACCAGGCACTTGCCAAATAATTTGCAAATCTTTATCCCCAGTATCCCCCTTCCTGTCATCAGATCGGCAGCCTGTGTCTCAATGCCTCTTCATCAACGAGAGGCAATTTTAAAATATGATATTGCTTCAATGCTTCAAATGGATGTTGAGTGGGGCAGTATGTACCAGATGGACTTCAAAGGCTTGTTTCAGCGAAGGGCTTGGTTGGTGGTTCATCAGGGCTATTGAATGATTGAAACGGAGGACTTTTGTGGTGAAAGCCTTGAGTTGATCCGTGAACAGTCACGGTCCCCTTCAATTTTCTGTTGAAGCGCTTTTAGCCACCCTAAATAAGAACACAGAAGTGACGTGGTTGTAGAACACGATTTATTTGTTCGTACGGTACCGGTACAGTCGTACCTGGTACCATATTAGCTGGAATGGGGACTGCTCTTTTTGCAGCAAAGGTGAGAGATTGCCCAACTTGAATTTGGGCCCAAGCTGGCCTGCATGAACAGAAGGCTAAAGGCCAACCAGGTACGTACAACACAGCTCCACAAAGGCAAGTGAAACGACCTCTCGATACGAGTACGCTGTAGATTATGCTGAAGATGCAGCTGTACCACAACAATGGTTCCTTGTTTGCTTAGGATGGTTGCATCCTCCCCAGCCATAAAAGTTACATTCATTCTGCATACTGGTACCTGCATGCCTGCCTGCATGAAGGTCCCGGGTGGATTCGATTGATCATTCGATTCGATTCGATTCGATTCGTTCCCAAAAGCTCGGCTTAGCCTGGGCTGGTTTCTTGAGCTATTGCTTGCCACCTTCGCAACAACTTCAGGTTGCTTGCTTTGTGTAGGCAGCTGAGCCGCTGACTACGTCGTACTCCATAGTAGGCTAGCTCTAGAGCTAGAGACCGGTAGTGGCGAGCAACCAATCAAGATGTTACAAAAGAAGCTCTCTTTTAAGGGTTGGTGGGTTTCTTGATCTACAAGTACCCGTACTCTTGCCACTTCTTTGTCCACATCGTCAGCTGCTGCAAGGTGCGAGCTAGAAGTGTGCTACTCTGGTCTACGGTACCGGTAGCGCTAGCCATGCATAGAGTAGCTGTTGGCTCGGATGCACACGATACAGATAGACTACCGGTACTCAGTGGCTGGAGAAGTCCAAAAGGCGGCCAGCCAAGGTATTTTGTTCTCGTTAGCGGCACTACCTGCGGCACTCGAGTAGGCAGCTGCTCGCTGGAGAGGTGTGACGAACAAACAAAGATGCTCCACAAGCTTTCCATAAACAAATGAACTAGCGTGGCAGAAGGAAATAAGAAAAAGGGCAGTCTCGCCTAATTTCCAGACTTGCCACATCCACACTGCAAAGTGCAAAGATCCTTGAGCTGATCCATGAGTTAAGTGCTGCTTGCCGATAAAGAATCAGAGAGAATAGAACATAGAACATCGTTCCAGTAGTTGACGTGGTTATTTGCTGCGCAAATTGGTAGTTCGCCAAGAAAGGCGCATTGACGTGGTGATAAATGCAAGGAATAAAGAAAGACACTCCAGGCAAGAACAAAAAGACGAAACAGGAACTTAGGAATTTATGTGGCTGAACCGAGCCTTAGGCGTCAGACAAACGCCTTCTTCAGTTCTCCAGCCTTGTTCTTTGTTCCTCCAAGTCTGCTAGGAATAGTCGCGTACTGTCCGGTACTCTTGAATCGATACTCCGCTGCAACTCCTGATCGCTAGCCTTTTGAGTCAGTATCTCCGAAGAATGTGAAGAACAACACAGTTTGCGTGGCGGATGGACAGCTACCCATCCGGATGGGTCCTGAAATCCTGGTAACGGAATCGGAGCTGCCCACATCCAAATCACTCACAATCCCTCATCACAAATTTGACAGAAGCCAAACTCAATCATACGATTTAGCAAACTCTACCCACTACAAGCCATTGCTCTGCTGAACGAACCTCGGCGATTCGATTCTCCTCCAAAGCCATTTTGCTCACACATTCTCCTCCAAAGCCTCACACACATACGCAACTTCACCCAGTACGATGCTCGTCGCTCTACTTACTGGCATATCTGAACGCGCAACCAGAATGGACGGAAACTCGATGGCTGCTGATCGCAAACAAGCGTCATCAGATGCACCCAGGACCAAAAAGAGTTCGTCTTCCGATTTGGGAAGTGACTCTGTGAGCTACGTTTCCGGCCGAGGTGCAGCACCCGGTCATGCTCCCAACGGCTTGATCCTCAAGGGTGGACGCGTCAGACTACCGGACAAGCTCATGGAGTACCTAAACAAGGACGTTGCTCCAGAAGCTCTCTACTGGATGCCAGACGGAGACAGCTTTGCACTGGACACGGAAAAGGCACCAGCGCAGGTCTTAACCAAGTACTTCAGTGGCACTAAGATGACGTCATTTCTTCGTAGCATCAGTCGTTGGGGCTTCAAGCGAGTGTTCTATCATTCTCTTGAAAGACATGTGTATGCCTTCCATCATCCTCTATTCAAGAAGTCTTCGCCACATCTGGAGAAGGAGATGAAGATGATTGTCGCAGCTCCCACCAAGGCAAGGCGATCCAAACAGAAGAAAGGAAGTAGCCAGGAAGCTAACGGTACACCACAACTTCCTGTAGCCACGGATGCACTTTCAGGTGCTCCGCCTGAAGCAGCGCCACCTGCGACTCCTCTGGTGGTGCTGACAGCACCTGCCCCTCCTCCCGCCCTTCTCAATGTGGCTGCAATGCAGCCAAGTTCGCACGTGAACGACTCACTTGGAGTCAACAGCCTGTACGCCCTGCAACAGCTGACAGGTGCCACCACCAATGCAGCTGCCGCAGGGATGAGCCAGATGCAGCAGCCTTTGGGACCATCACAAGCATTCCCCCAGTCCCACCTGGCGCTTCAAAACTCCTCCACCCGCAGCTCTGGGAACTCATCCCCTACCTTCCAATTGCTGCAACTCGCTCTGGCTCGCCAGCAAGCGCAACAGTTGCAGCAGCAACAGGAAGAACAGCGACGTCAAGCAATGATCCTTGGCCTGTTTCAGAAGACACTGCAGGCGCCGCCAAACAACAATAACAACCAGGGATAAGCGGGGCCTCGAAGTGCAACGCGCCTGTTTGCTGCAACCACGATCTGTCCATAAAGGCAACCACAATCCTTCCATTGTCCATAAGCTCTGACAGAATAGAATTGCACTACGAGAAACCCCTTTTGTCAATCAATGCACAAAAGACACACATAAAAAGACAATCAAACCTTCCATTGTCCACAAGCTCTGACAGAATAGAATTGCACATATGAACCCACCTCTGCCTGCAGCATAAACTATCCATGAATAAGCCTCCATAAAAACACAAGTTTTATGCACTTTTCAATCAAAGCATTTGTCTAACAGGTACCGGTTCACATTACTACTGTATGATGAGCTCTATCTATTCACAAACACTGCTGTGTCCTCAGTGCTGCATCTCAACGCTGGCAGCAGGATTGCTGCTCTTGCCTCCTTCACGATTTTGGTTTCTCCTTTTCACATAGTGATATACATAAACAAACTTTGAGGTGCGACCCCACTTATTTGTGACGCCTCAGCAAAAGTACTGGGCCGTACCCGGTTCAGTTTCTCAATCTCCTCTTTCTTCAGGGTGGGGAGCGTTGCTGTGCTGTAAACAATATCAGGAGGGATTCTGGATCCTTGCGCTCTTCTCCAGCTCTCCATATCTCGGTGCTGTCTCCTGACAAAGACTTGATACTTGACTGATGCTCCCACAGTACTGTATACCGAATCTGGTGAGCGATCCATCACTTCAACTGGTTCTTCCTGCTTGATCATAAAGTCGTCATCGACAACTTCACTAGAAGCCTTTTCCTTTGCCCTGACCTCTTGCTCTGCCTTTTGCTCTTTCTGAACCTCACTCATAATGTCTTCTACACGATCCAACGTTGTGTGTGGCATGGCCAGAGATTCTTCTGCTGTCTTCTTCTGCCCTGCCTTGCGCTCTACCTGATCTCCTCTAAAAAATGGCGCCGTGTTATGTTACTGTTGGCCCGTGGGTTGGTACAGGTACAACCCATACTGGCAGGTAGTACTTGACTCAGTAATCCACAGCACACAGCACTACATGCTGGTAGAATAGGCACGTTCATGCTAATCCGCAGCACTACCAGTACACTGTACTATGTGGTTTCTGAGAAGCATTTTCTTTCAATTTCGGGAGAACGATATGTACAATGCACCTGAACCATACTGTATGGTAAAATGGGTACATTCATGCTAATCCGCAGCACTACCAGTGAACTGTATGGTAGAATGGGTACGTTCATGCTAATCCGCAGCACTACCAGTAAACTGCATGGTAGAACGGGTACGTTCATGTTAATCCGCAGCACTACCAATACAATGTATGGTAGAAGGGGTACATACATGCTTCTCCCCAGCACTACCAGTATTGTAGAACAGGTACATACATGCTGAAGGTGTGTTGTAATCTAAGAAGAGTGATGGGGGTGGGGAGGCCATTTTCTAAGAAATTTTTTCTTTCAATTTCCACTGAATGGAATTTCTTATAACTAGGGACTTATGTACCCAAGATTTATTCTTTCTTGTTCTGTCAGTGCTACCTTATGTGGTTTCTGAGAAGCATTTTCTTTCAATTTCCGGTGAACAATATGTACAATGCACCTGCACAATACTAGTACGGTATGTACTGGTCTGTGCATGTATTAACAGACCATTGTGACTACCGGTACCACACAAATTGGCAATGTGAGGCATGACCCCTTTAATGCTTTCAATTTATTCAAACCAAGTCGAAACGTTATGGCTTAAGCTTGGACATCATGGATCTTGTGGGTTATTTGCCTGCATTTAACTAGTGCATGCTTTAACCCACCGAATTTGCTTAAATATGACCCTTAATAAAAGCAAAATCAGCTTTTGAACTGTTTGCTCTATACTAAATTTCCCAACCTTTTTTGCAGAATCCACCCCCAAACCCCCATTATTAAGTCGTTCGGTAGACCTCACGGATTTTGCCATTTAGGGGCGGGTTTGGAATCTGCCCCTATTCGTGGTGAGATTTAGGGGTGGATTCCCGAAAACGCCCCTATTTTAGGGACAGATTTAAGAAACATGCACGACTGAGGCACGCTCCGGAAACAACCAAACAACAACAACAAGTGGCTTTTCAACAGGATGATCCCATCAAATTTTTTCCATCAGTACTCGTCTTGATCAACACATTGCTGAAATCATATTTCGTAAGGGGTAATCTCTCTTCCTTGGATTGGCGTCGTAGCGTGGTTAGCTCCGACTAGACCTTTGGAAGACGTGCAATGGCAAACAGCAAAAGAGAATATCATGAGCATTACGATCTATCATATCTATTGGGTTTCGTTCTCAAGGTTCGGACTGATAGAAACGGAACGACGCAAGCCGGCATCGGCTTTTGGTTCAAACATGGCGCCTATTCGACTCGGGTAGGATTGAGACATGAGTGCTAAATGGGACCACGGTGCATCTACCAGTGCTTGCTCGCTTGCTTGTGCTCTGAACGATTTTTGCCCTGCAACAACTCATGAAGGAGTAAAGTCGTTGGGAGAGACACACGTCCAGATACTTGCTTTTCTTCTTGCTTTCGTTTCCATCTGCTGTGCGTGAATAACAGCAGTAAACCACAGGCTACCGGTAGCTAGCTACCGGTACTAGCTAGTAGGGTTGCCTTTTGATCAAACACTTGAGATTTTGGATCTTCTCAGAGGCAACAGTTGCCTTGACGCTGCCGTAAATGTGTAAATTCAAGTGTGTTAGTCACACTTCATTCGCGTGAAGACATCCAATCGGGCCACAAACTCTTCCGAAAAAGTCGGCTGGAGCTTTTAGTTTTCGGGCCACAAATTGAAACCAAAACAGAGAAGCAAATAAAAATTACACGTACTCAGTAAGCAGAAACTCAACCAAATCTACTTATTGAATTACACCATGGCCGTCACAAAGAAACAAGTGAGCATGAACAAGAGTGGAAACAATGCCTTTGAACAAATCACGGCAACCGCTGCAGACAAGGCTCGAGAAACGAAGGAGCAAGCTGCACTCGCCGCAGCCATTGCCGAGACCAAGGCAACCAAGGTCAAGGAGGCAGCAAATGCAAAGGTCAGTGAAGCTACATTGAAGGCTAGAGAAATGAAGGAGCAAGCTGAACTCGCCGCAGCTATCGCCGCGATCAAGGCGACCGAGGTCAAGGAGGCAGCAGATGCAAAGGTCAACGACCTTCATGACACGGCAGCACAGATCGCCCGCGAAGCTCATGCTAAGGCAGAAGAGCTCAGGGCGACCGCTGAAAGAAAGGTGCCAATACGAAGGAGGCCACTGAAGAGAAGACCGAAGAGCTCCTAAAGGCTACCGTACTGGGGAGTTGGAGGGGAAGGCAAAAAAACCGGCCACGGATGTCAAGCAAGCGGCAATGGAAAGGAACTCCCTGCTTGAAGAAAAGGCGAAGGGTGTCTGGATGGCAAGCTCAATTTCCTCGTTACGGGACGTGGCGGAGGATGCCGAGCCAAAGGCACAAGAAATGAGGGAACGCACCATGAATGTGGCAGGCGACCTAACAAAAACGGCCAAAGAGAACGCGACTGAAATGAAAAAACTCTCGCGGCCAAACAGACACAAAATCTGAAGGAGACTGTTGAGCCGTGGGCAAACGGAATCAAGGAACAAGCTTTTCGTCACAGCCCAGCAGTTGAGGGATGACATAGTAGAGACACCGGCAACCGAGATCAAGGATCAGGCAGTTGCCAAGACTTACCTGCTGAAGGACGCAATTTTGCATCGAGCTGGTGCGCTGAAGGATACTGCTGTCAGCAAGACTCAAGAGCTGAAGGACAACATATAGCCTCAAGCAATCGAACTCAAGTCTCAAACAGCCAGGAAGACGCAGGAGCTGAAGGATACGATCGAGAATGGTGTCAGCTCAATCGTGGACAAAGGAGCCACCAAGGACAATGGACTGAAGGAGCGAATCGAATCGAGCCAGAAGTGAACAGCATGAAGGAACGAGCTGCGACAAAGACGAAAGAGATGAAGGACACGGTGAAATCGAATCTAGTGGCCGATCAATCCGCAGAACACAAAAAGGAAGAAGAGGACCTTCTCCATGCTGCTTTGTGCAAGGCAAACGGCATCAAGGATGGTGTGGTAGCTATGGCTATCGGCACTACAGATGCTGTGGTAGGAAAAGCAGTTGAGGCAAAAGATGGTGCTGTTGGGAAGGCAGTTGAAGTGCAGGATGGTGCAGTAGCCATGGCTATCGGCGCTGCAGATGCTGTGGTAGGAAAAGCATTTGAGGCAAAAGATGGTGCTGTTGGGAAGACATTTGCAGTCAAGGATGGAGCTGTAGCTATAGCTATTGGCACTACAGATGCTGTGGTAGGAAGAGCATTTGAGGCAAAATATGCTGCTGTTGGGAAGACATTTGAAGTCAAGGATGGTGCAGCGGCCATGGCTATGGGAAACAGAAATGCTGTGGTAGGAAAAGCAGTGGAATTGAAGGATGGCGCAGTAGCCGTGGCCACTGGTACTGCAGATGCTCTGGTAGGGAAGGCAGTTTAAACTTCTCCGGTGGGGGGCTTGCACTAGGCCGGTTCCTATGTGGGCGTCCTTGTACGTCTGAGGTACTCCGGTTCAATATGGCTCCATTCAGCGGGTGGTCTATTGAGGTGCAGCCTAAATAATAAAACTTCGTTATTTTTTTTTGGTAGGGAAGGCAGTTGAAGCAAAAGATGGTGATGTTGAGCAGGCGATTGAAATCAAGGATGTGTTGGGGGACTTTACTCTGAATGCTGCCGATGCCGCAGTATCAAAGGCAGTTGACGTGAAACTGCAGAGGTGCAGCATGCAGTTGCGGAGGCAATTCCGGTTTTGAAAGCTGGCGGTAACACAGCTGAGCAGGGAAAGGAGGAAAAGATGGAGGTCCTCGTCTAAACGGTGTGTGTTGGAGGCAGGCGGCAGAAACCAGCCACAAGTGGCGAACCAAAGGTTGGACTCAAAACCATCACCAATTTAACCTGTTGCTGCGAGTATTTCTCTTGGAATCTAGATGGTACTGTATTAGTATAGTGGCTAGCTACTAGTTGGAGTTCTGCTTCGGCAAAGACCTCTCGCTACTAGCTAGCAAGCATTTACCCTGTGAAAACGGCCAAAAACACGATAAGCAACCAGTTCAACAATGCTCACTCAGGCCAGGCCACCTATGACACCGGCAACCGCCTGGTCTGAAGGCTTCACAATCCACTACTAAAGCTACCGTAGATAGTAGATAGTTGCACGCAACAAAGGTGCAACCAACTGTGAACTGAGCTCCTTAATGAAAGCAACGAACACATTGTTACCGGCGACAGCCAGAGCTCAATTGTCATGCATAAATCAAAAGGCAAGCTGAGAATCGCATTCCTCTGCAAATTTGGTTTCACTTCTCTCAAACACTGCTCCCGATCACTTCTCCTGAACACTTCCCCCGAACACTTTTAGTAGTGTTGTATTAGTATTACTTCTGAATTATCATTGGACAGTCGTTTAGTATTTTGCAGAGAATTTTCGTTGACGATTTTTGTACCAGCGCATCGCACCGTACTGTACCGCACTGCACCGTCGCACCATATTGTCCGTATCGCACTGCACCGCACCGTACGAATTAAAAGCTTCAGAGATCCAGCATTCAAGGAATGCCATATTAATTGCCCTCAACTACCAGCTAGCAAGCTGAGGGCCTTTTGAACTTTATCTTGTGTGTGTGTGTGTGTGTGTGTGTAGGTGTGTGTACGTTGAGTGTTGTGTGAGATGTGTGATGTTGTGTGAGATGTGTGTAGACA